CTCTTGAACAGCCACTCAACTAACCTGAATATCAAGCATAAACATATAAACTCCAGTAGGAGGAACTACTGAGTAGTGAACATATGCAGGAAGCTACAGTTTACCTGCTAAGGCATCCTGCCACAATTACTTGGGAAAATGAAGCATAAGGTGAATTGAAGGAGTCAGCCTGTTGATATTGAAGTTGTAGAACCACAAGGAAAGTCCAGGAGTTGGGACAGGGGTGAGGGAAAAGGCAAGGAGTCCAAGAGGAAATTCTTTAAGAGTGTCATTTTGTCCTGGAAATAATAAAAGGTAGTGTTTTCCTAATGTTCAGAAGGTGGAATCACATTTCCCTGGAGCTGAATGAGAGTTAGGTGGAAAATACTGATAGCTGTCTGTTAAATAAGGTAAATGTTGGCACTGAGATTAAGGATGAATTTTGGATGAGATCTCAGTATTCAGGAAAAATGATAAAGTAATTTTGATAAAGACTAAATCTCACAGGAATAGCACGAAGAGTATCTTGCTTCATTATAAAGATACAAAAATCTAAGGCAAATTTTTAGGTCAAACAGCAAGGTAAGAATTAAAGTCCTAAAAATTAACTTTTTAACTGGTGGAATGCAATCACTAATCCTTTTTGACACCTGGGAATGTGAGGCTAGTGGAAATTGGATAAGCTGGATCTTGTATTCCTGGATATTCCTTAATTACTAGTCATCTAACTAACTAAAACCTTGGTTGAGTCATTGCTTTATTAAATAGTCAATGCAGTAAGTCAGAGGCTATTCTGATGTCCCCAGTGATATTATCAACATAGAGTTATATCAAATAAATTAGAAATTGTAATGGAAATAGAGAGGCATAGAAGTGAGTCAGATGTGTTAGCAGTGCCCTACTTACCCATGCTAATATCTGCTATATAAAAACCACCAGGTATTTGTCACAGCACGCATTGCAGTTGAGACAGCCACAATACACAGAGTAGCCCCATACAATTTCAGAAAACTCCAACCCATACAGAGTAACATCACAGCACCTCAGAAAGCTGCAAGTGTCTGCCCTTCTTGTTCATTAGCCCAGCCTTTTATACCCCTCATGTTCCTGCATTGCACCTGTGCAAAGGGAGCCCTCTGTTCCCTTTGTGGTTGGTCAGTGCCCCTGGGCACTCCATGGCTCATTGCTGTCAGTGCTGCTCACCTGCTGCTCACAGCTGTGCCCACTGGGGATGAGGCTGGGCCCAGCCCCACTCCCAATTACTGCAAACTCTGTGCCTACATATTTCTAGTTGCAAAGTCTTTCTCTGGACTTGACCTTTATCATGGACCATTGCTAAGTTAACAAACAGTTTTCCTGAATTTCTAAAAGTTAACGTATGCATGGCTCTTGGTGCTCTGAAGGCAGTGCTGATCACTGGAAAAGACATGGGGTTTTGGCTTTTATAAAATTAGACTCACCTCAGGAATATCCTGCTTGTGTGATGCAGATACAGGACCAACTCCTACAAAAATATCAATATACTTAAAACAGCACCTTGCACATTCCATACATTTGATTTTCAGTATTTGTGTCACCAGAAACACACTTATATATTAGTGCCAGATGTTCTTCAATACTTTCAAAAATTATGTGTTAGTTTAAATATTAAAAATATTTAATATTTAATGAATGGGTTGGCTGAATAAGGTGAATGAGGTGACTGAATAAGAAAACAGTGGATTGTGGCATAAACTAGGAAAATTCTGACCAAATTTTGATTACAGCTGACCCAAATCTAGAGGCAGAAACAGAGGGTGTAGATGAAGAAAATGGTTCTATGGAATTAACAAATCTTTCAAGTTAAAACTTAGCTGAAATGTTACCTTCTTGAAACAAGCTTATTCCAGTCAGTGGTTTTGTGAGATTTAGAAACCTGGACAGAAAACAAAGCCTCCCTTTCCTGCCATGCACAAGCTCTTTTCTGCAGCTTTGTTAATTCTTAGCCACTATCGCATAAAATCTCATCACACTGCCAAGCTCCAGCCTTCTCATGAATCTTCACCTAAGAAGAAAAAGTTCTGTGAAAAGTGACTATCTTGAGGTACCAGCAGATCAATGGCTCCCAATTAACGTGTCCATTCTAAAGCAGCAGGAAAGAATAGAAGTGCCTTCCCTCATCTCACTGTCTTGGATTACCTCTGAAAATCAGAGTAAAAGGGCAGGAAAATTCTTCTGGGTGACACCAAGGGAAGAAAGAAAAATGCACTCAGTGAATGCACTCTCTAAGCCAATTCTGGACATGTTCTTTACATTCTCAAACACAGACCTTGGTGAGTTAGGTCTTCTCTCATAGAGACTAATTAAATGTCATATTTCAAGTACTTGTATTCTCTTGATCATCTGTTAAATATTTGTGTTTTGCTGACACGATGTTCCTTTCTTTGTCAGTTTAGGCACCACAACACTGTCTCACAACTTAAACAGCAGTAACTTGAATAGCAAATCAACATTAAAACATTCAGAGATTTAGTTTAGTTGTTTAGTTACTTTTAAAAATACAACAAACTGTGTTAACTTAGGAATTTGAATGCTTATTACAATATTCATGAGGTATAGAGGATTCCTGGGAGTGAAAAGTCTTCAATTGAGATCTTGAATTCCTATAGATTATGACAGCTGGGAGGAATGACTTGTGGTTCAAGTAATTAACTGCACTTTTTTAGATGTTTGAAGAGCTGGCTGTAAACAAATAAAGTTTAAGAATATTATCTCACCTATGGCTAGGACATGAAAATACTTGATAAATATTCTTGAAGCATACAGAGACAAAAAAAAGTCTTCTGAATACATATTAACTGAAAAGCTCTATGAAAATTAACATTCACTGTAACCTGAAAGTAGTGAGCTAATGCATGGTATTGAGGAAAGAGAATGGAACAAACCCCTAGACAGGCTCAGAGAAGATGGGAAATGGGGATTGAACTCTTGACAAACAAGCAAGAGATGATCTCAAGAATCTGATGCAATATATGGTATAGCTGAGATAACAATATACTATTCATCTCTATTTTTGCTATTATACTGGATGGAGAATAAAATCATCTGCAGTATAAGTTATGTAACTCAGCACATTAATTACCTGCCCTGCTATTTCCCATATAGGCTTTCACTTGTAAATGTGTCAGTGCACATCTTCTACCTGTGGAGGCATTCAAGGTTACGCACTGTTTCTCCATTGTAATTAAGCTAAAAGACTAGACCAGGAAAAAAACATCTAGGAATGAATACATGTAGTTCTTGTGCTGGTTTTTGGATATAAACTGTTTTCCCCTCTGCCCCTGCAGTGAGTGTACTGGACACATGCAAGAACATGGGAGGGAAAAAGCCAGGACAACTGTCCTAAGGGATATTGCATAAACATGATGTCATGTTCAGCACCAAAGACTTCAGGAAAGAATGAGGATAAGGGACATTTGTTCTCATTGAATCTGTCTTACCAAGTAACCATTATGTGTGCTAAGGCTCTTCTCAGAAAACAGCTAAACATCTGCCTGCCAGTGGGAAGCAGAAAATAAATTCCTTAATTCAATTTTCTTGTGTGTGCAGCTTTGCTTCACTTATTAAACTCCCTTCATCTTGGCCCCCTTCTTTTCAGCTTCTGATCTTGCAATTCTTTGCCCCATTCTGTTTGGGCAGGGCAGGGTGGGGCAAGCCATTGTGTACTTAGCTGATGGTCAACTCACCACAAGTTGTCACATGAGTATTGCAATTACTTGGGGAAAAATCTTTTGCAATTGGAAAGTCAGATTTTTTCTTCCTTTTTTTGCAGACAGAGGCACAACTTCTAAAAATACATAAAAGCCATAAAAGTTATCCAACACCAGCAGGTTTCTTGTATTTGAATCTAAGTAAATCTATAGAGGGCAGAGAAGAAATGTTTTACTTAATGGCATTTGGAGATCTCACTTTTTTGTTACTCTGCTCATGATGTTGTGTCTGTTTATTGTTATTTCCTTTATGCCATGGACTTCCTGCAAGAGGATATCCCGGGATGGTGACCTCCAATAGAAAGCCAAAGGACTCCAGCAGGAGGAAGGGCCTTTTATCATCTCAACAGATGCCCACGACTTTGTCAAGGAGTAGCTGCACTTTGTCATAGCAGATGCATTTGAACACTCTTGAATGGCAAAAGGAAAAACAGTCCAGTCATGGGGTGTAAGTGAAAAACTCTGTTGCCAAATAAAGGTATCTGAAAGAAGAAGCTTATTGGAGATTATTAAAGAGATAGTGTAGACTGGATATCTTGTTTAGTATTACATAAATAGAATTAGTTTAATACTAATTGTATCTGGAAAACTCATGGTTAGGATATTCCTGAGTATCATCACAGAATAATGCTGTGACGGTCATTTCATGGATTGCAACCCACACTTTAGAGCTACAAGGAAATGCAGACAAAATAATTATACTTGTAAATAATCTGGTTCTCTAATTAAAAAAAAAAAAATCCATATTTAGTAGTTGGAACTGTTCTACTTCTGTTCCCACACAGCTAAACTGGACAAAAAACATGCTGGCCTCTGTCAGATATTCCAGACACAAACATTCCTGGTGTAGTTTTACTTAATCTAGATAGTTTAACTAGAACAAATGAGATCTGGGAAAGCCCAAGCTTTCCCAGAAAGCTTTCCATCCAAAAATTTGGATCAAATATATTTTTTGTCATATAGTTTCCTGCAGACTCACAGAAAACAATGTGTGTATCATGCAGAATCTAGGAATTTAAGTCTGTATCTAGGAGATTTTAAATTCCGTTGTCCTCAAACGTCACTGAAACACCAGCTAAATGTTCTACATGTGAAAGAATAAAAAAAGCAAAGTTTTTATTTTTGTAAGTTTTAATAACATTTTATTTGACATTCTTAAAGCAAATATCCATTTAAAGTGATATAATGCATACTTCAAAGACTACAAGCAATGAACTTATTTGGAAAGATTTACTTCAAAACTATCAACAAACAGCCAAGGCAAACCAAATTTGCTGACAGCAGAGAAAAAACATCAGTAAGCCAAGACTGAAATGCAATTTCTAGTATAATGACAAGTAGCCTCCAAATAAAGAGCAGTAGAAGAATTACACATTTAGTTTGTCACAGGCGCCACGTACTCTTCTGCCATAGCAGGAAAAGCAGCTTACTTGATGTCACAGAGAAGAGCCACTCCTCTCAGAATCCAGTGGTCTGGAGACTTTGCTGTCTTTAAAAATACCTCTGTAATAAAGTTCAAATCTGTCCTCTTGGGCTTCTTGTAAAGAGGACAAACATAGAGCCTGGGATCCCTAGGTCTGGTTGAATCAACAGCAAACATATGGAGCACAGGCAGCTGGACAAAAAGAATCTTTGGTGAAGACTCAACAAGTATGCTTCTTCGTTTGTCCCAGCCTGCACCTTCCAAGAAGAGCCCATAGATATAAACTCCTTCCTGTGTGAAGAGTAAGCAGATACATCACAACACATAAAGCATAATAATTTTTTTAAACCATTAAAAAAAGTGTATGTTTTATAGTAAAAAATATCTGACATTGAATCTCTTCAAACGGTTTCATTTTAAACTATAAAATAATCCTTTTTCAGAAGATAATGCTACTGAAATGGAGGGCAACAAAAATTCTTTAATAGTGTCTATATACTACAAAGTTTCATGTAAAGTTTACTATAAATTCCAAAAATTAACAGGTGGTACAATGAAAACAGTTCCTTTAACTAAATATTTTTCTTAATTAATATCTTCATACTTAGTGTTTGGCTTCTATGCTGAGCAAAAACATTAAGGTGAAGACAGTTGTAACTTTTTCCTCTATCAATCCAAAATGACTCAATGGTACATAATATAAACCAAATACCAAAATTAATTCTGAAACATCTTTGCATGTCATACGTACAGAAGGAGGTGATATGATTTCTTCCTTGGTCAGCTTTAGCACGTCATTATGTACTGCAACTTTATCCAAAGCCCAGTCTTTATGTGCTCGAGTCGCTTCTTGTTTCATTGCTGTCAGGAATCCTTGAGAAATTAAGCCAGACATTTAGTATTTATCTCACATTATAAAATAAAATCTTGCTCAGTTATTAGCATGATTCTGCACTGAACTTGCAGACAGATAATCAGAGTTGTATTTAAAAAGGAGCATCCTGACTAATGATAGCAAACTTTGCTTTGGGACCAAAATAGGAACACGTGACAAAAGTGGTACACTGTGCATTACACCAAGAAAAATATTTCTAAATGGCATGTACTTTTTTCTTCTATTAAATTTCTATTAAGAAATATTTGGTCAGGACGCTGACTAACAAATTATCATAAGGCAATTAACTACAGGATCCATGATAAAGGTGTCTTTCAAGAGAGAATTTCAAGGCAAACAAGTTATCCATTGTGCAAGCTGATGTTTATGTAAAGGCAACTTAGCTAAAAGAAGGGGGTGTTTTAAATGAAAGAAGTAGAATAAATTTCATTGATGGAAAACAGAAAATATGTGTCTGAATATGATAATAAAACCACTATGTGGGTGTGGGGAATCTACTCAATGCAGTGCCTATGAGGAATGAAAAATGTGTGTTTCGTTAGGGGAAAAAAGGGTGTCAGATGGAAATTAAGGCAGAGGATGACATAATTGAGCAGCAAGTTAGGCGATTTTTTGAGTATTGTTTTGAACAGACTTTACAGAAATTTGAAAGAGGAAAGGTTTGAGATGCAAAGGGCTGAATAGTTTAAGCGCAGAGGACTGAGCAACAAAGATGTTTGAATGTGTTATAAAGGAAAAAGCTACAAAAACAGAAACACTAGTACCAAATACCTGGTTGTTTCTTCAAGAGGAAGAAAGAGAAGTTAAAGAGAACTGCATTCTTAATAGTGAATTTCCTGGTGAGCAGTATTACAAATATAGTCTGATCTTACAAATACACTCACCTCACCCCTACCCACAGTACACATTTTGCACTTAGCAAACCTCTCTCTAGCTGAAGGACTACTTTTGGGTTTTTTAAACACAGATGTTGAAGCAATAATAAAGCTCAAGACCATCTGTATCTCAGGTTGGTTGCCCGTTAGGCTAAATATTTTAATTTGTCAAAAAGAATGCAGTCCATTATCTTCTTTTACACCACTGTGAGTGCTGCTTTTGAATTATCAGAGATCAGTATGGTTATTAGCTGTGCCACTTAGTATACAAATATGTTTTGACTGGCATCCCAATACCATCTTTTAATAATAAATTGGATGTACTCCAGGCACCTCAGTTGTTTCTGAAAGTGACTCTAAACCAGACTTTGGTATTAGTAGTGTTTACAGTTCTGGCAGTAGGAAGGCCAGTAAGAACAGAAGCATCACAAAGCAAAGGTAACTTATATAACATTCAAGAATTTCAGAGGTTAGTTCTAATTAAAACAAAAACACAAAAAAAACCCCCTCAAAGCTGTCACACAAGTTTCTTATGAGAATTTTGTATGTGTAGTTGTATAGGCTGAAGGAGATTCTCTTAAGAACACACACCTTATAAGGTAATGGGTTTTTCTACCCATGGAGATGGTTAAAATTTGTTTTACCTCCTCTTTCCTCTAAATGGTAAAAATATCAAGCTATAACAGATAATGATAGATAATGTTTACTTGTACTTCACAGCATATCTTTGATGGATTTGAAGAAACTGTTCATTAAATAACCTGTGAAATGGATACATACATTTTGATGATTCTTTGTGAAAGACAAAGAACTGCTATAAATTGTGGTACTATTGCACATTCATAGCCCACGTCAGAAGAGACATGGGAAGTTCACTTGGTCCAACCTTTCATAGGAAAGGGAAGACTAGATGAGGTTATCTAGCACCGTCCAATTACATCTTGAAAACCTCCAGAAGTGGGGACTCTACCATGTCTCTGATGAGGTTGTTCCAGTGAGAGATTGCTCTTACTGTATTGTAAAAAGTCATTTTTTTGCTACTGTAACATCTTGCTCTAGATTAAAGCTCTTCCATGCTCGCAACTTACAGTTTGGAATGAGTTAAACAGCTTCAAACCAGAGAAAAATAGTATTTTCTTTAAAAGCTGTATCATTATTATTAAGTATACTTTCTTAAGAAGTTGTATATCATAGTACAATATGTCAGCAAGATTAAGTGTTTTATTTATTAACCATATGTTTTCCTTCTTGTAATATAAAAACTGTGGCTTTGGGTCAGACTAAAAGATCAGAGAACCATAGAATCACGTAGAATGTTTGGGTTGAAAGGGACCTTAAAAAATCATCAAGTTCCAACTCATCTGCCATGGTCAGGGTCACACACACACACAAAAAAAAAAAAAAAAAGAATTCCACTGGACCAAGTCCAATTCAACCTGGTTTTAGACACTGCCAGCAATGGGGCACCCACACTTCTTTTGTCAATCTGTTCCAATGCCTTAAGGCCTCATAGTAAAAAATTCTTTATAGTATCAGTTCTAAACCTACCCGTTTTCAGTTTAAATCTGTCCTCCCTTGTCCTATCACTAAATGCAGTTGTGAAAAGTCCCTCTCCAGCTCTCTTGTAGCCCCCTCTAGGTACTGGGAGGTGCTATAAAAGTCACCCCCAGAGCCTTTTCCCCCTGGCTGAATGGCCCCAACTCTCTCTTCCTGCCTTCATAAGAGAGGTGCTCCAGCCCTCTGGTTGTGTCCATGGCCCTTTGCTTCAGCCACTCCAGCAGGTTCACATCCTTTCTGTGAGGGCCCCAGAGCTGGATGCAGCACTCCAGGTAGGCTCTCACCAGAGCAGAGCAGAGCAGAGCAGAGGGGCAGAACCATCTCCCTTGCCCTGCTGGCCACACTCCATTCAATGCAGCCTAGGCTAAGGTTGGCTTTCTGGGCTGTAAGTGCACATTGAACCCATTTTCCATCTTGGCTCCTGTGACACATGCTGGCAGCATAACCATTGAAATACTACTATTCAATACATTACTACTCAAGCCTTACCTTGCGGATTAAAGAATCCAGTTATCCAAAACACCTTTGGTCTTCCTTGAAATATCCAATTAGATAATTGAGCATTTCTCTCCAAAAGATCAGTAAACCAGAAGCCAAGTGTGGAGGACTCCCAAGATACTCTCTTCCATACTTGAGGGATTCGAGCATCATACATGTTATCAAGTGCATCTCTTAAATTCTGAAAGAATTAAATAATATTCAAAGTAAATAAATCAATATTGTAAAGCATAGTATTCCATGTGTAGTAGAAGCACTTTACTTGCCTCACTCATAACAATAGTTCCATCTATGGCTAGTTTCAGATCATTCAAACTGGTGCGGACAACTGTGATCACCCTCTGCATGCGGTCAATTTCTTGACGAAGAAAAATATTCATAGAGTTTAGTACTCCCATTTTAACTAAACGAGCCTTTACCTAAATTATAAAAACACAGAAGAAATTTAGTTAAGTCTAAATCATTGAAATGCCATTTTAGTATGCAACATTTTAACTACCTGTGTGTTCAGAAAAGTAAATATTAGATTTGTGTATTATTCAACTAACATTTATCTCCTTAAAACTGCTGCAGTTTTTACTTTTTGTCTGATACTACCCAATTACACATGATTTTGCTAGAACAGGACTTCACGCAAAAGGCCCAGGAGACTGCTATCACAAAATGTAAAGACTGACTTTTTTCTGTTTTCCCAAGCAGCTTTGCAAAACCAAGTGTAGTCTCCCCAGCATATCTCCATGGCCAATTGTTAGATGTCTTGATTTTAGATAAAAAAACTTCATACTAATTCATGCTGGTAGCAATAAGGGTGTTGGTTCCTTGAATCTACTGCTATTTATATGATCTTTTGTACAATTCGGCATTTCTTTTTTGGAATGTGTAGTGTGAAAACTCAATAGAGAGAACAGTAGGACATGACTAAGGTTAGCTTGCCTCATGAGGTACGTAATCTGGAGGAAGTTTCTCTAGCATGTCTTCAGCCAAACGATAAACAACTGATTCACGAGTTTCTCCAGATCCTCCACCACTTTCTTTAGGCTGAATGTTGGTAATAGTATCCAGAACATCAGCTGATGTATTTCTCTGGTATCTGAGAGGATGAGGAACATGCTATAAATTACATAGAATTTTTTAATAGTTAATGATAACTTTGTAGAACAAACAAAAAACAGTGTGCCATGAAGTTAAATCAAAACTCGCACAAAATTGGTTTCCTTTGCATCCTGCACCAACCATAATACACTGCATAATACACTGATCATGAAGGTTTGGGAAGGTTTGGTTTACCAAAGTTTTAAAGAATATGAACTTCCCTCTTCCCTGTTATACACTTGCTGTGTGCCTAATTCAGGGATAAGAAGGAGGTCTACAAGCTGAGATTGTGTGGTGGCAGAAAAACCTACAATACCAGGGATTCTGAGGAAAGGGCATATTCCTGATTAATGTCTTCTAAAGAGCTATTTGTTGAGAAGAAGCAATAAAAGTTTTGTAACAAGGAAGAATATTTGCCTCATTTAATTACTTCTTAAAAGTGTAATGCAGAAACAGGAAAAGGTGGAGGTATAACTCTGAAAGCTGCCCCTTTGATAATTAGTAAATCCATTCTGCTTTCAGATGTTTCAGGATTAATGACAAGGCCTGCTAGATTTACAGCACTGCAGGTAAAAAGCTTTTATTCCATAGTGAAGCATGGGCAGTGCTAATGCAAATTAATGTTCTGAGTCAATACAAAAATGTGAATTAAATTTGTGTGGCATTGGATAACGAAAGATGGTAGACCACATCAGTCCTTCAACAGAGTAATTACAGGAGTATTTTTGTTGGAGTGCTATCCAGTGGCATAGAGCTATGAGAGGAAATAAGAAAGAAAGCCTGAAGTACTGAAGTGTCAGCAGTGCCTACTTTTACCTTATGGAATCAGCTACACGAGGAACAGAGACATCAATGAGTGATGCAGGACATACATTTACACTGATTCAAAGCATAGATTTGTATGTCAGCATTACTTTTCAACTTTCCTATGATACCCATCTCCTTCTATTACTTTGTCATACATAATTATATAAGACATGAAACGAAGGATAGAATGCGTGAACTAAAGCACCTAAAGATGCTTTGGATACAGTGTCACAATACCAGAGAAGCTAGATACTAAAGTACTTCAGAAAAAAAAAAAAAAAGAAAAAAAGAGTGAATGCAAGAGTGAATTATAAAGACTATAAATCAGAAAAATGGAAGAAAAATGGAAGAAACACTACTGGGATTTTGCTACTCTGAGGATATAATTTCTGCTTCTAAAGGTAGGAATGGTGGGGGCTTTCAAGGATTTTCATAACCCTTGACTTCAGACTCAAAACTCTCAAGCTTTTTTTCAATTTATGGCCCCATTAAAAGAATGAAAGATTTATTCAAGACCACATATGAGCCGAAAAGATAAAAATTCTCTTGGACTCATGGCTTTATTGGTAATTTGGATGACATACTGGTGGTTGTAACCTTTCCGTTTTGTCTTGCTGATTTAACAAGTAGTGATTAGAGATATGTGAACCTTCCTCTTCATACTGTAAGCACCATTCTTCCAATTCTGCTGTCAGACTATTTTATATAGAAGGTATGGGTTCCCTGATTATTACATCAATTAAATTATAATAAATTACAGAATTTTTAAATGGTCTTTCTAAATCTAAAAAAAATAAAAAGGAATAGAAACTATTTTAAAAAAAGGTTGTATGCAAACTTTGGGGAAAATGAGAGAATGGCTTTTGAGAAAAAAGCATCAAAGCAATGGAATCAAAGGTGATACTGATTGAGGATATTCCTTTCTTAAATTACACAAGCTAGGAACCTTCTGAAGAGGAGAATTTACGTGAATCTTGCATAAATAATAATTACTCTTTGAACAAGACTTTTTTGTAAATAAAAATAGGAAAGACAAAAATATGCATCTTGGTCTTTATGTAATTAAAAGTAATTTTTCACTGCGGAAGTGAGGTTAAAATACCAAGAAAGAATTTCACTTACATACCACTGGGACATATTCAACATAAAAACCACTCTGGAACAAAATTTTTCTGGGCTTTGGAAAACCTCACTTTACTTTAGATTGCAAATAAAATGAAGTACAGATGCAAACAATAACAATAAAAAGATGGCAGAAGTCTGTAGAGGAAGTACCATGTTCCTGAGAACAGAATCAGTTGCATGTGATGGGCTGACCCTCATCACATGTAGATGTTTATGTGCAGATGTCTCCATAACAGCCCTTTGTCTCTGTTGCTCTATTCAGCTCATGTATTTTAGATGTCTGCTTTGTGATGAGAGAAATTGCACTTTACAAGGATCTATTTTTCTCTATTACTGTTAAGCAAGTCTAGAGTAACCAGAAAGGAAGATACAGCAACATTAAACAAATCTCATTTATAGTGTCAGTGTTGCTTAAAGTATGTAAGATAAAGCGCTCAACACGTATTTATTTTTTTCCCCAAAACAGTATTGTAAAGTGAATTGTGTCATAAGATGAAAAAAGAAAATTAATTTTCTGTGGATTCTAGGCTCCAAAAAACATTATTAAGAGTATTCTCTCAAGAATTTGGACGTAACATACTATCATTATTTGATAGCTGGAATATGTGCCATCAGGGATTTTCACTGAAAGTGAAAACTAAGAAAAAATGCACGTGACAGAACCATTGCCTCAGCTTTTCATAGAAGACAGCAATATCTATTGCAGCACAGTGTTCAAAACCTTACATTCATCAGCTTGCAATAGCTTAACAAAAATCCAGCTACATTTAAGGCTTTAGAAGGGAACCAACTGGAAAGGGGTTTTGGCAGAAGATTGTCAGAATATTCCTTTCCTGCTCAGGTACCTGATAACTATGTGGCTTTGCAGAACCTATGATTCATACAGCAAGTTAAAATCATTCTCAATGACTTTGAGAATGTTAATCCTAAATGAAAGCATTGAAATTCATTGAAGCCTTCCAATTGTAAGCAACAGATTGAGCTTTTGGCTGAAATGTAAAACTGCTTCGGTAAATTAGTGAGAGATAAGATTTTTCTTGTCCTCAGTAATAGTAACATGGAGAGGTCTTAGCTCTCTCAGGGTTTCAATCCTAGCAGTTAGCCTTGTGCATACTCTGAGATGACTTGGTAACATATTATAAGGAGAATTTGAATAGAATTTTATACTCTATGGGATGTTAATCCATTTGGTCTGTGTGTCCAAGATGAAATTCAGACACAGCAGCTGTGCATTGTTGCTTATAACATGACCATGATAAGACATGGAAAAAAGCATTAAGCCATTGAACATTTTTCCCAAACTCTAAAGAAATACCTACAAGGCAAAATCTACAGGAGAAAAAAAGGGGCTAAAGTAACAGGAATATGTCGAAGTACCAAGTGGAAGAAAAACTGATAACTGAAGAGAAATCAGAGAGCTGTTCCTACTCACTAAAGCTCCTCCAAGAGTATTAGTCCCAAATTTCCTCCTATAAATTAGCTCTCCTACAAGCCTAATTTTGGATCTACAGCATGTCTCTCTTCAAGGCTTTGTTTAGCTCTCTGTTAAATCTTGGCTCTTCTTTCTTCTTTAATAATTTCTGAAGGGAGGTCTTGCAAGTATCAGGGAATGACTTGAAACAGAATCTACTCAGATTCTTTTCTTCACAAGCATATATTAAGAGTGGTATGTGCTAGTAGGAGTTGACAATAAGACTGTGTACTCTTCTCACAGCACACCCAGAATGCAGGCCTCTTGACATGGCACCAGCCTCTCAACTTTGACACTGAAAAATTGTGGGAAATTATTGTTTCATCCAAAAATATTAGATGATAAGTTAAGATGATTAGATGTTAAGTTTTCACAGCAGCTCTGCATTTCAATATTTAAAGGTAGAAAAATAGCTACATGAAGAAAAAATGAATGTGGAAGGTGGACAAACTGCATATGAAAATGCAATATTTCATGGAAGAATTATTAAGAACTTCAGTGAAAAAAATATGATGATGTTCATATCCTTTCACAGGGCATATAATATTAGAGAGAAATAAAGGGCAAGCTGTTACACAGATTATTTGGAATGAAAGAGTGAATTCAGTCAAAGATAAAATTTTAAGTGGAGCTAGTACTTGGTGCAGTTGAAAAGCCTCTTTTAAATAATGGAAATGGCCAGACTGACTGCAACATAAGTTTGTAGTTGCATCCAAAAGGCATGCTTGTAAACCAAATGACAATCCAGAGAATCATTTAACAAGTGTGCACAGAAAAATAAACTGCTTGAAACAGAAGCCAATGCTAGAAACTTTCTCTAGTTGAACTGTATAGATCAACCGATCACGTGTTCATATTAAAGTTTCATAATGTTTTCAATTAAAAAAAGTAAAATCATGAGGAGTAAGTAATAAGAGTTCCAACTGCTTTAAATGGACGTGTAAAACATAGCAGAAGATACTGCATTTATAACAATGTACATACACAGGAAGTGTTCCACTTCAACAGTGAAATTCACATGAATCCTAGATTTCCAATGCAAAATGTACTTTACTTAAACACTTGATAGGAATTTGTTCCCAAATACTAAAAGAAACATTCTCCATTTTCAATATGTGGAGACCTACTTACGTAATATCAGCATTGGGATGGAGACCAAACACCTCTGGGGTGTCCATGGCAGGAAGTAACTGGATGTAGTCAAAGTACTGTTCCAGAGTTTTGCATACTGGAATTTTATAGCCAGTATAAAAGCAGAAAGCACTGTCAAACATATTTTCACTAAACCATACCTGTGAAAAATCCATGGGGAAAAAAGAAAGTCAGCAATTATTTTGCTACTTAGGTGGCTCTTAAACCTCACTTTTACTCTTGGAGGATTAGGGTTCTTGTTTCAGCTACTGCATCTAATTTTACTTTAAGACAACTGTAAATTGTTAATAATTATGTCTATTAAGTTTGACTCCAGCTGAGTCTTTTTAAGCTTCTGCTCCACACCAAAGAGGAACCAAAGGGAAGATCCTCACTGCCAAAGAATGATGTTTTGAAAAATTTGTTTTACTTTAAAAACTGGTGAAATGCATATTCAGCAGAAAGAAGACCTTCTGATTTCTGTATTACAGCCGCCAATAAACATGACAAATAACTGTATTTCCGAGATCTCCTACCCTTGCAAAGCAATTAAGAAGACGTTTGTCATAGTCATCTGTGACTCGGCCTCCATACTGTACTTCTCCAATCATATAGCGTACTGTGTTCCATGATATCCCCTGGATGCAAGTAAAGTACATGAAAGACTATAGTTATTATATGTAAGAAGAAGATTTTCATTTAAATACAATCTGAAACTCATAACATTCTGAAACGTAAACTGAAAAAATTATATATAACAATTATATATTATATAACATTATTTCTAAGGTATTTACTGAGCTCAACCCTTCTGTAATTTTATAGAAGGGTTGGGCTTGATCCTGCTACTATAAATCCAGAATCACAGGATCATTTACATTGGAAAAGACCTTTAAGGTCATTGCATCCAATCTTTGACCAAACACCAATTTAGACCATGGCACTAAGAGCCATGTCCAGTAGTTTCTTCAACACCTACAGGCACAGTTACTCCACAGCCTTCCTGGGCTGTCCATTCCAATGCTTGACAACCCTTTCCACTAAGAAAATCCTCCTGATGTTCAACCTAAATCTCCCCTGGCACAGCTTGAGGCTATGTCCTCTTGTCCTGGCACTGGTTGCCTGGGAGAAGAGGCCGATCCCCAACCGGCTACACCTGCCTTTCAGGGAGGTGTAGAGAGTGACAAGGTCACCCCAAGCCTCCTTTCTCCAGGCTAAACACTCCAGGTCCCTCGGCCACTCCTCATATACCTTGATGTCTAGAAGTAAAATCTCATTTTATATACATATGTGTATGTGTGTATATATATATATATATATTTCATTATTACTTGTTTGACCTAAAATCACTCACAGCTGCTATTGCCTCTCTTCTAACCCCACATTCCATCCTCCCTACGCCACCCCTTCTTCCTATTTCTCATTTTTCTCTCTCGGCTGAGTGCTGCTTCATAAGGAATGGCTATTCCCTGCTAAGCAGTAGAAGATCTAATGGTAGCTGTAGAGAGGTTTGATTTGCTCTATCAAACTCGGTAAATATTTTAGCTCCCTTTCCAGAACAGATAACATACAGACTTGTTAATTTTGGATACAGTGAAAAAGAAAAACAAATTTTAATGTTCTTAACAAATACGTATTTTTACATGCATGACAGCACATAAAATATTTCAGCTTGATTTTCTTGCAGAGAACCTCAACCTTTGATCATTAGAAGTGGCACTAAATGAATAGCAATGAGTAAATTATGATAAACATGAGGGAAAAACAATTTCTGCTGCCATTCAAAGCATTAAAATGTACTCTATAAAGATTTTAGCATTCACCTTCTTGATGTCAATTTTTTTTAGGTGATTAATTATAAACTGAATGCTGGCTGTAAAGTCTGCCGAGTTAAATTCATAAGGAATATTCCAACCCAAAGGTCCAAACTTGCGTCGCTCCTTAGGAAAAAATAAAAACCAAATATATTTGTGAAACAACTTATAATTTTCTTTCTTTAATAAATTTCAGTAACAATACCAGTGGAGTAAAGAATTGAACTGGAGAAGAAATGCCTAGGAAATAGCTGTATGACTCAAACATATCAATAATACAGTCAAGTTATTCCATAAGGGATAAATATTTATAGAAAAAGCAACAAATAATGTTTTAACAACTTTAATAATCAATTTGAAAGTCACAAGTTTACAATGCCACACTTCTGTGTGGATAATGAGATTTTTATATTAAACAATTAATTAATTTAGCTTGGTACAGTTTTTCTCTTCTTTTTACATATACTATCGACTAATGATATTTAAAATTTTCAAGTTCCTATATTTATGCTCAGTTTTGCAAAGAGTTCTGCTACTTCTGTGTTATTGTTTCCATATGGTTTTTTTTATGTACATTTTTTCAAAATTCATAACTTTATGTTAAGGTTGCCACCATTACGTTATTGAAATATACTATTGCCCTCCTACCTGGAAATTAACAGAAAAATATTCAACTATGAAAGTAAAGAATAAATATTCTGTAGCCCAAACCCTTTCAATATCTAGCACTATTTGATTTTTCCCAAGTATATTAAAGTCATCTCAGTTAATTTGCTCAATGATTTTTTTTCAGAATGTAGAACAAATTAATCCAAGAAGTTAAGAACTAAATTTATGAATAGCACTGGCATTTATCAAATTAATAAATTACATTTTAAAACTATCTAAGTAATACCATATTTATCAGATTTTATATTATTAGCTCACTAATCACTGACAGTCTTTGACACCTGAAGTAACATTTAGGCACCCTGGCTACAATATTTAAAAAGAACTAGAATGAAAAAAACCCTCCACCTTTTATTTTTCAATGAAAATGTTGGGAACCATCATCTGCTTTAAGCAGATGAGACAGCATTACCAATAATACCATGCAGGAAAGTGTAATGATTTCCTGCAAATTTTTTTGAATTACATCTTAAGCTATATTTATCATCATGATCTTGTCACCAAAGGATATTAAGACCTGGTCACTTTAAAGGCAGGACAATGTATATATTGCTTGTTGGTTGGCAATTCATAAAATTTCTTAATAGATGAATAGCTGTAATAGTTTTTAAAAATACTGATGGGTTGAATAAGCATAGATCTTCTAGTTCCACAAGAACAGTATAATCCCGAGGCAGTACACAGAACAACTTTTTCATTGTTTAAAAAGGGTAGAAGGAGGAAAATAATGCAGAATGCTGTAACAGTGAACATCAAAAATTGTCCTTCTCTCACCGGCTGCCTACACCAAAAAATACAAGATGCTTAGTAGAACCTAAGGATTAAACAGTGTTTTGTAACTATTTTGAGATCCTTGGTGAAAAGGAGGCACATTCAGAGAGCTCAGAATATTAGTCTTTATTGTGATCTGAAAACTTATTTCTCTTTAAAGTACAATGTATAGATGTCTTTGTTCTCACACTGCAATTAATGTAGAAAAAACATTAGCACAGATGTTACAAAAATTTTATTTCATTTTAGCCATCTAGAAAATAGCTACTCTAAATTAGGCATCTGGATTGCTTTTAAAATCAATGGAGAGAGTGATATATCTCTAGAAAAATATTCACTCTTAGAGAAGGACAGCTGTGACAGATAAGCTGGTTTTCTGTTTCAGTATGCTTATCTATTTCTATTGACTACAGAGAGAAATTTTTCCCATATACCCAATGACTAACTTTTGATCAGCTGAAGTTAGATGAGAAAAAAAAATTCTAAATGCCCATTATATGAGAATTGTTTAAAAGGTATTAAAAAAAAAGAGATAATAACGAACCTTGAAATACAGATTACAGCCATTAAAGCTTTAGTCCTGCAGCATGATGCTACAATAAATATCAGAATGTGTTTTTTCAGGAACCTCTATTAGAGTCACTCCATATATTACACCACTATTTGCAAACCTTTTAAGAAATACCTGAACAGTAGAATGCAGGAAAGCTACAGTGTAAAGCAAAGGTTTCCACATAGGCAGGTTGCTAACGTTTAACAGATCCTGACTAATTCCAGAAAATGTTCTTTTCAGTCCGGCACGTATACCTTGTGGAGGTTCATTTGTGAACTTTATAGCAATCTGTCACAAGAAAAACATAAAGGAATTGGATTTGTTTACTGAAACAAAAATAACAACATATGAAAATGCCACAACTACTAGTTATAAATAAAATGTAAATAACTGAAGCCTTGTAGAAATGAAGTTGATACGTACTTAAACTGCATAAAAGGAGTACACAGAATCATAGAATAGTTTAAGTTGGAAAGGACCTTTTAAAGACCATCCAGTCCAACCCTCCTGCACTGATCAGTGACATTTTCAAACAGATAGCATTGCTCAGAGTCCCGTTCAACTTGACCTTGAATATTTCCAGGGAGGGAGTATCCAATACCTTTCTGGGTGCCACCTCTCTTAGTGCCTCACCACCCTCATAGTAAAAAACTTATATCTTTTTATAAATAAAACCTTCTTCAGTTTAAAACCAGAATCCCTCGACCTGTTGCAACACACCATACTAAAATGTCTGTCCTCATCTTTCCTATGGGCCCCTTCAAGTACTGCAAGGCTGCCAACAGGTCTTCCCAAACCCTTCTCTTCTGCAGTCATACTAGATTAGGCACAAAGATTTTGAACATAGACCTTTAATTTCTCTTGGTTAAAACCATCACCGACACTGACATATTTACATTGTAACAAAAGCCCATTTTTTCCTTGGGTTTTTCCCCTCCATTTTTTTACTGCCATTTACATAATCAATTTGAATAATTTTCATTAAGTACCTGAATTAAATATTTGAACAAACCTGTAGCAGTGTAATTGGGAATTTAAGATGTTGTTCAGTAGTTATCCAAACTCGAAATGTGTCATTCTGGATCTCAGCAGTAAGAAGTGTCTCCAGTAGTTCTTCCATGAACTCCAGTCCAAGGTGACAATTCTGAAGTAACACCCAGCCTCCCTAAAAAAGGATATCAACTATTACCGTATAATATTAAGAACAAGTTATTCATAATGCTAAAGCCAGCTGTCTATATAAGAATAAAATTTGGTTTTCCATGAAATTTTTTAAAAATTCTGTTCTGTTCCTAAATATATATTCTCTTTTATTATTATAGGCTATTGGCACAGATAAAGCAAATAGAATAAGTTAGTGCAAAAGTTATTTCCACATTCTCTTTTTCTCAGTGAAAATAACATAACCAGGCTCAATATTGTAAGCAAAGAATCAGTGCTATCTAGTGGCAAAAAGAGGTTCCTGTACTCTCCCAGCAAAACATCAGTGATAAGCAATCCTCTTCTCAGATCCAAAAGAATGTGAGATGAAAAGTAACAGCTGAAATTTAAGGAATACGTATTTTTAAAAACTGATTTGTTAATAACATAATCTAAATAAGTGCAAAGAGGTTGTAATAAGATTCTAAGACTTTTCAACTCCAATTAGTTTATCTGAAATAAAGGCATTTGCATGAAAGTCAAACTCCATTTATTTTGATCTTATTCATTTCTCAAACTGAGCATGAAAGCTCTAGTTGGATTATTGTCTCTCTAAACCTTTGTTTGTGAATTTAAATCCAATCAGCATTTTTAGCATCACTTTAGAAGCCTGATGAATTAGAAGCCTGATATTAAAATGGGACATTATTTAATCAGTTCTAAACAGTGATGGACAGTGGATTTCATTACAGCTTGTAATTTCATTTCAGCAATTTTGTTTTAGCTCATTTAAAAAACATCAGTAACCGTTGGTGAAAAAATATAATTGACGTATTTGTGGTGAATTGATAGATATTAAAAAAAAATTAAATGAAGGTGGCTTTTTTCCTTCTTTTATGGGGATCAACTTTTCTGAGCGAGATCTTTAATCAATTTCATACATTTCCAAATGAATCAAACAGAGTTTTTGACAATTATCTTCCTGTAACACAGCACAGCAGTTTTAATCATATTATGTACTCTTGGCCAGAGGTGTCAAATAGGTATTTGTCTTCGTATTCACTAATTCTGTTTAGTAGTTTCAAATCTGATGTTCACATTTTCTTCCCTTCAGCACCAAGGCATGTAGCTCAAAAATTCTTACTGGTAGCTCTACTGGAGTACTGTTTTGAGTGTCCTTGTGCTTCAATTTAAGGGCAAAAGAAAGGGAAAAAAAAAAAAAGAAAACAAGAAAAGAAAGGAAGGGAAGTTTTCACCATTGCAATGAACTGGGAGTTTACAGCGACCATTCTAGACAAACAAAAAAAGAAATACCAGATGTATGTGTGCACTTATAATATGAATTTTCATTTGCTATAAAGAGATTTCTTTTTTCTCTTTTTCCAAATTGGTGTACATCTATATGCCAATACTGCTCTCTTTTACTGGAGATATTCTACCCCTACAAAGTACAGGTATATGACTGATACCCCATATTTTGAGCTTGCAGGCAACTATGCCTGTATGTCTTCATTTGAAAGACTGTCCACAACTCCTTGAAGTGTCCAGCTGACCAGAAAGTACCCCCTTTGCACTAAAACTTTTCTATTGTATTTGAAGTTTCAATTACTATCTCTCTGTAGCTGCTACTTAGGTTTTTCATGGTTTTACTGTTGGGAAATGTCATCTGCCATAACAACATCTAAAGAAAAATTCTTACATATTGTTTAGAAATTCTTAGACATGCTTGGGACTCAAAGCCAAAAGATTGACAATTAAAGAAACAAAGAAGAGACACCAAATGTTGCTGAGTAAGTGGTCCTGTCACTAGCAGTGTTGCAAGAAAAATGTGAAACAGTATTAGAAGCAAGCACATCCTTCTGTATCTACAACTTTAAGCTACATGTGCTGTCACTGTTTCATTCAGTAGAAGCTATGCAACATCCAGGTATCTCTTATATGGGAGGGGAAAAAAAGAAAAAAAATTTCCAATAAAGAGGTGGGATCTGGACAGGACCAGGCCCCAATGTCCTTTTACCCTTTATTAAGTGTAGTGATAAGTAAGGAATGTGCTGCTTTTGGGAAGCTGCTCAGTAGCACTGCTGCCAGAGGCATTGCCTTGGACTCCACTGTCACATATATATGCCACAGAGAAATGTTTTTAAACTCGGGCATTCAAAAAGACATGGTCACCCGGAGATATGCTTGATAGTAAGATGAAAATGCAAAATATTATAGACTGGATGCTAAAGGGGTGTAAAAGAATACCAAAACCATCAGCTTATGTTGCAATGTTTTTCCCCCACCTGTTCCATTGACGCCTCTACGAGTTTGCGTGCATGAACCTCTTGTCCTTGGCCCATTGAGATGGTCCTACATTCTATAACATATTTGACAATATAAGATTAATGAACCTACATTATTAATAAAAAGTAAGAATTGCAATTCAGTCCAACAACCAGTGATATAAATACAGCACAATTAAATAAATTTAATGCAAAAATATATAAATATGAAAGCATATGAAAGCCCTTCACCATCATATTATGCTAATAATATATAGCATTTTCTAAACATTGACATTGTATGCATTGTATAAATTTTCTAAACATTGACATTTTGTATAACAACATTGAAATACACATAGACAATATATTTACAGAAGTTAAAGACTGTGACTAATGTTGACTGTGAATGTGAATTTGTGCCAAATTTTAACAACACCAGAGCATTTGAAATACAAACAGAGATTTATTTCTAAGTGTACATAAACACAATGCAAAGATGTAAAACTGAATTTATGAACACACTAATGTGACTAATGTCAGGAATATACAGGATCTAATCTCAACTCAGTTTGTATCCACACTTTTTCAAAACTTCCATATAATGTAGAACTAAAGTCCAGAATATACAAATGTAGCTCTTGTAGCTATTTTTTGTTACAAAGCAATATTCAAAGCAGATTATTGATTTTTCAGTTACCTGTAGTTAAGAGTTAAAACAAGAAAATATTATTGTCACCGTAACAGAATTTTAAAAGAAGAATTAATTGCTTTGCAAGATAGGGATTTAAAAAGTTATCATCACTTGGAAAGATGATAACAATTTATTAAAAAAAGACTTGAATTACTGTCCAACTTCACACAGAATGGTTCTTAGCATAATGTCTTCTATTTAAAACATTATCTCTAAGATGGTATTTCAGGAACAAAGAGCAGTGCAATAGAACTCAAGAAATACTTCTCAGGAAAAAAGATCTCTGAAATTACTTACACTGCCCGTCTGTGTCTTAACATATGACAATGAATAATTACTTTCATACCCAAATGAAGCTTCCGAGACAAGGAATTAATCTGGTCAGTTGGGTCTGATCCCATAGACAAGAAACAGATGAGAGGTGTTCGCATGTCACTTTCTTCCCAAGTGCTTCTTAAATTCAAAATAACTGGCTCTGTATATTTCTCATGCAAGGAACTTGCAATATATTTCCTCGCCTGGGAAAGTGTTCGGTCTGGACACCAAGATCTAGAAAATAAAATACATACAAAGACATAAATTCACTGCCTCTTCCTCCAAGATCAGACTCAAATTAGAAATTTTATTTTTATCAATTAGAGGGATTTTTTAAAATCATGATATATATGTATACATACACACACATTCATATATATATATATGTATATATATATATATATATATGTTTCTAGGTTTGTCTTTACAGACGTAATAACAGGCAGAGCAGATGGTTGCTTACAATTTCCAGTTGCTTACAATTTTGCCTTAACTATTTGCATTGGAATTTTCTCTTCTAGGCATCTTCATTAGTTTGGGACGTTCTTCATTTTAAACAGAACTTTTGTATTTGAGAACACAAAGATGAAAATGTTAAGATTTTTTTTTGCCCTTTAGTAAAACTCTGCTGATGATTCATTTGGTTGTTTAGCCTTTTAGGGTACACATTCAATTCTTCTGCACTGGATTGTATTTGTGCTGGTGATGAGTGTTTTTCCCATGCAAAAACAAACTACTTTTGGATAAAATATATTACTTTGACAATCTTCAGGTTTTGAAGATTATTTAAATGCTTCAGACTTGGATGGTCTCCTCCCTTTTAGGGTGTAGAGCATTAAACAATATGGTATTTCCATCAGATTCCAGCCTTTTTTATGGCACAGGTTGAATCTGCTCCAAAGACAAATCACAGTCTAGTAAATAATATTGTTGGGGTATTTCATTAGTATCTCTGATTTATTTGTTACAGCACTTGGGAAGTATAAAATGAATGGAATAAGATACGATCTCATGTATAAGGCAGCTGAATGCTTCTTTGGGGAAATCCATTTTATCCCAAGATCTTAGAGATCTTATATGATGCAAAAAAATGTAATTTATAGCACACCTTTCACACGGGATTTTGAATACTTATTTTGGATTTTCACCATCTCTCCGTTTTTTTATTTTATATTTTGATACTTGTTTAAAGGTACTTAAAATAGTTAATTTTAAAAGAAATTTAATTTTGAAAAATTGAAAACTATATGGAATATTCTACATTTTCATGGGCTTCTCAAGGAAGGCTGCATTATGCAATCCAGTTTGCATTTCTCCTGATGTAAAAGCAAAGCTATAAAAAATATTTTCTATAAATGTCTTTAGATGGCAGAGAATAGCTCTGAAGTAATTGAATAAAAACATATTTCATGTGAGTGAATTGCTATTTAATGTCACCCAGAGATAACTGAAATTACACTGTTATGATAAGAGCATACTGATAGGTGAGATGTGTTGCAACTGTGTAATTTCCCAAAATTTCTGAAGATGCTCACCTGATGAGTAAAAGCTTGCGAAAGGTGTCAAGGGAATCACTGTATCCATTAGGGATAATTTCTTCCTCAGGCGCATCTTTATCAAACCAGTGTTTCCATTGCTTATCATGGTGAGCTATCTAAATTTATTGCATTAACACACAAATAAATATATTTCAGTTGCAGTAAAATCCCCTTGCAAATGTAGCTTTTAATAAGAGGCCATTATTATATTAGGACATATTACAAGTAACATTGCCTAGAGCATTTAAGACATATGCCATGAGAATTGCTATTAAAATACTACAAATAATATTAATTCAATTGCTGCAATCAGTGTTAAGATGCAGACTCTCAAGCCAGTCAGTTATTTATGCATTCCCTTCCCAAACACATGCATCTACTTCCAGAAAAATCAGTGATTAGCAGGAGGATTCCACACCACAAGAGGAACACACAGTGATTGATTAATTTATTCCTTTTGGTCACAAAATATGAAGATGACCAGAAAAATCTGTCCCAGTACAGTCTATCCAGCCAATGAATCACAAATTAAAAGTAGCAGATTCTAGCAAGTTTTTGGCTTGAGAAAGAAAAAACCTGACCACAAATATGATCACAATAAAGGCACCTCTTAGAACCCCTGACCTAATGGGACAAGGAATACTGGTGGGCAGAACATAGTGAAATTGCAACTGAGCCTTCAATGCAGTGACTGAGGAGGGTCAGCTACTGCAATATTCTCAGACCACTGGAAAAAGAACAAGGAATGTACTCACAAAGGTTTAAAACAAAAGATGTTTATGTTAAATTAGGCCTCTAGGATTTATTTTTTTTAGAGGGGAAAAACAAATTTAAACTAGCATGAGAAAAAGAAAAGCACAGGAGACCTCTTGAGAACGGGACATACCATTCTCAGTCCTTTTTTGGTCACTTTAAATAATTTTTTTTCATCTAAATAAATAATGATACAGTTGTATTTTATATGCTTAATCAAATATAACAGCACTTCTAATGGATAAAAAGAAGTATTAAAAAGATGTTTTCACAACATTTGGGTTTTTAACTGATATCCTAGTTGTAACCCTTCTAAATTCCATTTCTATCTATGACTGAAATAATTTTAATTGCCACTTTTTAACTTTGCAACTACCTGGCAAAAGTAAGACAGTGATAAAAAATTTATTTAAAAAGGAGAGCTTTTGTGGTAACATAGTCATAAAGTATTTCAGAGTCTAAAATTTTGTTTGCACACATTCTAGAAAAGCCCTGGTGAAAGGACTTTTATAGAAATGGGATTCTGGTGCCCTGACAACCCAGAGTGAACAACCTAACTAAAGCTTCTCCAGCTTTCTCCTAACTTAATATTCTGATACCTCAAGAAACCAAAAACTGGAAGAATTGCACTGGTATGTATCCAGGGTTTAGAAGCAGCCAGGACCACTTGCAGGTAACCATTTAGCTAAAATGTCTGCTACCCTCCAGGGCCACCACAAAATGGGCTTGGCCAATGCTGTAACAGCAAGGAGAACTTGCTGTCCTGGCTATCACCCTGATTAACACAGAGCACTTAGATACAAGAAATGCTTAGGGAATGGTTTAACTGCACTAAAAAAAGAAAAATAAATTAACCAAATTGAACGTGTCACAAGCTTATGTGCATGTAAGTTCATGCATACCTACGTAAAACATGGCATTTGTAGCCATCTCATCATATAAAAATGTTACCCTTGGAACAGAAATCAGTATGTAAAAACAAGCAGCAAACTTGCAAAAATACACCAGAATCAAGACGGACAACATTGTAACTTAAAACCTTTCTGATACCTCTACCTTTTTATCCTATCTCTTTTATTGACTTCTTTTTCCTTTGCTCCTGTTCCTTCTCTCCTTTTTCTGTCTCAATTACTATGACACCAAATACCCTAAAGATAAATAAACATACCACCATTCCTGCTTCCTAATTGTCTCTATTCTGTTATTCTGTATTTTTGTGGAAACAAAACACAAATAAATTTTGTGGTGACAAAACCGGTTATTAACATTAAAAAGATAATTAGAAGATATCACCTGGTTCAAAATATTTTCAAATTGTGGAAGTTTGTTCAATTCCACTAGATTTAGCCATATCATATCAAGAATCCAGCGGCTTGGTTTGGGTGGGCAAGCCTGTAGATCCAAAGCTGCACCTCCTGTGGATAAAAGCACAGAATGAAATGTACTTTCTGATAAAATACGTGATATTCCAGGGGTCAAGATATAATTGACATTTCTTTTTAATTTATATATTTTGACCTAAGTAATTTTCTCCAGGATACCAACTGTACTCTTGTGTACTTAGCATTTATTTTATAGCAAAGGATAACTTAGCATTATTAATGGCCTTTTCACAGGGGAGGTTACTATTGGGTGCCCTCTAAGGCTTCCCTTTGCCGTGTTGAACAAGCCCAGTTCCCACAGAAATGTTGATAGAAACCATTTGGGCAAAGAAATAAGATTTTGAAATGGCATAGAAGTTAAAAAAGTTGAATTAGCTCTACACATAAAACAACTTTTAAAACTTACCTCTAATGAGAGTTTGGAACTCTCTGTTTTCCACATGTCCTCTCTCAATATCAATTTTTAAAGCCAGGAGGAGGGTGAAGAGGAATTTGTGGTTTTCATACAGCCCTCTAACAGAATATGAGTGAATTTCAAAAGTAAGATATTCAATAATATTTGAGATTCTTTTCTGAGGCACAGGAGACTTCTTAGACCTAAATCACGAAAACAAAGCACAAGGAAACCCCATGAAAAAGAGCAAATACATTGGAAAGGCAAACATCTGAATAGTAGGAAAAATCTGTGTCTTCCTACCTGGCTATAGATTGATCAAACAGCTTCAAGAACTGAGCCAGTGAAGTTTGATACATATTATTGACCATGCTCATTGCTGTAAGAAGGAAATAAAGGATGCTTCCCCGCGTGGCAACAGGTCGATATTCCTCCTGAGCCGTGTTAATCTTCACTTCAGTTTCTGCTGCCACAGACAGCTTGACAGCTATTTCAGCAGCTGTTTGCTTCGTTGTTTGCAGGACACCAATTAAAGATTCATCATCCACTAGTGAACCTGAAAAGTAAAATACTGGGTGTTTAGGATATGATTGTAATGATATTTTCACTTCAAATCTATATATAAAACAAAAGGCCAAATTACAGTAATTATTGATTTTAAAAAATGAAACTATTTACTGAATTACAGAAAGCTTTTAAAATAGAGACCAGACAGGATATGTAATCCTAAAAATTATTTTTACATCCAACATATTTGATCAAATTAATTCCAAATATGTTAAATGTATTTATACCAACAGTTTTGCAACACCTAGTAGAGAAGTCACCTATCTTATGCACACAATCTACATAGTCAACAAATGATTTAAATTATTTTGAAGTCTATTCATTTTCACTCTCAAAGTAAAAAAGACTTATGGTCCTAAGGGAAATGATCATTCAACAATATGCATGAATCTCCAGCAGTTTCTCACAGATTTTCTGTTACCAGATTCTTTTTCCACCAGAGATAGTAAGGGGTCATGTTCAGGCTCATAATGTACTGCAGAAGAGTTTCAAAGCAATTTTAAACCAGGCCATTCCAATTTATATTTCCATTAAAGGATTAAAGGTTTGCCCATGGTCAGATACCTGATGTCATCTGAGGGGCAGAAAGTTCTCAAAAATATTGATGTATTTCAAAAAACTCGTTTAGGTGTTAAGCTCAGGTGTCCTGAGTTGCATACAGTGGCATGTTATAGCACCAAATCCCTCACAGTCCTTATACTCCTGCCATTGTACATTCTCTTACTAAATCTTAGATGGATAAACCAAAATCTGTAAGGAAAAGACCTAGTGTGAATTAGTTTTATCTGCCTAATCTGATTAATATTTTGATACATAACCTTTGGTTGCACTTAGTTTGTAAAGAAGATTGTCTTCCAGTTCCTTCATCTTCCTCTTATTAGAAGTTACATCTTCCATGAGTTTAATTCGTTCTGCCTCTAGTTCCTGTTATTATTGAAAAAAAGAAAATGGCATGACATTTTATGGGTTCCAACTTTTATGAGAGATACTTAAAATTCAGTTTCTGATTTTTCAAATGAATGATTTGTGATTGAAGATAGAGGTGAAGAGCTGGATCCAGTCATGGAATGTGCATTTTACTTTTCTTGGTATCTAAAAGATGTTTTTAATAACAATTTTTTTAAGCAGTGTTTATTCAGTATCTTGTGATTTATCTTGTCAATGTTAAATTCAGGTAATTAATTGTTTGTGTTGTACTAACAATCATATATATATTAAGAGCTTCCCAATTAATTTTTGATATTTGGAAATGTCTATACTGAATCTGAATATAATTTTAGAAAATAGCTAATATCATTTTTTTCCATTTGAACATTTCTTTTTTTCTACATAAACCAATTAAATGAAAAAAATCACTATGATTTATTTATAATGTTAACTTACCTGTTTTTCAGTGAGTATTACTCTTCTCAGTAACTGATTCTCAAGTCCTTTCATTGTAACAGTAAAATCAATAATTGATGTTTTTGCATTAATTTCAGGTGTGAAAGAAGGATTAGGTAGTTTTGTAGTAATGAACAGTCGAAATGTATTCATAACATCTACTTCCTTATCACCAACTTTCACCTGTGGGTCAAGTTAAAAGAGTATTAAACAGAGGAAAATGAGCTTTATTAAACTCAGTAATATTGAGCAGAAAAAAAATTACACTATTTGAAGTGCCAAAAAGAGGAAATTTATTTCACAATTTAGATTTGTCATGAAAATAAAAGTCAATGACCAAATGTATAAGTTACCATATGTTATAAAAGTAGCATTTCCCTCCAGTTAAATATAGGGATCACTTCCACTGTGGATTATGATTAACAGTTTCAGAACCATTTGATTTCTAAGCACACCTCAAATGAAGAGGTAGTAGAAACTGCTGACCTTTGTAGAAGTCATCATTATCTTATGTCCAAGGTAAAAGGAATTATGTGATCCAACAATGGAACAGAAATTACTGGACATAAATTTTATCTTTATTAAGATTAAGCAGGTTTCAAAGAATATTTCCAAATGAAGTAAAAATTCATTCAAAGTGTTCAAAATAATTTTTTATAGACTTAAGATATTCTGAAACAGCAGTTTAACTCAACAGCTGCATGTGCACGAGGAAATCTGATCACTGTATATTGTAGTATGAATCTCGGAATTGCTGGTGTTGGAAAGGACCTGAAAGATCATCTGCCATGGGACAGTGGGGGGCAAATGAGGCTCCAACTTTTCAGTCTCCAAGATGTCTTCAAATACCTAGCTTATAAAGGAGTAGGGCCAAACCACTTCTTTAAGCATATTTGCACTGCTTGGAAATCAGTAGAAAGAATTTTAAGCATTCAATCCAATAAGTTTATAATTGGTTCCAGTTTGGAAACTTCAGTAATAACCCTGGCAGTTAAACTCATAGTTTAGACTTGCCAACTTACTACACAGCTGAGGCTCTGTCTGTTATATTTTATTAGTTCAGTTTGATTCTTTACAAGTCTCCACTGAATACAGAGTTTACCTAGGTGTTTATAACAATGATAAAATAACATTTGTCCCAAGGCTAGCTACCTTTTCAATTTCTTTTGTTTGATTACTAACCTTAAAAGCAGATCCAGATTTTATGAAATTTTTTTCTAATATATTATCAAGGACTGGATCCAATTCTTCCTCTATATCTTCAATCAGGAGCGATCGTCCCAGTGAAAGACTGTCTTCAAGGTGTTGTCGGAAATACTTGTCATTCAGAGTTGTTACCTCAAAAAGCAAATTATAAATTTGTTGTAAGGACAAAGCATTTCTTCACAGTCTTACATGAAAACCACAGACCTAACCATGGAAATTTTTTTCATTGTTTTTGTTAGTTGCATTTTAAAGCAGGTGCTATAAATGTTGACCATGTAGCAATTTATGCAGAAATACTTCTGTGTGTACGGTGAAAAGTACCATAAAAACGTGAATTAAAAGGTTGGCTGTAACTGAATCCTCAGGACTTCATTATGAGAGTAATAATGTACTAAATCAAACTGATCCAGCTTATGGCATATTAAAGATGTTATGTACATTTTAGAAATCAGAGACATCTAGCATTTAATTTTCTGTTCTGTGTCCTAGAAGGACTAGATTTTCTAATTTTAGCTTTGAAGTGCTGAGAAATTCCTTCTAGAAATCTGAACTCAGTCTAAAACACTGCTACAATATTATGAATTCAGATTGATATTTCATGAAATGGGATTCATACTATATGAAATTATTAAAAAGCATGCATAAAATAGTAAGCTACATAATTAACTAATTCTAAACCCTCCAAAATGTATTGATATTCAGGACATATGAGTTTTCTCAGCATTCAGGCTAAGGGTTTTAAAATGCAGCTTCTTTTTGCCATGTCACATCATTTGGGAAAAATAATTTGTGATGCAAATAGTGACACATGAACATCTTTGTATTATATTTCATGTGCAGGCATTTTAGCATATTGGCTTAACTTGTAAAAGAGCTACGAAGACTGCAGTAATGTTAGGATAGGCAAATTATTCATGGATTTCCTCAACTTCCTTTTTTAGTGACCACCTTATTATGAATATCCTCTCAGGTCCTAAATTATGGGCTGCAACACTTGAGCCACTTTGCCTATATTTTCAGAGCTGTAACTTATCCTGCATTTATCTGTAATCTTACTAACAGTCGCTCAATTTGCTCTCATTTAATAATTTCATATTATACTCTTTTGTTCTTAATTATCACCTCTTTGTCCTCTTTTGTGTTGGGACCATACCTACCCATCTTGAACAAAATACTTTTATACTTTTTTGCTAGAACTCATACAAGTTGGATAGTCTTTTACAAGCCCTTGAGTGGGATTTACAGCTGTTCTCAAGTTCCCTGCTGATGCATCTACATAATTGTCAGTCTCCATACATGTTAAACTTATCACAGATCACACTGACTCAAATGCAACTTCCTTCTAAAGTAATAATGTGTGAAGGAGTATAATAGAGCACACACCCTTCCTTTAAGACACTGTTTACCTGTAATTCATTATCCTGTTCTTTTTGTATCACCCATGCTTTTCCTTGAGTTTGTGGGTCTACTAAAAGTGGGTATCTTGATGCCTTAGTGACAATAATACCATTCTGAATTGAGAGGTGATCTCCAGGCAATCCTTGAAGATTCCACTCACTAATCTAAAGAAAAAAGATTTAAAAAAAGAAAAAATAAAAGAGAGATGAAGAAAAAGGAGTGGTTTGAAATAAATTATCACAGGAATTTTTCTTCAATTAAAATTTTTCTGAGAAGTAACAGGGACATCAAAGGGAATGCATATCTGAACCTGCTGAAGAAGTATTAATGCAAGTATAAAAGTATTTCCAGAATTTTATTCTTATGGATTTTTTTAAACTGTATAGAATCACAAAAAGTATATTTTAGAGTCTAAGAATGTTAAAAGACAGCTTGACAGACAAATTAAGCATTGGGATAAATTAAGCAAAAACTAGTCTAAGAGATCTTTTGGGAATTAATGTTTCCTAAAGGAAACTTGAAGATTCTGGTACTTCCTACTCTTTGCCCATTTCTAATACATTTACATTGAATAAAAGGACTTTATGTAGTCTATTTTAAATGATGACCAAACCCACTGTTTTAGAAATGTCCTGCTTTTGGCCGAAATAAAGGTCAATTTTCTCTTAGTAGATGGTACGGTGCTGTGTTTTTCTGCTTTAGTGTGAGAGTAATGTTGGCACCCTGACGTTTTGGCTGTTGCTCAGTAGTGCTCACCCCAAGGCAAGGATTTTTCAGCGTCCTGTGCTCTGCCAGCAGGACAGCAGGTGCACAAAGAGCTGGGAGGGAGCATGGCCAGGGCAGCTGACCTGAACAGCCCAAGGGATATTCCATACCACAGAATGCCATCTCCACTATATAAACTGGGGGAGTTACTCAGAAGAGGCTTCATCATGGTTTAGGGATTGACTGGGTGTTGGTCAGCAGGGGGGTGAGAAATTCTACTGTGCATCACCTCTTTCTCTTGGGTTTTGTCACTATTACTACACCAAGATTTAGTGGAAATTGCCAGGAGCATTTGGAAACCACAGAACTACCCAGCACAGCAATATTTAGAATACTGGGGATTATAGTTCTTCTCTAAGCAGGCATAATGCTGGCTAGCAGTTGTAGAATATGCTAACAGAAATTCAAATTAAACCCTCCAAGCACCAAGAACTTACTGTTGGTGGGTCTACCAACATAGAAATCAGGTTTAAATCATCAGAAAAGGGGATTTTATGCTCTCTCAACTCTGTTTCCCATAAGTCTTTGAGCAAAAGGTTTCTGAAGTCTTGATTAAAAGGTCCACAGTATGAAAGAAAGCCTGTGCAGAGCAATATATCTCCCACAAGTCTAGAAAAGGAAGAAAAATCACCATTAAAAGGTGGTGCACAAATTCAATTTCTCATTACTTAGACAACCAGCTTTTGTAACATAAGAAGATTTAAAAAAAGTTGTTTCCAGAGCATTTTTGAGGCAAAACTTAAGAGTAATATTTTATGAAAACACCATCTCCACCCCTACAAAACAAAAAAGCCCTAATGACAGCTATTCTTTTTTTCATAAATGAGCTAAGAAAATGGTTTATTTCTTAAAAATATGTCTGAAATACAGTATTCATCAAGGATACAAACCTAGTTCTATTGAAACTCCCATCAGAAATGCGCACTTTGCCCATAGCAAATTTGTAGTAACATAAGTCTTCTACAGAAGCTGAGCTTATCTGAGGTTTTCACTTCCCCAGTGACATCAGAAGGATGTACAGTATTGGGGTGACTGCAGAAGCAGCTGTAATACAGATACATAACAGCCCTGGTAATAATTTTTTTGGAAGCTAATTCCAAAGTCAGAGGTATTGTTCTTAACTGAAATACTAGTACTCAGCACCCATGTATTCTTACTTATGGGAGGAAAATTCAAATTTCAGGGTAGTTCATTTGATTGCATTGCTATATTAAGATTTCCAGGAAGAAAATTAAGTACCACAATTAAAGCTACTAATTTGTTTACCAACACTTCAGTTTTTACAAGCATTTTCTTTTTTGTTTTTCTGTAATGGATTTGATACCTTTTAATTTGAGATTTAAATTCTTTGCTTTGCTGAGTCCACCTAACTTTCTCACCACTCAGTCCATCTATAAGTGCAGAGGCTGCTTGCATCTTTCTTTTGCATGTTTCTGCATCATCCTCTAAGTCCTAAAATTAAAAAAATGTCCTACTTAAGCATCAAATGCAAAATGGTGGAGTTATTTTATATACTTTTCATCCTCTTATATTTATTATAACTATTTTACTGATTTAATAAAATAAATATTTTATTAATATTTATCAACAAAATTAACATATTTGACGCTTCAGGGCATCTAATATGCTCCTCTTCACAGGAAGAAGATATAGGCTTGAATCTCTTACTATTACACCTGAATCTCAGCCATGTTATTCAAGGTGTCAGGTAAATGTGTGTTTGCAGCAAATTCTAATTACATAACAATATTGTACAAGAATTTTTGGTAAGACTAAAATACTTTTATCTCACCATTTTCTCCTTCATTGCTGCATCAAACTTTGCCTGCACTTTATCCAGTTCAGCTTGCTTTTCATCTAATTCTGCCTGAGCTTTATCTTTTTCTGCATTAGCTACTTTCAGGCGACCTTCTTGTTTTGCCAGGTTAGCCTGCAAAGGAGAAAAAAAAAATAGAAGTTCAATCATATATATGATTTCAAGATAATTCAATGAACTATTTAAGCCTACTTAGCTTGTAATCACAAGACAACAGTACATCAAAATAACTTTTATATAAACATAAAAACATTTAAGCTGAAAACTATATCACATATATACCAAAGATAAGATTTTTTTTGTTCAGTAACAATACAGCACCTGAAGTTCTACTATATATTGTCAATTTTATTCCTTTAAAAAAATACATTTCAAGAAGGTGGTTAAGGAAGTAAGGTTCCTGATCTGTACAAATTGGTTAGACTAGAAGAACAGTCACTCAGTATTCTTGCTTGACTATATGTATTTTCCTCTTCCATTAGTGAATTTTGTAGTGACCAGCAATCACAACAGGAGACTGGTCCTTTATCAGCTAACAATAGTGCTTTTACACACTAGGAAATGGTCCTAAAACAATGACTCTTCCAATTGTTCCTTAAATTATATTTATGGTGAACACAGGAAATGAAATTATTTTAAAAAATGTTAATCTGTATTACTGTTGCTTTTGTAAAGAACACTTCTACCAGTGACAAAATGTGAAAAAAAAATGGGATTGCCATGTGCTCACCGCTTTTACTATTTTTTTAATTGTGCTATATTTAAGGATAAAATAGTTTGTTAAGGATAAAATAGTTTGTGTAGAACAAAAAAATCACTGACTGAGTTTCATAAACTTGAAAAAGAACACTCACACACACTAAAGTAAAAATTTACCCTTAAAAATGTTTTCCTTATTTTGCTCCCTACTATTGCAACATAGCTCCTTTAACGTGAACTCTGAACCTCTTCAGAAAGCCAATATTTAGGCAAGATGTCAGTGCTCTACTGCTTCTAAGTTACCAGGAGAAAACAAAAATGCTAAAATAGCTGCAAATCCCTGTTTGCAGGACCCTCTGGAGAAGGAATGAAGATCCTGGTACAACATTTTAAAAACAATTATAAAGCAATTATAACATAATTAAAAGACTGAAAACACCTTTCCCTATACACAGTAAACCAGATCACATAAATTTAGTCTAGGCTAACTTTTTGTTCTGTTTTCTCTCTAGAATCAAGGAGAAAATAGTTTTGTTTCTGCTCCTACCCTCTTTAGCCACTGGTAAGCAAACACAAAGCAAGAGAGGATGTATTACCTTAAGAGGGAGGACTTCTCTGTTAACACCATAAAATACCACCATGGCTTTTGTCCAAGAGAGGAGTCCTGCCACGTTGCCACACACCTTTTTACCATTTTCCAGTGTATAGTCTTCCATTTCGAAGTAAGGCTGGACTAATTCTACTGTCTCATCATTGATTGTATCCCTAGCAAAGTTCCTTAAGTTGTTCAAGAACGGGCCACTCATAAGCTTTAAAAAACAACACACGAGTTATTTACATATTTGACATTCAAATTCTTGTTCACAGGTGTAAAAGCTGTTAAAAAGCATTCCTAAAATTCTTCTATAAAAAAGAGGTAATTCATATTGCTAATATTATATGTGTGCTACTCAGTTGTAACTCTTCCCACACACCTTCTGTTATTTTGAAGTTTTAACCAATTACACTCCAGTAACTAGATTCAAAAGTTACTGATGTACTTTCCATCTCCTATATTCCCGTGTTGCACTACAGAAGCATCATTTAATTTAAAAAATTGACCCAAAGAAAGACTTAGAAATATATTTGTAACTTAACTAAATGAAAAAAAAAAAAAAGCTTTGGCAGTTGTGATGTATTATCTAAATTCTGAAAAGTGATATAATTTGGTTTAATTTTTTCTAACAAACTTTTTGCATGCTAAAGGCAATTCATGGAATAACTGCTTATCTAATTTTATTATATCAGTGGAAAACAAAAGCTTTTGATGACTTTTTTAACTGCAAAAGTCCAAATAAAATGCAAGAGCACTATTTGTTACTGTTACCATCAGGCCATGTGCCAGGAAGGGTTAAAGAAACTCTAAAGCTTCTGCTGCAAAAGTCTCTAAGCAATTCACCTACTATTTCTACCGGTTAGACATAGTATACAGATACAGTTTATCTTAAAACAATATGTTTGCCTTTCAATAAAATTCTGTCATGTTTTGGGTAAATAGCATCAAATGTTCTCTGATAAGCTAATTGCTATTTCTGATGTTTAAGAAACACCGTTTGAGAACTCTACTTACTTTTAATGATTCTCCCCACGATGGCTTGCAGCAAGGCTTTTCTGGATCCATGGTAACTTGATCCACTCTCTTTTGAAATAGTAGCAGACAGCAGTCCATGATCCTCATAATGAGGTGTGGAGGCTTTGCAAGTTTTCTAACAGTAGCGATATCCTCTGGTCTGATGGTCTGTTTGAAGAAAGGTGCAATAGAATCCTGCATCAATACCATCATTCTACTTTCCCATTCAATATCTTAATTTTCATGTTCATTTGTAGTACTTTTCTCTGAGGTGCATTTGTATTGAGGATACACCAAAAAAGTGAGAAACCTGGTCTAATTAATAAGTTTCATAGTTTGGTGAAACTTTAGTAATTTTGTGACTATTTTTGGAAGTTGCATTTATCTCATTATCTAAATATCAGTGTAAGAGCAATCAATGCTCCTTTTTTTGCTTTTTCTACTCAATAACTTCTTTCACATAAATTCTTATAACACTGGAATGGAAGGCCATGATTGATTTCTGATTTCAGAGGTTTTTTACTGTTCAGAACAGAATAATGAAATTATGTAGCACAGTAATGCATCCAGATTCCAGAACCCTGCTTCTGATTGCCCTGAATCCCCTTTGTTTCCTGTTTTAGTCTTAAAATCAAAAGCATTGTGGTTTTTGGTGAAGGAAGAGATAGATTTTTATTTGTCTTAAAAGACAGGTGTAACTACTTAAGTTTGAATTTAAAACATTGTGTTAGCACAAGAAGTATCCCCTTGAATTCAGAATAACAGATATTCTAATGGCATCAGTAGCTTTTGGAAAGATCTCTACCTTCATAATGATCAAGTATTCAGATGGAAGGGAAGAAATACTATAAAACAGTCCCTATGTGTTTGAACTAAAATATGTGTGCCTTAAGTACTCTTGAGAGACATGGCCAGCAACAGCAGTTAATACCAAGAGACAGCTGTGTGCTGGCGGCTCTGCCCTCTCACAGGTGATGCAAATAATACTGTACTAATGAAAATGAAATTTATTCACTTTCAGAGCTTCTTCTGCTTCTTCTAGTGCTGGTTTAGCTGCCTCCAGTTTTTTCTCTGCTTCCTGCTTTTCTATATCAATTGCATCCACGATCCTTTGTGCTTTATCTTTCACCTCCTGGACTTCAAGTTTTATTTTAGTTGCGGCTTCAGCACTTTGTTTGACTTCTTCTAGAACCTGGAATTGGTAATAAACACATAAAATCTATAAATCAAAATGGTGGAACAAATGTTACCAGACACATGATAAAATAGGTATGTAACAGCTAATAAGTATATAAATCTAACCCCAACTATAGCTAACTATATATGGTATCATATAACTATTGAATAAAAATTAAATGTGAGAAGTTCAATTTCATCCCTTTCTGTCACATATTTCTCTCTTATGAGATTAAAGGCCTCAAAGAATGCAGGCGGTCCCTAAGTCATCACCAGCCAAAATTCACTCTCCAGTGCATATTAAATATGCCCCATCAGAGCATTACGGTATCTTTCAGAAAACAGAATGCCTATACTGATCCATCCCCTAGCATCCCTTTCCAGAGAGTCATTTTGGAAACCAGATTTCTACCAGATCACTGCTCTCATGAACACACAGGTACCTTGGTAATGTAAAAGACAAAATCTGAAACTGGACTGCAATGAACATTTTTCCAAGGAATTTTGAAGTAGAAAAGTCCCAATATCATGTTAACTTTTCTATGCTAGTAAGTGCACATAAATCCCAAATTTAATTATGTTAATTAGGACAAAAAAAAATATGGAAAAAATGAAATCTGATGCTTATCTGAGTGGGTAAAAAATGGGAGAAGGACAAGGAAAGCACTCAATCTCTGCTGCAGTTTAAAATCACCTCACTTTCAGAAGCTGTATATATATAAATCAAAACTATAGAGAGATTAAAACCTCATTTTAGATGAGGAAAATTCTTGCAAATTATGATAAAATTATGCAGTAGTATTTTACCGGCTGTATTTTCTAGTGTTATTTAACACTCACTTACTTTATCTGCCTTAGCAGAAGTCACAGCCAGCTCCTTCTCCTTAATAGCCAAGTCCTTAGAGAGCTGAGCAACAGATTCACTGGCTTCCATCAGCTTGGACAGACCTATTAAGTAAAAGATAAAAATCAGAAATACAGAAACCTTTTTTTTCCTAGTTAGATCACACAACGTAAGCCCAGATCTCTCATAGGTTGTACCTTGTGTTCTCATTCAATTTTATGTAAGGGAGAGAAAGTGGATGTAAGCAGTCATACTATGATTGTGTCTACTGTTCACTTTTCATAGATATAAGTAATTTTCCAAGGCAGAAAATCATTATAAATAAGATTAATTCTTCAAAAGAAAACAACAACAAAAACAACAAAAAAGGAACTATGTCACATATATATTGCATCATAATGTCATGAGACAATCAGAATTTCTGAACGATGCTTCATTGTGTCATTACATGAATAAATTACTTAAGGATCCATGGTTGATTTGTAATAGAGTCATTTCTAGAAAAAATTGGAAAGTAGAGTCAAAAGTGGACCTAAAGATCCCAGCATAATTATGATCTCCAGCTCCTGCATATTGAGTTTACCCTCTCTTGTCCCTGGTGACAGAGAAGGTGAAATAGAACCTATGTGCTGAGGGCCAGTCCCATCCTAGCTTTTCTGTGTGCTGTAGAAACCACTCAGGCCACCCACAGAGGCCACTCAGCCTTTTATAGAACCATGGAATCACAGAATGTGCTGAGATGGAAGGAATCTATCAGGATGATCTAGTCCAACTCCTGGCCCTGCACAGGACACCCCAAGAATCCCACCATCTGCCTGAGAGCATCCAGAAAGAGATGTGCTTGTTCCCTGTATAGTTATATGTTGTCTTTCCCATGCACTCATGGGTTCTTTTTTTCTCTTCTCTCTTGTTCATAGACTTAAGCACAGAAATTGTGGCCATTCCTGAGTTCCTCATTGCATGCTGAAGCCTCTCCAGCCTATTTCTTCCTCATCACTGAATCTTTAAATCCTACAAGTTTTCTGGAAGTAAATCCCTTTATTGCCTTCTCTCCCTAAGGATTTGAGTCAGCACACCCTTGCAGCTACACATTGGATGTGTGATATTTCTGTGATGGCTCTCCAATTTAATGCTACCCCATTTCAAACAGAAAAGAGTTCTCTCCCAGCATATCCCTTGTTCTGACACAGCTGCCTCTTGGTTAGGTTGCTGCCATTCTACATAACCACAGAATCACCTAGGTTGGAAGAAACCCTCAATATCATCTAGTTACACCACCAATCCAGCACCTTCAACCCAGAAGCCACAAAAGGGAAAATGGTACCCTTTGCTGCCTTACTTTTCCCTGCTAAAAGCCTAGAGTGTGGAGAAGGAAAGATGGAAAGAAAATAGGAATATGCAGATCAAAGAGAATTGAAGAATTCAATTATAAATGAGAAACCTTTATAGCTTATTGAGGTCCCCTGAATAATTTCAGCAAGAAATATTACAGAAGTACCAACTGTGCAAGTGAAAATAATTAGAATATTTTCTAACTGGCATTCATTAGACATGGTTTTCTATGCATCAAAGATATGCAGATGCTGCAGTAGAACATATCCATTCACATGTTCACTGGTACACAATCATTTTTTTTCAGCAGAACATGTAAGGAACTTGTAATAACACATCAGAGGCTATGAAAATCTACATATGAAATTTCATTGATAGTGCTTAAGCTGCTTATGCTACTACTTCTGAATTATTTTGGAAATAAAAAAACTGTAGAAAGAATACAAAAAAACAAACCTAAACCAACCCCAGTCTTTTGAATCGTCAAGGTTCTCAGACTTCATCCCCATCTCAAAGTAGAATGAGGATAAATTCGGATTTCAAGAACTGGCAACAGATCCATAGAGCAAAACTTACACAATTTGAAAATATTGAGGACCACTTACTCTTCTAGAGTTCACTCTAATTCAGTAAAGAATTTATGAATAAAATACCTATGCATTTTTATTCTAGACTTTTCTTCATGTAAAGGGTACCAGTTAATCATTGGTAAAATGACACATTCTTTACCATTGTATGAAAAATCTTATCATGTAGAATTCTTTATTCCTTTGAATTGGTATGCAATATCTTTTCTGATAAAGGCCAGGTTTCCCAAGGTGCTCAGTTGACTTTACAGATTTACAAAAGCATGTCTAGATGCAAACCGGAGAAAACTGAAAACACTAGAAAACTGGTGTTCTGAAATCATTAAATATTGATGCCAAAAATTAGGCCATTTCAAACAGATATCTAAAATGTCTGAAGAATATTTCAACCATACTTTTCTATATTTCAGAACCACAGCTATAAAATGACCCCAAGTAACAACTACTTATTCTACAGCAGAAATATAAAATAAATCACATGTGAAGCACACAGATTGCATGGTGAGAATTTCTATAGACCCCAGAAACAAGTTAATAACTGTTTACAATTACCTCTCTCTACACCAGTAAATCAGATGCTACCTCTGCCCATTTTCAGGCTCTACTTTCCATTAAAAATTCTGGTAGGCCAATATTAAAGTTCAATACAATGCTGAGCTGAGTGGTTAGGCTGGTAGCTTCTTTGAGGTATTTTTACAAGAGAATCATTATGAGGTTGTGATTGGGGGAGTGTCTGGTAAAGGTGCTCATATACTACCACTTCTGGACTGTGATTCCCTGTAGGTGATCGCTGAAAAAGAAGTCTAATGTTAAAAACACAGATCATTTGAGACCACACATGGAATGCATTTGCTTACCAGTTTGCATACGTTCAGCCTGCTCGTTAATACTATTTAACTTCTCAGTGTAAACCTCTTTGTAGCCATTGATGAAAGAGAGGTAAGATTTAGGTGTTACATAAGCTCGTCTTCGATACCTAAACAAAAGCGTATTGGCAACATCAACTTCACATATTTTTGATATATACAGCTATTTGATCACTTCCACAAAAAGAGAAAATTATATAACTCAAGTCTTTATTCATTCAAAATCAGATTTCTTCATGATGCAAACCCTTATACTTTTAGTTACATTTTTTTTATCCACATAGACAATATTAAAGACTGTTGAATAGTGGGACTGAAGATGAAGAATTTTCAACACAACAGCAATTTTTTTTCATGGCCTGAGGACATAATGGTATAGCAAATTTATTTTTTATTAAATAAATACCTTTATTGATACATAGAACAGGAGTTCAAAAAACACTGTCAGTAGCAACATTTTTGAGATTAATTATTCCATTGGTAGAAAATATTACCTTTGGAAATAATTCTCACAGCTTTCTGATACTATGTCATGGAAGAGACCCATGGTTTCCACTACTTCTGTTTTAACTGGTGGAGGGCAGACCATATTAAACTCTGACAGAAAATAGCTGGACACAGCTACAAGAGCTTCCCTGGGCCATCGACTGAACCAATCCATGGTGCACCCTGATATCAGACCGGGAAATTTCAAAGAACGCGCACGGAACTTCTCACCAACCTGAAGAGAGAATCGCAGTTTGTTAGCAATAAGACTCTTAAGCAAAGGTCAGTGAAAGTGTTTAATTAGTACAAACAATTAAATAGTCTATTTTCTTCTTGATCAATTTCTGCTTAGAGCACCTTGCAATTTTTTTCTTCTCAAATAGAGTTTTGCAAAATTGCTAACATTTAACATTAATGAAATTTGAAAAAAGAAGTTCATTACAAATATATTTTGTTTTAATATTTTGAAGCATCAAATAATGTATTTTAATTACCAATAAAATACTGTTTTCCCGTTAAAAGCCATAATTTCACAAAAATACATTCACTGATATGTATTAGGAAAGAATATGTGAGAGGAAGAAAATAGTTTAACTTGTAAGAAATTATTTAGTTTTTAAATATTTTGCTGTTAAGTTCTCACAGCTGTACTATTACTTTTATTATCTCTACAATTACAACTAGACTTCAGTAATCTTTTTATGCATCTTGAACTTCCTTAAAAACATAAAACTTGAATAATTATCTTATACCACATAGGCAAGTTTGCTTATGGAAGAAAGGAAAACAGATATATCGAAAAAACTTACTGGAGAAAAGCAGAGGACAACGTGCAAGTTCTTCTTTGCTCGACTTAAGAAGTACTCATAAAGATTGTCAAAGGTAGGAGGATGCCGAGGCAGCTCTTTTTTCATCACAGGTACTAAGGATTGGGTGATTTCATCCAATTCATCCCGAGCAAATAAATTAGAAATCTTTTTACAAAGCAAGAAATTGATAATTAATTGCATGGATGTCATTATTATAGAATTTATAAATATTTGCCTGTTTACATCTGTATCTCTTTCTCTCTGCATATACACAGTTTAGACTAAAAACCACAAGTTCAGACTTATGAAACTCCATTGAAATCTAAGAAGTCCAACTCCAGAAGAGCATAGAATTTGAACTGGCAACCCAATCATCATTTAATAAAAGGCTACTGAAATACTAACCACAGCTCTTTTATGTTCTCCTGGCTTACACTGAAACAAAGAAACTACATATCCAGAGCACTCCTTACTTTAAAAAGTTGAAATATTTTAATTGTAATTACTCTACAATGTATGACCAAGGCAAATAAAGTAGTGAGAACAAATTCTACAGTACTCTGCCTCTAGAGCACATTGGCTGTCAGGCTGAGACTCTTACCTCTCCTGAAGACAGCAGATTATTTACATATTCCAAAAATGATTCCTCTTTTATCTCATTATCAGTGAAAATGAAGGTGATACCTTGTCCTTCCTGTCCAGCTGTCCTATATAATTCTTTTAAATCTTCTGCCAGATTGGTTATATTGTAGGATCTAAGAGAGATAAGGACATTACTTGTTAATTCAAAACAATACAGAATACCGCTCTTTTGGATTATAGTATTTCATAAATGACATTGCAAACATACTTTTTAAAAACAGATATTTTGGTGCAGGAATAGCTAACACATGGTCTACCTTTTTCAAGTCAAAATAAATCCAATGTTGAGTACAACAACATTGTAATGTTGTATATAAGAGTGTATTGTTTTCAATATTTTTTCAATTGTGTCAAAATTAAAATTAAAAAAAAATAAGAAAAATAGAAAAATCTGTAGCCAAGTAAAGACAAAGCAATACTGTAAATCTGATTTCTATATTTCTTGCATTTCTTACCTAGTTAGAGTTATCTGAAATATTTTATAGCCAGCAATGAAGGAGGCTAACTTTGAAAGACTTTGTTTTCCAGATCCACCAACTCCAACAAGTAAAGCATTTCCATAGGCTGTCCGAATAATTCGGGAAACCTATAGAGGAAATAATAAAGAAAAATATCAGTAATAAAGTTGAACATTAGTTAGGAAAATTAAAAAATCTCTTATGCTTTATGCTTAATTTGCTATAATACAATGTAAAAACTATTAAAAGGATACTTGCAGAAAATTTTTCCTCACAAGAACGCTTGTAAATTCTTTAGTAATTTTGTGTGGCTAATGAAGAAGCTGCATATAAGAATATGGGATTGTTATAATCATAAATACATGAAAGGGGATATTTTGAACTCCAGCTTATTTTGAAGGCATCATTCTGCATGTGTTTAAAATATTAATAAAAAGCTTTAGCTAGAAGAAAAAACATACTAATTTCCTAATTTTAGTAGTCTGTCTTTTAGTCTTTACTTGTTTTAAGTGTTTTAGTAAGACTTAACACAAATAAACTATGCTTTAATGTTATCTTCTAGTCTATCAACTTTCAATATTTCTTTTGTGATAGTTTTCTTACCAAGTCTCCAGACATAAAAGTTGAATTACAAATTTTCTATTCTATTGTTGTTTGACACATATTCTTTGGTTTTATGATATATTAGTGCACTATTAAGATTCTTCCTTATATTTTGGTTCACACATAAATTATGCACAAAATTCAAAAGATTGGCATCTACATAAAGTCTTTGAAATATATTCATTTTTATCTTTTATAATATTTTAGCTTACTGCACACTTCCTTATGAGGCTTTCCAGATATATAAATTAAAGTCTAAATATGAAATTATGTAGGTGACTAGATTTATTGTCACCTTAGGCAGAAAGGAGTGCTGCTGTCACTGATTGCATATCAAGAATATTCTGGCTAAAACTTGCCAATAAAAAATGGAATGTCAGAGGCTTTCACAGTCTTCTGAAATGCACCTAGCATCATGTAAACCATATTTTTAAAGAAACTTATTTACTCCTGTTTAAATGCAAAGCAAACAAACGTTTACTTCATTTGAGGTGAACTAGAGACAAACAAAACCTCTTCTTCTGTTTCTGTTTCACTGCAGCTTCCGTGTGTCTTTCAGCAATCCAGTCAAAGCAATTCCTGAGATAACACTTCTTAAAGCTGAGACACTTATCTCATACTTTGCCTTTATTTAACCCCCATGAATCAGATTTTGATTTCAGATGAATTCTTTTCTGATTAGGAGAACAAATGATTGTTCGTTGAGACCTACACATTACCCTAATCTCTACCCTACACACTGATTCTATTGCAGCCCCAATTTGTATTTCCTTTCATCCAGTCTCTCATCCAGTCAGATTCTACCTCAGGTTGTTTTTGTGCCCTGTCAGGCACAGATATATTTAAAGTGTTCTCTGAATTCTAAATGGTTAAAAATAATTTTATACAGACAATATAAATGTCTTTATTTATGGTCTCACATTTCCTTTTGAGGAAAATTTTCATCTGTCTGAATACATAGAAGTTTAAACAGATATTTAAATAAGGAATTTATTGTAAAACATGCAAACAGGTAAAATGACTGTAGCTCTTTCCTAGTTCTCAAAAATGACCATGCAAAGATGGCAAAGCAGTTTGGAGATAAGAATAGCTTTTCATGATGTGCCCTCTAAGAGTAGCTTGCCCTAATAAACACTGTTACAACAGCTAAACAAATAAAAAAGTAGCAATACCAAACCTTAATAAGATGTGTCATTGCATCCTTGAAAAACACCAAATCAAGAAAGGACCCTCTAATACTTTCATTGTATTGGGACTGATAGTACCGCAATTTGTTACAGAGGAATTCATAGCTTGGAACCTGAGAAAAAAAGAAAAAGAAAAAATCTGTAGCAACGCTTGTAGGGCACTTCAGAATTTTAAAACTCCCTTGATATTTCTACACAAACTTCATTTTTATGTTTTGACCATGTGTAATGATATTATCTTACTAAATCACCATAATTATTGCTGTTGTGTTTACGCAGAAATTTTTTGCTAATGTTGGAAGAAAAAAAAGAAGCAACAAGAACAGGAAAAGATAGATCACATTTATATGTCATTATTAAATCTAACATCACTAAAATGATTTGTTGTATGCTAACTAGAAAAATCTGGATATATTTTCACAAAAATTTTCATAGCTATTTAACAAAACTCTGTGTTGTATGAGTTCAGCAATATAACACACTTAAAAATTAAAGGAAAACTTTGGTGGCTAGTATTTGATTCTTAAAATTATATACCTCCTCATAAATTTTTGGTGCTACAAGCTCAACGTCTTCTGGTTCGTCACCAGTTGGTTCAGGCTCATCCCGTAAAAAATCTACAAAATATGGTTCGGTATTGAGAACTTGACTTAAATCTGCCTCCACATATTCCTCAATTGTTTTATCAATAGTTTTTTCAAACCAAGCTGTGTCTTCGGGTGTATTAAACCTGAAAACCATAAATTAGTACAAATTAAAAATAATATTTCTAATTATATAGAGAGAAAACAGGTATCTAAGTACTAAGAAAAAACTCTAAAACAACAACAAAAAAACCCCCCAAAACTTGTAACATTTTAAAGAAAAATATGTAATAGACAATACATAATAGACAGTGGTCACAGACAAGGATTGGGCAACATTCACAAAAATAAAGTGCTTCCATACTATAAAGTGTAATAGTCAGTCACATGAAATATAAAACAAGATAATTTGATTTTCCAAGTTTGACCAAGAATGAGACAACAACAGACTATGTAATTTTTCAGATAAAAAAGGAAGAAAAAGGGTGAATGCTTTTATCTTTCAACCTGCAGTAGAACAGCATAATTTCTGGTATCACAACACTGCCTATGGAACTGCAATTAGACAAGGAATACTGAAAGGAAGGTAGTATATGGCACTACATCCTGACTCCATTCTCAACAAGTCTTACACAAAAACCCATAATTAGCAGAGGAATACACATTGGGGTAGAGGAGACTAATTAAAGTCTGGAAACATGTACTAGTGACTACATTTCATTGTGTAAACAGCTTTATCTGCTTCCTTTAAGAGATTAAATCTGATTTTAATACAGATCAGACCTTTGACTACTCTGCTTATGATTACTGGTGAAGCAACAAAAAATACTACTTAGGAGTGACTGGCAAATGCAAGAGACAAGAACCACCTCATCCACAGAAAAAATTAATTCCAACTGTAAATGTCAAAGTACATAAAAAACAGTTTCCAGGTATTTTCTTCTTTTTTGTTTCAGTGATACAACTGAGAGGAAAGTAGAACAAATGCGAAGAAGCCCAGTGCTGTGAGTTTTCAAATAAGACAAACTAAATTGAAGAACTTTTGTAGAGATAGCCTAGGTATGCATTACATTACAATTGCTAGAGGTCTTTTGTAATGACATTATAATATTAATCACTAGGAAATTTAAAAGCAGCATGGAAACAGGGAATGCATGACTACACTCTCTGTCTCCCTCTTTCTAATATATGTGTACAAATACATGTCTTCCATGCATTTTTAATTTACCACAATAAATTAAAAACATATCAATATTAACATATTAACATATTAACATATCAATAAATACCAGTGATACTGCTCCCTTATTTAAAACAGAAAATAGTACACTGTATAATTCTGTATGATACTTTTGCCTTAGTAGGGTGGATCCTAGCTTAAAATAAAATTAAATATTTTTCCTGTCTCATTTCAACAGCACTCTGTTGTACATAAAAATGTATAGACATAAATTTTATCAAATATGTATGTTTGTATAATATTTGATAGTTAAGAGAGTGAGAAGTATCAGACAGAGATATCAGCACTGCTAACATTTTGTAGTGGATGGACTTCTCTGATCACAGAGAAATAATTATAACTACTCACAGTAGTAGAGGGTATATGTCAGGCTTTTAGCAGCAGCTTTAGTGCTACATCTAGAATTTCACAAGAAATTGAAGCACAATGAACAGAAAAATAATAGTGGTCTCCAAGACATACAGGTCATAGTTATATCTGTTTTATGAATATTTTGAAAGAGATTTATAGGAAATGGGCCAATTTTTAGTCATAAGCATGCAATCCTTTTTTTTCTGTGAGGAGAGCAAAACAATTTTAAATTATCCTATGTGTATAAATTTAGGACACCATAAAGTTTTCTTTTCTACAGTGGAATCAGCTGAGTGCAGCCAAGGGGGGGAAAAAAGTAGGTTGAAAGACATTAATACCTAGATATTTCAATGTTTTCCATTCAGATACTGGGTTAATCTATCAGTATATACCATGATATTTGTTGGAATAACACACCAATGCAGACTGTATGTGAAATAAGATAAAAGTTTTCATATTGGCCGAATAAGATTTATAACATTTAGAAGTTGTACAGATGTATGAGCATAAATGAAGTAAATGGCTAAATTTACTAACTATAAAATGCCATAATTATTATACCTGTCAGCAATTACCCTGGTACATTCATGTTTAAAAAGTTTTAGGATAACACTGCTGCTTGTGCATTCTTCTGCCTTTATAGTTAACATTCCTTGCCAAATTCTAGAAAGGTCTCGAAGGTTGAAGATGTAGTGGAATTTAGATGGTGTAGGTAACATCTTTGCCTAAAGAAAAAAATTGTTAATATTCAAAATCAGTTAACACCTTGAAAGAATCATTAATAATAAAATTCATAACTTTATCATTAATAACACATATAAAACATGCAAATAACAAAAAAGACTACTTTTCACACGTAATACTGTGGGAAAACTCTTTATAAGAAGTCACCAAGAGTATCTAATTCCTTAAAAGCAGAATCTATCACTAAATGTAGAACACCAAGATTTACAACATGCAATTTTTTCACCTGTTGCTCTGGGTTCATAAATTAAAAATTATAATTTGTAAAGAATTTCACTTCCTGCCCCTTAGCTATGGAGATCAAACCTTTGGGTAACGTGAATTAACTCATAGGAATGAATGGACTGATATTTCTATTCTGTCTTCTATACTGAAATCTGATATTTTCCAGATTTCATCTTGAAAACATTGTAGCCCATTCTCTGGGGTTTTTTTAATCTCTTTTTTTCTTTTCTTTTCCTTTTTTTGATGGGGTTCAGTGGTCTGGTTTTTTGTTTGTGTTTTTCTTATAGATATGATTTTAGGGAATAGTTGCCTAAACTAAACTAATAGTCACTGTATTCAGAGATAAAACTTTCCTTGTATTTATACCTTTGTCCGCTGCCACAATATTCTTCCTGTTGAGACCAATCTTTCCACCATACTACATACTTCAGGGTTGAATTCTCTACAGGGATGAAAATATCCATTGGCAATTATACCTGAAAAATACAAGATACAATAAACAATCTCAGCTTGAAGGATATAATAAGGTAGGTCATGAGCAAGACAAATAGGTGCTTGTTTAAAACAATACTTGGTAAAACATAATTTTAAATTACAGGTGAAATTATTTTTCACTGTTGTCTATGGCTTTTCTGAGTTGGTATAGAAACATCAGGCAGTAAGTACTGGGTTTCTCCCATATCCTGTATTGACAGAGTTACCAGAATTGAGAAATTTAGCAACAGAGTGCGTTCCAGACAGTCCAGAGTTGGAATGTTAACCTACACAGAAATAGCAGTGCTCATAGTCTTCCAGGAAATGTCATTACTTTCTTAATATTTGTTTGTCCAAAATTAGAAAGACAAGCATTTTAAGGAATTAATTTCTCTTCCACAGCACTATTTTTGCTGTACCACAGCTTTAGCTGTTTTCCTGGAAGAACTCTGAATTTGCAGGATGAAAGTGAGAAAGAAAGCATACTTTTATAAATTTTAAATCCATTACAAAGGGAAATAAACTGTACTAAAACAAAGAAAAAAGTACCAAAAATTTTGTCGATGGATGCGTTGGATGGCAATGTACAGTTGAATACACAAAATTGTCTTTTCAGACGCTGGGGAATATCGTTACGGCCTCCTCCAGGATGGATCATTGCTGCTATTATTTGTACATCTACAATTGTAAGGAATTCTCCAGGTTTATCCAAGCTGTACATCCCTCTCGCTTCCATCATCTGACGGACAATTTCATTTGTTATCTGAAAATTCATGTAAGTTGTACAAATTAGAAATTTATGCAAGGAAAGAAGAAAACACGCCATGATAATTTAACTTATTTTTGTAATTCTACTAATCCAGAGAGAGATATTTTTACCTTAATCTAAAAACAGATTAAACTACCTTCCTTAGAAATATGGAAGATCTTTGTTTATGTGGTTTTAAGTGGCAGGAAAACTTTTTCACATTTCAAATTTACTGCCATATAATATCACAAAATTGTGTTTGTATTCTTTTGAACTAAACAAAATTAATGAAATTAATGGAGGGAGAAAAATTTTGTTCCTTATTTTGTTGCTGGAAATTCAGCTACAAATGTTGCAGTTATGCTTTTCCACTCACTCTTGGGCCTCCTTTGAAGCAAAATAACTGATTCTTTTATGCTTTTTTGGAAAGGCTATTCACTCTTCATTCCACTCTACAGCTCCAGAGTTTTCCCCACAGCAAGTGCTCCAATGATATTCAGCAAGCCTTATGCATGTGCTCACACACCCCACCAAAACCAAAATGATATGCAGCATGTCACCAATCAGAAACCATTATACCACCAAAAATATTTCAGCCATGTCTTGGGGCCATAATGCAAGACTTCGTGGAGGCCTTGAATTTTTCATATCCTTTATTTCTCTCTCCAAGGTATTGGCCTTTCGCTTGGAAGAGATTTCTTTACTAGTACTCTCAGATTAATGTCAGTCTTGAAACTGATGATATGCTACTTTAGTATGGTGCTGATTTCTTTTTGTCTTAAAAAAATAAGGAAGGGGAGAATATGTAAAATATAGCATCATTATATTACATATTTCATCAATAAATATAATTTGCTCTCTTATTTTGTGTGCATCAGTGTACCAAAATTATAAAGCACTTCCAATAATTAATAGTTAATAAAAAAATTTAGGAAGTCCACTATATATATATATATATATAGTGGACTTCTTATACATATTCTTATACATATACGTATATGTATATGTATATGTATATGCATATGCATATGTATATGTATAAGAAGTCCACATGAAAGACCAGAAAAATTTGAAAATAAGTAGTAAATATTAAAAAAGTCTACCTGATCTCCCCATTCATTGATAAATGGCATATTGATATCATCAATAAAAATAGTCATTTTTCTGCCCCCAGGAGGTCCATAAGTGCTTCCAACACGTTTGTCCACATAACTCTCTATTGTCCTCTAAAAAGATAAAGAAAATTCTCTTTTTATATCTAAAGCAACAATATTTAAAAGAAATAATTGAAAAACCTGCAACAGCACTCAGCTAATGATTCTCTCTTTTTGCTAGCAGCTTCACCTTTAATTCTACTATTAAGGACCTCAGTTCCTAAGGAATCCAACTCCAGTCCTGCAATCCACCTCTGGCCATCAGAGCTTTTTAAAAAGTTTCCAAACTTAGAAATTATTGTTTCACTATCAGCATTATCATTCCAATTACTAATATAACTTGTTTAATATTTGCAGTACAACTGCAGGGCACAGAGGCAACTTAGATTCCTTTAATCATGATTTTCCAGGTGTTTTGTGAGGGATACAATGTAAAATTTTTAATATTTTGGTGGCAAGAAAGAGGATGCAATAGACAAGTAAGAATGATATATAGTTGAAATGTTTCTTCAAAATTCTACAGCTCTACAGTATTTCTAAAGATACATAAACAATGACATAAAAAACACCTTACAAGATGGTACCAGATGTTTTCCTTAGACAAGCAATGTTTTCTCCATAAAAGCACAAATGTCACCCTATATGAGTAATGTAGCATGTGCTGTCATAAAGATAAAAGTATTAAAAGTATTTTTGAAACAGAAAATACACACATCTTTTGTCCAATGTTTTTGCCCCATTTTTACACCAGATTGATGAGTATTTTAAGATACAGGCATACAGAGAATATGTGGTTAAGGTGTAAAAGAGAAACTGGTGATTACATAAGAAATCAAGAACTTTGTAGCATGTCTAATGCATCCAAAATCACACAACATTTCAAACAGCCACAGAATGGTGACTCAAAATTAAAACAAAAAAATAGTGTAACTCTTTCAAGCGTTTAGGAGCATTCCACCTCTTTTTCTGCTACATCTCTCCATAGGAAGCCAGCAGAGTGAACCATGTCTTGAGCCAACTCAAGCCTGGGATTTGTTTCCAAGAGTGTTCTAAGGACCCATAACATGCTTGGCAAAGGACACTGGGACAGAGATACTGACTGTTCCACAAGCCTTGCATGCCTGAAAGGGTGGCTGCCTTATTTTGTCACATTTGGATACAAACCATGATCAGAGATCTTACACATAAAAATGGGAAAAAGTGGGAAAAACTCAGCAGCCATTCTGTGAGTCTGGAATTTTTATTTAAAATAGGTGTATGGTTCACTATTTTTCACCATTTTCTTAATAAAATTTACATTATGTTCTTAAAAAATATGCCTACTTTTGCAATGGAGTTTGTAAGACCTATTCTGTGAATAGATTTTTCAATCAATAAATTTTTCAAAATTAATTCTTTTTTCTACCAGAGGCTCATCACTATGAATTCATTACATTGAATTGGTAATGAAGCTAATTTAAGTTACAGAATCACATCCTAGAAAATTAGTAGTATCAAGTCATACTACAGTGTTATAAAACATCCTTTCAATCACTTGAAAAAACTATGAGCAGCATTTATTTTCTGTTTATATAGATTTTTACCAGTTACATAGAGTAAGAGAAATTTCTACAAAGTTGTCATGCTAGAGATCTTTAAAATTGAATTTCTGATGCTGTAGTTACTCTTGAGCTGAGGGAAAAAATTATCTAAAGGTTGATATCAGCTCTTTATTTAACTAAAATTAAAATTAATACTATGTACTAAAGAATCATAAAAAACCCAAAGTATAACCAAAAATCTAAGAAGAAAATTAGAGGTCTTTAGCAAAAAAAAATTCATTCTTAGAATTCCTAATGAAAAAGCTCACAGCAATCATGAATATATGTATCTCTATGTGAGTGGCTATATTTTACTCTGATCTGCAAAAATTATTTTTTATAGAATTTTCTGAAATGTTGAAGTGACTTAGAAAAAAAAGATCCTTTAGAATTTATTTCTAAATCACTTCTCATCAGAATTAAGTACCCTTTATACACTTAGCAAGGAAATGGTATGCAAGAGTGCTTAAAATCTATATTTTCACCTGAAACATAAATGGTTCTGTGGCAGAAGAAAAGTTTAGACTTTTTGACAAATGCTCTTCTGGGTCATATCTTTTCATATATCCCTTAATCATAACAGTCTTTGCAGTCCCCTGTTCTCCTATGAGCAAAACAGCCTGTAACAGATATTTAAACCACATAAGTAATATCAAAACTTATATTTATATATGCATAACAGACCTATTTTTGAGAAAAGAATAGTTTCTGTGTCTATTTTTAAATGCTACATTTTTGGATAGGTTTTTCTTGTCTCCAGATGCACTGACACCATATGTGTTTTTCATTCCACATAGATTCTCCAAGAAATTTCTTTGAAGAATTAAAAGAGAAAGGAAGAAACAAGAATGTGCTAGAGGATTTTCTTCCAATTGCCAAACTTCTTCCAGTTTCTGACACATCTGCTGCAACAGTATCTTTTAGTGGATGACCCTAAGAAGGCTTCCTGTAAATTCCTTCCTTTATATTCTAAAGTTTTGTTCTTGAACAAAAATAAGTACAGATATTTATATATATTTATATATAGTTAATATACTAATAATTATTTAACAAAAATAATTAGAGGGTCCATGTTAAGAAAATAAAAATAAAACAATATAATGATGCACCTGGGAAGCAATGACTAGAGACAATGACTAGAAGATGAAGAACAATTATAACATCCAGGTACTTTTTAAGTACTTTTCTATTTATTTAATATGGTAGGCATATACTAAAATATGTAATCCTCTACTTACTTTCTTTTGTTTTGCAATTGTGTTTATCAAAAACTGAGTTCTGGTATTATCAACATTTGGAACCAGAATAGATGCATAGTCTGGGACATGATCTGTTGGATAAACAAATTCCTGAACTTTATTACTCCAGTGCTCCCACGCACCTGAAATGACCAAAAATAAAAAAAAAGGGGGAAATTCCATAATATTCTGATCATGTTCAATATGTTCAATATTTTGTTAATACAATAATTTAAAAAATAGATACTATGGGTAGAATACTACAAAGTGTAAAAAGGGATAAATTTTCTCAAGACTGTCTAAAAGGCACCTAACAAAGGACATTCTATTAGTCATAGACCTGTAACAGTCTAAAATCCTACAAAATGTAGACATATTTATGAATTTATATATACTTATCTAAATAGAAACTCTAAAGAATGTTTACCTAGAAAAAAATTCTCACACTGCTAATGAAAAATTACAGAACATGGAAATATGGATTTCACATGTATACACTAAATCAATATTGCTGGTAAAATAAAAATAAATCTGGATATGACAGAAATTCATTTCTTCACAAGAGAACATACTCTGCCATGACAGTAAGTTTTTTGTGACCATGGTTTTGTGTGCTAGTTAAATTTTAAAAATTGTTCTAGAAAATAGTACACTATTCAAAATATCAAGAATCTAAATATCTCACTATTCTTATAATTCTATAACCTTTCACATTCATGACCAGTTGTTAAACATAAATTACTAAGCAAAATTAAAATCAGATTTTATTCCTTTAACGAAAACTACCACCTATAAGAAAATTAAACATAAAATAGTATTGAGCTAGACTAAACCAGACTAAGCATGAATTATCTACAAATTGCAGGTTGGCTAAATTGATAAAAAAGTAATTTGTAAGAAGGAAATGAAAAAGAATTAATAAAAGGTTATCAGTGAGCACTCTATGCTTTGTCTCTGATTTCTCACATCCACAGATGTGCTGGTACTACACTGTCAAAAATCCTCAACTCATAGGACTGTATAATAAGGACTAAAGCAGTAACAGATTTAAAATGACAGTTTAAAAAAGAATATTGGTTCTTTTCCTTACCACGATCAGTTACATAAAACTCATACATCGTTTGATTGCTGTCACGGGGGATTTTTGGTAGGTCTAATTTACTATCATGAGCTCTAATGAAGGCTTCAAGTTTATCTCGACTGTCCAGCTCCAGAAGGGCACCTAAACTCCACATAATTGCAAAGTTGAACAATTTATGCAGTAGTTGTGTAGCTGATACACCACGTTCTTCCTTCAATGGAATCAAGCCCTCCAGAAGATTAATAGACTGAAAATATTTTAAAATATGCATTTAGAAAATATTACATAATCACTTTTTATTTACCTATAAATGCATTATTTATATATATGCATTATTTATACATATTCAAAATTTAAATCAATACAGATTACAAAAAACCATCAAGCATAAAATTCAGATAAACAAACCAAATAAAATGTATTAAAGATAGCTATATAAAACTGAATAAAATTTTCAAAGTTACCTAAGTAATTTGATTGTCAGTTATCCTTCTAAATTATGCCTACAAAACAAACATAATTTATGACCTAGGGTAACAAAATAGCTTTTTAAGGGCTTTTACAATATTCACAACTTCAAGAACAGGTGAAGCTTAGCCATTTCTTTCCATTTTAAAACATGGAAGAACTTTCAGCATCTGTCTGATGTATTTATCTCAATTATGGTACAATTTATTTATCTATCACATTAACTTCTATTTTTTCATTAAAAAATATATTAAATTATTCTGTTATGTGATTGCTTTACTCTGTTTATAAGGAACTAGAGTCCAGATTCTAGAAAAATAGCAACTTGGTATCTACAATTCTGAGATGTTGCTGAATTTGGATGTTTGACTGTTTTAGGCAACCCCATTTGTGCTCCCCTTCTATACAAGGCAGTGTGCAGCATTTTGTTCCAAAATATGCCTTTTTAACAGTGAAACAGATTTTCAGTCAGCTCTTGGAATTAGTACTCTTTCTGCTGTCTTGCATCTCATAATTGGGAGTGGGAAGTGATTAAGTAACACACACTTCTAATGCTTGCCCAGAATCTCATTTGCAACAGTGGCCAAAAGTGGAGGAGTAAAAAGAAAAAAATCTCTCTTGGTTTGTGGTGGTGCTGGGGTAGTGCTTTCTGTTGGTACTCTCTTCGGCTTGTGGCTTTCTAAACAATATACACTTTTCCTGTTTTATAATCCCATGTGGTTTTTTCCACCCTGAAAATAGCAAGACTGGTCTTGAGCCTACATAAACTTTTATTGTCTATTACAACATTTGGCAAGATGTCCCACAGGCCTGCAAGTCATGGCATTGAACAGTTTGTTTTCTTCCTGTGTGAACTCCTTCATGCTTATCTTCACTGAATTTCATTTGCCATTTTATTACCTATTTATTCAGTCTCATAAAGTCTGTCTACAGTTCTTCATGGATAGTTGTTTTGTCCTTAATACCCTGAATAATCTAGTATCATCAATAAATTTCTTCACCTAAAACTTTTCCAAACTCTTTATGAACATTTTGAACAGGACTGATCCCTGCAAAGGTGCCTCAGGATCAGTGATAACCTCTATCCTTCCTACGAACTGGTAATCCAGTCATATATTTACCATCTTCCAATACATTGTTTATCTAGAAACGAAACTCTGATCTTCTACTATGATTATTTAGCATCTGTGTAAATGTCTGGTAAAGAATGATGTCAAGCACCTTTGATCTTTCATGCAGACTATACCAATCAGATCTCCTTTAGCTACTAGTTTACTGACTTTTCCAATAGGCTTGTAAGGCAGGATAACTCTATAAACAGAAAATTGGTGTTGACTCTCCTAAGGTAAATGATATTTGTCTTCCTAATGAGGTAGGCCAGAGGATGCATAAAGAGTTAGAAAGTCAGTGGAAATTACAAGGAGGAAAGCAAAGGTGAGACCACATTTGTTGTGAGACCACAACAGCCATTATAAAGCTGTTGTACATGAATAGGAAACTTAAATTGTGAGTGCTTAAAAATGGAACATAATCAGGTACATGTGCATGTTTGGATAAACATCCAAAACTGAGTTTTGAAACTCAAATACAAGTCTGCCAGATGCAACTGCTTTGATTTGGTTGCAATTTTTGAAAATGCATGAACTAAACAGAAGCTGCATGTCCTGAATCCTGCAATTGCTACAGAGACGTAAGACCCAACAAAACAGGAGGCTCTTAAGGTTTCTCTTCTGCACAGAGACCATTTATGGCAAAGCTGAGATTTTAAGTAGGTTAAAAATCTCTGGTGACACTGGCTCTCAGATAAGACAAGCATGGAGGCCTGCTAAGAGTTATTTACTGTGTCACAGATGTGACAGAAACTTACTAGAGATTTTCATTCACACAAAGAAACAATCAATACAGCTTAAATCAGGGAAATATTTCCCTGATCAAGCAGCATGAATAGAGCACTGACTGCTGACACTTCCGAACAAGTGCTGATCAAAAATAACAGAAACTTTTGATTGCAGGAAAAATCTTCCATGAAGACAAGTTCAGTTCAGTTAGAGGTTTCACAGATAAGAAATGTAGAAGAAAAATTATACCTCTCTTAAAAATGTTGTGCTTTGCGCAACATAAAGTTCAATTGTTTCTGCCTGGGGACTTTAATTCTAAAGATACTCTACTGTCGTTTAATACTGCACAGTTAAGCTCTCCAGCATTTACTGTGGCTATTAGTTTGCAGTAAAATACTTCACAATCTAGAAAATCTGAAACTAACTCTCTAATGAACAGAAAAATATACTGGGTGCAAATTTGGTAGTTTGACATTAAACTGGAGGGCTATCCAAAACATTATCTTGTCTAGACTCTTCTTCAAGGGCACCACTGAATTTTTTATGAGTGTGTCAAAATAAAAGGGAGATTCATGGACAAATGGAAAGTCTGGAAACTTAGAAACTGCAGATGACAACAGATTCATAAACAAATCAGCTGGAGATGTGCAGTACAGGACTGACAGTCTTGCAAAATCTGTCAAAAACGTATTTATATAATTAATAAATCACTGATATAGTTTGGACTCCATTCAAGGTAGAATTCCAACTGATAGGAAAGAAGAGGCAAAAATGACCACATTGATCTTGAAAGACCTGATGAACAGAATAACACCTATTACATCTGAAGATGAAAAGATAAATAGAATTATTCTTCTCTCTCTGCTGACATTGCCAGTAGAGCTATAGTGACCCTTACAATAATGTTTTGGTATTAAAAGAACCAAAATTAATTCACTACCTTAAATACATGCTTCTGGATATTTACTGAAGCCTGCAAATTCCAGTCATTAGAAGACTAGCCTAGGTATGAAGTAGTAGAGAGAAAAATATTGTCTTCTGCACATCTTCACACTTCCTCTTATATTGCCCAAGAAACAAATATTGATTTTGAGCTTTTCTTTTTCAGCTGACAATATTTTCAGATTACATTTTACAGCTATCAAATGTTCTCCTTGCTATTCCTGCACTTTTACTACTGTCAGTCAATTCACACAGACTCATACAGTATCTCTCTTACCTGCATAATGTAGTTACATTCCAGAAGCTCCATTTTGGGGTTAAGGTTTAGTTTCATATATGTATATGCTGGTTCAAAGATTCTGTCATACAAACTTTGCAAAAGTTCAGCTTCCTGAGCAGTACGTTTTTTCAGCCATGCCTGAAAAAAACATCCACAATAATGTTCTGTATCAAAGGTATAGCAAGGTATAATAAGGAGCAGCCAGCAACAGTTGTGTTACCTGCAATATTGGTCTCCAGCTGAGGACAGAAGAACTGATGAAGACCATACCCATTCGAGAAACTGTTGCTGGAGAGGCATTCTCGATGTTGTGGACCTCAAATAACAGTTTACAGGAAGGAGACATAGGAATTCGATCTCCATTTGCAAGAGTGAGGGTCTTGTTATCATCCAAAACTGAATTTAAATTCTCAATCCAGATTGCATCTACAGGACCATCTAAAACTAGAAACACATTTTCACCTGGAAAAATAATCAAAAGAGAGACCGTTTGTATCACATTGCTGAAAAATCAAGAAAATAATTGTACAAAAGATGGTTGGGAACTTAAATGTCACCCAAAATTTTATTTTATTTATTGTAATTTCTGCCATTTATACGGATGCTCCTTACTGAATAAATTGCATACTTAGTTAAGGAAATATTTTGAAAAGACTGATAGCAAATGAGGGTGCAATTATACCTGTGTAGTGTTGAATATTTGTTACCTTGGCTGGCTACCAGATAGAAACTATGCTACTCTCTTTCTCTACCTCTCTCATCACGACAGAGGGAGAGAATACAGTGAAAATGTTTGTAGGTTCAGATAAAGACCAGAAGATCACTTGACAGCTGTCATGGGCAAAACAGACTCAAGTTGGAAAAGATTATTTTATTGCAAATTAACATAAATTTGGATGATGAGAAGCAAAGACAAACACCTAGAACATTTTTACCCCACTCCATTTTCTTTCTCCAGATGCAACCTCTTTCTTTATAACGTAATCTAATTCTTCCTCCCTCCTCCTCCTGCCCCAACCCTACTCCAGCAGCACAGGGAGGTTGGGGAATTTAGTGTTTTGTTGCTAAAGTGAGGGTTCTTTGAGCAACTAAACCAGAGACATTGAATATTCACAGATCCCTCTCAAGTTAATGAAAACTATGCACACTCCTCTGATCTTAAAATCTGGTTGTTTTTCTTATACTTTGAAATATAAACATAGATGTAAGTACATATGTTTTAGCAATTAAATTTTAGAATTCCAGCTTCATTTGGAATATATAAATTTTCTAACAGAGAAATTGTATGCATTTCCAATGTAAGAAATTCAACTGTCGTCTAAAATTAACATCTTTTTAGGAAGGTTCCCTAGAAGAATTCCCTTTCTTTGATATATTTATTTTTTCAGATACAAATGAAACACTGTAAAAAGAAATTTCAGTATGCCAATCCTAAAATACGGGCAATCAATGCATGTAAACCATGACAATAACATTATTATAAAGACAGTGCCATTAGAACAAGTTAATATAATTTATTATTTATCAGCTTCCAAGTAACACATTGCAGAGCTGAAGTGGCAAGAAAATTATCTTTTTTTTTAAATGTAGATATACTGAAATACTAAACCTTTAAACCTCCTTTCTTAAGAGGTGTAATCTCATCTCATCTCATCTCATCTCATCTCATCTCACCTCATCTCACCTCATCTCATCTCATATGTTCTCTATGGTTTTCCTCAAGAACATATGTGAATTCAATATACTTTTTTCAATATATCATACAAGATACCTTTTAATGATATCAAATGAGAAGTATTTACATACCCTTTTTGGTTTTCAGTGTTTTCCTCCACAGAGTAGAAAAGATTCCATCTGTCCAGTCATTAGTTGCAGCATCTAGTTTTCCAAACATTTGAGGAGCAGTGATAGCTTTGGGGTTCATGCGCATTTCCTTATGAGGATGGCCACATTCTGTGAGTGCTCTCATCAATATAGTTATGACCATCGTTTTTCCAGACCCACTAGGTCCAAGTGTCATCAACCCATGACGTACCAGATTGGTTTCATACAACTATTAACAACATCAAAATAAAATATTTCAATTTAAAAACCAAAATAAAAACAAATACATGCTTTAGAAAGATATTTTCTTGCACTTAGTAGTGATAAAGAGGTATTAGACATACAAGTTATATGCTCAGGATTTAATTTAGCATGCATTTGCTGAATTTTAATGTTTTGTGGAAGAGTATATATCTCCAGTTCCTAGTCTTTTTTGCACTAAGCAAGTACACTATAAATGTTTCACAGAACTATATCTTACCTAAACTTTTTTAAGCAGCTGAAAACTGTTTTATAAGATTTGGAAAAGTGTTTTCTGTATTATTTAAAAGGAAAAATTAATAGTAGTAAGACATCAATACTACAGAAGTATGAGTAATTACTACAGTCTGAAATACCTATGTATATGAAACAAGCAGAGGGACTGCACTTCCTCCAGGACTGTGTATGAGTTTAGTTTCAGGAGAGTTCTCTACTGAATTTTATGTTTGTCATTTAATACTAGCCTTAGGTTTGCTGTGAAAGTGTCAGTCTGCCTATGCAAGTATGGATGAAGTGAACAGCACAAAACAGTGGTAATCCTCCAGGGTGCCGAAATCTTGTAAGATGAAACATACACAGTTTCTTCCTCTGCAAGCTGAATAAAAGCTTTTATCATTCCAGGATGAAGATCTACAGGCACCACAGTGCAAGTCCCTTGAATTGGTCTTCCTCAGCAAGGTGCACACACAACCTTCACTTTTTCCCATATGCCATGTGCAGGCTCTTGGGTAAGACAGTGGTCTAGCCACAAACACATTGTTCTGACTCCTGATTGTGAAGAATGCTTTAGAAAAAAAAGTTTTACCTGAACAAGCTTAAGGTTCCATGGTGGGTGGTTAACCAGTCCTGCCTCTTCAACCTGATGAGCTACTGCAGCCTGGAGCTCATCATAGGTGCTGCTGTCCAACTGCAACCCCGGGAAGAGATCATTGATAAGACTCAGAAACAAAGGCTCATCTTCATCTATCTGAAACAAAAAATGTCATTAAATGTTTAAAGGATGGTTATTCAAAGAACTTTTCCAAATCAAAATTAGTCTCTGTTTTAAAAGAAAAAAGCAGTAATAACATACTTTCTAGATACAGATGCTTACAGACAGCTAACAGGAGAGCTTGCTACAAAAAGCTGCACTTTGAAAATGTCATCCACAAGCCATGCAAAAGAGAAATTCAGAATTGAAGGAAATTTCCCACTGAGTAGATGCTGGAGTCAATTTATAAAATTGATTTTTAAATTACTTGCAGCATGTATTGGAAAGAACATCCTATCTGGAAAGAAATCTTTAGAAGCCTGATTTAGTGGACACTCATTATTCAATTTACTTATGGTACAGTGGTCAGTTAGTGCACAAGCCAGGACACTGAAAGTCACATGCAGAGGTAAGCCTTAATCTAAATCTATTTAAACCTTTGCATAATGAACGCTCTTTACAAGTCTAATAAATTCTCTATGCTGTATAGTGATAACATGAAGGTTATCATGCTTCATTTTTTAAAGTAAAGAAGTTTTGAGATTTTTTCTGATCTCATACAAAACCCATGAAAGATCTATTAGGCTTTCCTCTACATGGTACTTAACTATTAAATTAGATTCTTACCAGCTTAGAAAGATTCATATCTCTTAACCCTCTCATGACAATACTCAGTTCACCTTCATTTGGCCTGGCTCTCTTTTGAGCTCCAAGAGTCCTCAGTACTGAAAGGATATTCCTCAGACCAAAGTCATAATGGACCTAGAGAGTGGAAGAAGGCTTATGCATCAGTAACAAATTCTCTAGCTTTATTTCATTAATATATCAAACTTCACTTGCATATTTACTTGTAAAGTGCAGTTGTCCTGCCTGGAAAAGGTAGCTAGGAATTGTTGCTGCGGTTTAGGAATTATTCTGTTCAAATAAATGAAGTATAATGAAGTTGTTTCCAGGAAGATGTGTGTATGCTATAAGATTTTTCTTTCCTAATTTAAATTTAATTGATGAAATCATTTATCATGCAATATAAAAAAAATGTATAGCTCTGAATAACAGGATTCTAAAAAACTAATAGTTCCATTCTGAGTCATGTCTTTTCAGCTAAGGCATCTTAAAGCACAGACTTCAGGTCAAGGCAGCGCTATAGGGACATGAACAACTTCAATCAAACTAGACTGTGCTTTCCAGTTTCCAGTTTCCAGCTACTTAGCCTAGCCCTAGATAATTCTTACAGAAAAATTACATGACTGGGATATTTTCTGCCTGGCTGACATGTTTAGGCAGAGAACTTCATGCACTTGCAATTAACTAAAAAGCATCATCTTTAACAAAAAATGTGCATATACAACTACATATTAACGAATTAATGTAGTCATTTATTCAGAAATTTTAAAGAGGTATTTTTTTAAATTACATTTAAAGTACTTCAATATTTTGTAAAAAGCATGAAGATGATGTTTCAGAAAAAAATTGATTAACCCAAAAAGTAGGAGGTTTTATGATGTAAATACAAAGAAAAAAGAATATATAACATTACCTGCTTAGTGAGCTGCTCCTCGCAAAGTTTATAAAGAACAAAGAATTTCTTAGCCAAGACCACATTATCAATGAATCCATAACTGGCAAGTTTAACCCTTATAATTATCTGAAATACAAATACAAATATTTGTAGGAATTCCATTAGATTCTCCTGAAGACAGGTCAGCAAATTGAAACACATTCTTTCCTTTCAGTTCAGTCAGGAATTATACCTGTCTATCTGGAACCATCATTGCAACGCTTCTAAACTGTACTTTGAGATTTTCTGGTAGTTCTTGACGTCCAGCATATCCAGGATTCTAAATAAGAAAACATAATGCATCACTAGGATTTGCAAAATAGCCTCCTTTTTATTGTTCAATAAAAATAAATGCATGTATAAATACTTAGAGCAGTTCAGAGTTAGAAGTCTTGCCTATCAATTACTGTAATTTTAATCTCCCATAAAGTAATCTTGGATTGCCATCTGCCTAGGCATTAGGAAACATGCACCTTAAAATTTCCTGCCCATGAGATTACAGGAAATAGTGTTATGAACCCTCAAGAATCCTATGGCAGCAAGATAGCATACTCTGAAAGTTAATACTATGGGAGATTGAAGAATTTTTACGTATCCATGTAGGTACCCATTAGTCAAGACCTATGTCCCTGAAAAACATCGTTAACATCTTTCTTATATATCCTTCTTTAAGTGAGTGTTCTTTTTGTCCCTGCTCCCCACAGTATCTTTCTCATTAATACTGTTAAAATATTAATACTATTAAACTACCAATACACATTAATATTATTAAAACATTCAGGAATTATTAATGCATTATTATTAGCATTATTAAAGATACCGTAGTAAATCATATTAGTGTTTCAGTCCTCTCAGTGAGCACAGAAAATTCTGCAAGCTTGGTCAAACTTCTAGTCTGCACAGTGAGTAGCAATACAGCAATGAAGGGACATAATTAGGAACCCTTCCTATAATATTAAAGTCAAAATGAAGGCAGGCTCTAATGAATAATTGAATTATTTATGTATTGTGCACTTTAATCTAATTCTATAGTAACATTATTTTATTAATAAAACCAGTTCTTTTCACTGTATCACTTGACGTCTATGTAGTATAATTTGCCACTTCTTTGAAATTATTACTACACTCACCATAGTTAGGAAAATTCCAAACTCTGGATTTAAATCCACACAGTCCCCATCAGAAAAAATGAACTGCTTTTTTTTTTCTTTCCTTGCTGTTAAAATAATATAGATTTGTTGGGCTGCTACTGACAAGACAGGTAACTCAATTCGATTGAATTCATCAAAACATCCCCAAGATCCAGACTGTGCAAGACCTAAAACAGGGAAAGAAAAAAATATCATCTCTTGTCCTTCATGCATATTTGAATATCTGAACTAAATGACTTTTCCTGCAAGTAATTAAATCACACTAGTTTTATTTACTGCCCTATGGTCAAGCCCCATCTTCCTCCAATCCACCTGACTATTTCCATATCTGTCTGAATTAATATTAGTTGATTTATACACAATGCTTAAAAGTGAGCCAAGGTCTGAAAAAATTTTATGATAATTTTGGATATTTGGTAAATATTTTTTATAGATCATTCTGTGAATGTAGCCTTTTATTGCAGAGCACCATTCAATTATTTGCAAAAAGCTGTACTGTTAGTCTAAAAAAATTAAAAACAATTGACTCAGAACTACAAAACATTAGTCTTAAATGTCACCGAAAAAATCACTGTTTTGATTTTAACAATTTAAGTCCCCACTAAACAAGTTTCCCATAATAATACAATACATTAACAACATTCAAAGTGTGGATATGTCTGTGAAAGAAAGAGAGAAATCCAGAGAAAGAAAAAGAAATTAAAAGAGAAATCTAGAAGTACTATAATAATAAGAAGAGTACTTTTTGTACAGAATTATTTTCACAGTTGCCTAATTTCTGCTTGGAAAAGTAACATGTATGTATTAGCACTTAAGACAATTGTTTTTCCTTTCACAATGCTTTATAAGAAAGTTTCTAACAGCATTTTTTCCCAAATGATATTAAAGTACCAGCAAGCCATGTTTTTCTTTCATGCATGCCAAAAGCTTGTTATTTAATTATGAATCATTTATGCCAGTCATTCAGGGTTTATTTGTGTTGCACAGTTAAGGCTAAATCACTTTAAAGACATTCTGTCATGGATTTTGTCACTCAAAGATTTGCTAAAATTTTAATGACTTTCAAATGGGCAATGTTTATAAACCCACAGCTTTAGCCCCTTTTATGCCTCTTGCTTCCCTTCCCAATACATACAATACCATTACTCTGAAAAATGAGCTGACAGAAATCCCGTGAAGTTCAAGTCCCTTAGACCAGAATAACCCCGTGCAGCAGTACAAGCTTTGTGCGGAATGCATTGCAAAGCAGTTTGAAACTGCAGAAAACGAGCTGCTGGTCCGTTTAACAACTAATTAAGCATGAATCAGATCTGTGCCCTTGTAGCAAGGGAAGCCAGCTGCATACTGGGCAAGAGCCTAGCCTGCAGGGTGAGGCATATCAGCACTCGGGAGGGAGCAGCGGGAGCGCCATGCTCACTTACTTTGGGGTTTCCCAGTAGGGCAGAGACATGGATGCATTCACATGAGGGCACCCAGGGGGCTGTGATCCTGTCGGGGGCTGGAGGGAGGACAGGACACAGCGGGAGAGGTTGAGAGAACAGCATGTGTTGAGCCTGAAGAGAAAGCCTATTGCTGTTGACAGCTAGATAATAGGAGGCACTGAGAAGTTGGAGTCGGGCTTGTTTCAGAGGGGCAGAGGAAGAAGAGAAGACAATGGACAAGTGTTTCAACGTGGAAGAGTTCAAAGTGTTCCAAGCCAGAGGAAGTACAAAAAATGTGATGAGAATGATCAAAACACTTAAGCAGAGGCGTTGCAGAACGTCCATCCCTGGAGACAGCCAAAACCCAGCACAGTCAGGAACTAAGTGAGCACCCTGTTCTACCTGCACCTGTGGAAGTCTCTTCTATCCTACAGGAAGAAATCTTACCTTTGAAAATCCTGCCCAAACCTCTGAAGTCCATTTGATCAGAGCAATTAAAGACTACTACGTATTTCCCCAGAGCCTTTCCCATGTCTTTCGTCGTTTCTGTTTTACCAGTTCCAGCTGGTCCTGCTGGAGCTCCTCCCATGTTCATTCCCAAAGCTTGCGCTAAAGTTATATAGCACCTACAAATACAAATTTATGTTAATCTATTAAATTATATTCGAGATATAGATGCATACATATAAAATAAAGATCAAGTTATGCAATAGATTTTACAGCCCCTATGTTGAAATGCTACTTCTTTATAAAGCAATCCTATGGATTTTGACGCAAGAAGTTCAGAAAGGTAAAAGGCACAAAATACAACATTTAAACACTACTTATAAAATAAAAGAACCCAACAAATCAAACAAATAAGAAAAGAAACAAACCCTGGTGTTAACAAGCTAAAAAATCAATGCACATCCCATAAAGATATTTCTCATTAACTTTTCTGGCTGCTATAAAGAGCACATTCTGCTGAGGCATTCTGCTATGCCATCATATTTTGCAGCATACTAACCCATATACATTTAATTATGCTACCTGTGACTAAATCCTCAAGTGTGAAAGAATAAGGATATATGCGTGGCCCCTTCCCATGCTATGTGTAAGATAGTTACAATTCTATCTGTAGAAGAAATAGAATAGAACCCTAAGCTTTACTTCTTTTTTTTTTAAAGTTTAAAAAAAGTCTAGATTATATTTTTATTTATACTTGAATGAGTAATGCTAAAGGAATTAAACAATGGGGTATCTTCACTATCAAATCAACATAGTTTGAACACATTCTAAATGAAGTATTTCTGGTTTTAATCCATATTAAACAGAGACTTATAACTAACTGGTACCTCATTTTAGTTTGAATCACTGTAATTTATTATGCCCAACTTGCACTTCAGGAACTTTCTTGCTTTCTATACAATAAGGACCTCTGAAGTGTCAGGAAGGGTTTCTCTCTGTCATCCTGCTTCAACCAATTTTGGGGTAGACTTTAACAATTTTACATAAAAAATACTCAGTTCCTGAGGGCAATACAGTTCACTGCAGAAACCTACTGAGCTTTCTATATTGCCGTGACAGCAGCTCTACCTCTTCTGGAGAATAAAGGTATTTAAAAAGTGATAGAAGCACATATACCACACAGATATCAAAGTAAATTATTGTAGGTTGGAAGTTGTTTTTATTTCTTTAGGGGATCTTTTTGCAAGTGAAATATCTCTTGGTCTTCTATCTTCTCATTTGGTTTAAAGTGATATCTCAAGAAAGGATCAAAAGGAAAAATAATTTGGACAAGGAAGGAAGCAAAGACATTCCCAAAAGGAAAAAGGAAATACAGTTCTTCGTTAAGCCACGTTTGAAACAAAATGACCATTTACTTGCTTGGCTACAGAAGAAGTAAGGGAGTGCACACAGCTTTTTCTTAGATTTTCGAAGAAGCCAGAGAATCTTTACAGAATGGCTTATTACAAAATTTGAAATATTTGACTTAACCTTCTCTTCAGTATACTGCTAAACTATATGCTACTATATAACCTTAAAACAATGAATTTCTGTTATTAAATGTTCTTTTTAAACTGTGATAAAGGAATGATAAAGGAATTAGTAAGTGTACAGAGTAGTGAGTGTACAGGTAAGTAGTACCTTTTCTAAAAGCATATATTAAGCATATGTATGAGAATGCTTTCAGCCCACACAGGACTTAACTCAGATTGTATCTCTTTAGAGATAAATATTAAATAAACACCATAGATATTAAAAGTATTCCTTATCTATAATTGCTTTTCTAACCTGTCTGTAAGAGGTGTTATAACCAGACGATCAGTGCAACCCAGAAATTCATTTTGGTAAACAAAATCAACATCTGTGATTCCTACGATGACTTGATCATAATCCTCTTTATAGTAGAATCTTGACTGCTTTAACCACTCAAAATCAGTTGGTGATCTGATGTTCATTTTTACCTTAAAAGAAAGTAAAAGTATGTGTTATAACCGAGTACCTATAGTTACTGACTTTATCAACTGTGATAAAATGCTTATTTTTATGTTAATAATGAGTGATTACTCAGATTAAAGTTCCTGTGTAAGTAAACTTATATACAATAAACATGATATAACATGTTCAGATGTATGTTAAACTGATATTTAAAAACCTCCTGACCACTTAACCAAATCGTCCCAACATCTGTGTTATCAGATAAATCTGAAACTGCTTCAGTAGGGCAGTCACTTTCCAAGTGAGAAATGCAAGTAGCACGCTGCTAAATCCTCCAAACACGTTGCAACAAAGGGTGTGATGAGGGAAGGATGTGACTGAGGCAGAGAAGCAAATGCTGCATAATCTTAACAGCCTCTGGAAATATGTGAGGGACAGTGCTGAAGGATGCCATTCCCCAAAGAATGAAGGAACAGTAACAATTTAGCACAGTCTCAAAAGTTCAAGTGTAGGATTGCAACTATTTTAGTGGGTCTTTTGTTTGTGTGAGTTCTATGTAGTCTCCTTAGGAAGGTGCAGCCATGTGCCAACTGAGATTCTGTAAAGTCATGAGGAAATTATGTAGCAGTTACAACACCCTCAGCAGTCTTAACTTCTTATGTTATGCAATTAAGAGTAGTACAACTTCTTTTCAAAGAAAGGAAATACTTTGTTTTGTCTACCAAAAAAAACTCTATAGGAAGACATGGAAAATTTAAATGTTCTAGGAAAAGTGTAAACATTTGGCAAAAATACTTAGCTGACAGAACAAATTTTATTCTATTTTAAGCAAAATTATATTATTTTACTGTGATGAGATTATGGACATCTCTTACATATGAATACACATGTAACTGTAGCTACCACATATAAGAAAGAGTATTATGACAGAAAATGCATTTAGTTGTCAGAAATCAAAATCTATACCAAGTCATCAAAAATATCACGCTGATGCACGTGGATGGTAATAAGTGTTTCAAATTTCACTCTCTCAAACTTGGAAAGATCCAGTGTGGTCTGGCCAATCAATGTATTCAGAATATCCAGAAATCTAGCATTGGTTACATCCATGATTTTTTTGTCATCCTTAGCATTGCGTAGAGCTTCTTCTCCATCACGTGTCCACAATATTTGAACTCCTAGTAATCCAACCTAAAAATGTAACACATGAAAAATATACAAACTAATCACTTGTTGAACTTTAGCTGCGTGACAGAAGGCTTAGTTATAATAGGAACGATGAATCATGGTGTAGACAGTTCCAAAATATCACTACATCCAACATGACTCTATCCCACCAGGACACCTTGGCTGAATTAACAGGCTCTGCTGCACAACCTGCTGATAAAGATTTAAAATTTTTACAAAAATTTGTCACATAGTGAGATACTCTCAAACTAAGGACTAGTGTCATTTTCCCTTCTAATCCTTTAGAGGACTCCAGGAATACGTACCCAAACTGGCTCTGGGGGAAGAAGACCTTCTGACAATTTTCCATTGCCAATTTGTAACTAATTAAAGAACATTAAATTGCTGTGAATTTTCACTGACCATGGGATGGCTTGCCTTCTAACATTCTGTCATGCCCAGAGTAAAGCCTAGAGCACATTAAACTACAAGTTATTTTGCTTCTAAATAAATCTAAAGAGTTATAGGATGTTGTACATAAATTACTGTTTCAGATTGGTTTTGATTTACAACACCCACAACAAAAAATGACAGAAAATCTCTGTATTCTTTTATTACACACATTTTTATATTCACAAAGCACCAAGCCCTAAAAGTTTTACTAAACATCTCTTTCTACTTTTCTGGCTCCCTATAACTGTAGTTATTTCATGGTTACAAGTTTGTGTATTGGAAGATAGCCTCATGATTCTAAATGGTGAGCTATCATAGGTAGAGACTAAAAAAGATTAATTTTAGAACCACCAATTAGTCAAAGGAAAACAAAAAATAAATAACATTATATTAGGATGTGACTATTTCATGCTATCTAAAACAGCAGTTTCTGAGCCAGGAAAAAGACAGTTTGAAGAAAACATTTAATTTGTCAGCATTTTGCCCAACTCCTCTCTTCTGTGGCACAGCTTTTCTTTGTAAAAATTCCTAGGCCAAACCCTTCCAACACAAACAAATTTTTTGAACGTAAGAACTTTGCAAGGTGTGAGAAAAGATCTTTGCAGACAGCAGTAAAGCCACAGCAAAATGTCTGACACGAAACAAGACAGTCCTTATTTGTTTAAGGTAGGAAAATCTTTCAAATAAACACTGATGAGACAATACCCAATTACATAATAAATAGAGTTTTAGGAGATAATTCTATTAAATATTTAAATGCATTGATTTTTTTGAAAATAGCAACATGATAGCTAGTTTTAATATCCATAGGATTTTTTATTAAAAATTACACCCAGTACTGTACTAGTCAGCAAACTGGAGATTCAGAATTCATACAGAATGGGAAACAGTTCAATAATTTTAGCTGAAATTTATTAATTATCAGTAAGATGGAGGATTTTCTAGGATCTTTCAACATAGCCTTGTACTATGACTGCATTATCATAGTGATTAATATATGAACTATGAGATAAATCTTATAAATTATGAGATAAATAATCATAATCATAGCTCTTACAATCTTAAATTATGAGAGAAATCAATCTACACAATTGCAATTTTATTTGCAGCTCAAAGGGATAAAAAATCCATTACAGAAAATATAAACACTACTTTATATTCACCAAGAGAACTGAAAAAACTAAAAAAACTAAATTTAAAGCAGATGGCAAGAAAAATATGATGCTATATACTGAGTATCAAAGTGATTTAGGATTACCTTCTCCTGTCCAGATCCTTCCCCTTGTTTCCTCTATGAAAACTTGCTCATACAGGCAATCCCACGTGCTCTTTGCCTTCCACATGCCCCCAGACACACCCCAGACTGCAGACACATGTACACACCTCGCATTCTTACCTGTGCTGGGAATTGATTAAGAAAATTCAACAACTGATATCCTGGGTCACTAATTTGGTAAAATGCTGCCCTAATTATGCCATGCAACGACCTCTGCTGCATTTGCAATAAAGCCTTCAACCAAATTTCTACTGGTCCTTTTGCAAGCACTGGAGTGTCCAGCTGAAAAATAATGAAAGCAAATGTATAACATTGAACATATTTACCAACATCCTGTTCAAGAATGTGAGTTACTAGATAGTTACTAAATTCCTATTCATGACAGCTACATATTTTACTTCGTATCCAAGCAATTTATTTCATGAAGACATATTCTAGTCTTGTTAACAAAAATCTTGAAATATTTATTTGTAATTAACCATAATTCACCTTAATACATCTTATATGTTCATTAAATAAAATTATTTATCTATTAATGTTTCTAGAAAAAAAAAACAGATAATTACTGAAATCTTTTCTCCTTCTCTTGATATGACTGCCAGTATGCGATCGTAATCCTTTGGGTGAAACTCTACTTCATTTATGTTGTCAGATATGGAAGTCAGATGTGGCTGTAAGGATAATTCAGGAGTTATTCAATGTAAATATTTAGCATTAGCAAACAGAAAACTCCCCCTCAAATAAGGTTATCCTGCGAAATTCATCTGAACTTACAGAAGAATTTCCGGCCCCCTCTAGGTAGCAATTACAGAAATGGTTGTGTAGAATTTTATCTCTGTCTACTGTATTTTTACAGTTTGCAAAGCTGATCTAGCAGAGATACACTGGCTTATCTCAATCGACCTTCAGTAACAACACAGACTAGCTGGAAGAATTTTGCAATATGCAAAGCAGGAAAGCCTCACAGGGCCCTTTTATTAGTTCAGTTGGGAAAGAAACCCCCAGCAAATCACTTGATCAAACCATGTTCTAGTGGTCTGAATTCTGAAGATTGTTTTGAATTACAGGTATCCATTTCACATTTTTTAAAATAGTCGAGCGCAAGATACCAAATTTTTTTTCAAGCAAACTTTATAAAAAGAAAATATTTGCATCCCATTTTATTAAATGCCTCCCTTTATATTAATTCTTTTTATAAGTAGAAAAAAAATCATTAAAGTCATACCTGGATAGTATGAGAATCACTTGCTTGTCCAAGAATTTCAACAAGTGCAGGATCAGAAATGAAAAAGAATCTTGGAAACAGAAGTCTTTTCTTCTCTAAATATCTTTAAAATTGAACAAGATTTTTATTAAACCATTTCAGGTTGTAATTTTTTCTATATAGGGGTGTAAGTAATACATTTAATTCTTCATACAAATTATTTACAATGTAGTAAAGCAGTAAAAATCAAACAATTCATACCCTGTAAGTGATTTCTGACATACTTCCAACTGTTCATGTAAATAAGGGAGAAGTTGCTCCATAGTATCATCTCCAACACAGCAGGCAACTACATTTGAATTTTCATGAGCTCGTTGCATTATTTTTACCCACGATTTGTCAATATTCTGAAAACGCTTTGCTTCCTATATATAGAAAAACCAAAGCATAATCTGTTGAAAATTATTGCAAAGAAAGCTTTCAGTAAACAATATTAGGCAAGCATTGTAAAGTTTACCTGGGGTAACTCTTTTGCAATATCTCCTGCTACAAAAACAGCTTCAAGATAAATCCAGAGGTTCTGCACAATCAGCCATTCTTCAATTATGTGTGAAGAGCTGCTTAGTTTAGAAACCCAGCTCTGAATTTGCTTTTTAAATGCTGTATTGTATCTAAAAGTGGAGAGGAGCATAAACTATTTAATTGTAAATAAAGCTATTTTAAAATAAATACTTACAGTGGTGAAAAAACCACAAGCCCAGAACAAACTAACTCTTGTTTCACTTAGAACAAGAACAACATTTTGGAAAGATTTTAGCAACTTGATTATATTAAGGTATATTGAGATGAAAGTTGTTATAATTGAATATGCATTGAAATCTTACACATAAAGAGGTTTTTATTAGGCCTTTTAATAGTTTGTTTTATTTAAAAAATTATTTAATTCAAATTTACTGCTAATTGAGCTCAATAATAGTATTGTTGCTCTCACAGTGTATTTCTGAAAATGCCATACATGAACCATGGCAAGTACCTATTGGACATTAGAGAATCCAGAACCATTAAACTGTCCTCCATCAATATCATAATTTCTGCTGATTCAATCCCCTTCAGCAGTAACTCTCCTCTTGCTTTGAACTGTGAAAAGCTCAGATTCTGGGCAGCCCAGGTTTCAGCTACTTGTAACAGTTTGGCTTCTATATCCTTTTCCTTCATAGCAGATATGCATATATCCTGCAAAGAAAGGACCCCTTTTTTAGACTCTCCAGTCTTGTGAAATGAATTTCCTAATACTGTACCTCCAGTCATAGCATATTTAAAAAAGCAGATATCACACTAATAATGTTACTGACTCAAATTACTTGTATGGACACCTGAAAAAAAATCACTTTTGGAAATGGATGGATATGTATTTTCTGTGTCTTCACATGTTGTTATTTCTTTTTAAAAAAGATTTTTTTATCATGATTTTTGCAAGGCTGAGGACGGGCAGTGATTAGACTCATCACCAGATGAACTCTTACCACTTTTCAGTTCATAGAATCACAGAATCTAAAGAAAGTTTAAGTTGGAAAGGTCAAGTCCAACATTCTATTCAAATCACAGCTTAATTAAAAATTAGGCAAGTCAGCTTGGAATGCTTCCATATAAATCAAGTATAGATATAATAAGTTTTTGCATATGTATTTACCATATGAAAAATTGAAACTCCACTGAGTTTTCACAGGTTCTAGGGAGTGGGTTTTTTTTGAAGCTGTGTGGTTCAAAAGAATCCAGAATAATCAAAATATTATTTCTAAGACTATTTCTAATATTTCTAATATTTCTAATTATTTCCAATTATTTCTAATTATTTCTAATAATTAAAAAAATTTAATATTAAATATTCTTAAGAAGTTCTCATCTAAAATTTCTGATTTACTTACAGAACTATAAAGCAACAACAGAGGTAAAAAGTTAGGTGACTATGATCATTTAAAGTCTTGTTTGAGGATTTTTTCCTGCTTAAAAAGAGCTAAGAAAATCATTAAAAATAATGGCAGGAGGAATGTGAGGAGATTATCTACAAATAAGGGTCTAAAGATTCCAGCTGCTACCTCTACATTTTCTTACATAGGTAAGAACTTCTAAACAAAACACAGACTGTTTTAAACCAGTGTGGTCTGATTGAAAGTCAAGGACTTTAATGAAGTAATTATTTTTAAAGAGAGTAACCATTCTATAACCAATCACATTATTTTTGCTGACAATAGAAAAGGAACAAGGAGGGTAAAAACATATGTACCTACCTCAATATCTTCTTTATTTTCAAGAATTGGTGCTTCCATGATGTTTCGAAGGCAAAAGGTCTCAGATTCTACATCAAATGTATGTCCTGTTGTTTCAGAAATACGATCCCAGTGTCTCTGCTTCATAGCTTTGTCAGACATCATTTCCAGCAAAGAACAACACTCAATAAAATCCTCAATTCTTTTCTTGAGATCAGAAAATGCTTGCCAGTGGTGGAGGCCTTTAGGTAGTCTACGGCACCTGCGGTTCAATCAAAGAGATACAGTAGTAAATTTCCCTTTTGTCAAAATTACAATTGTTTAAACAAGAGTTTAAACAAGGAGATATGAAGTGGACTGTATTAAAGTCAACATTTCCTATATCAACTAGCCTACCTGTTTAGGAAAAACTAATACAAATGCCCTACTTAAAATCCATAGTATTTAATAGTCTCAAACACTGATATTTTTCCTGCAAATAATGGAAATAAAAAATACTGTAGTTTCTGTTAAAACATAATTATCTCTTGCTTATCATCAGAAACTCTTTATTGGAAAAGAAAAATCAAAGAAAAATATTGGTTAAATTAGTTGAATTTCACATATTAAATAATTGCACAAATATAATATTTACTTCAATTTAACAGACATGGCACTTACTAACATATCAATTTGGAGACAGACATGAAAATGAAATGAACATGACTGTCTCCTCCACTTTTGGTTTGCATATTTCTAGTGTGGAAAAAACCCTGAGAACCGTTAAATATAAATATCTACCTCTTTGACCACACTTTTAAAGAGCCAACACACCAAGAACCGAGCAGGTGACCTACCACAGGAATACCCTACTGCAAATGGGAACGTATATCCTTATCAGGAAAAACAATAAATCCATGGTTTTGCATCCTTTATCACTTATTTCTCTACCTCCCACTGATGTGATTTCATATTCACAGTAATCAGGAGCTATGCAGCAGCATGTGTGTGGCTTAGAGCTATGTCACTGCTGGGTGGCTGTCAGTATGCTCATGTTGATTATCTCCCCACTTGATGTCAAACTGGATGTTTAACACCTGCCTTCCCTTCTCTGAGGGTGAAAGAATTTTGTGCCTATTATTATTGGATGCAAAACTTAAAACCAATGGGCTAATCATCCCCGTTGAAGAACTTAGCTTTTACAAATAAAGTTTCAGTGCTCCTAACCTTTCGGCTGGTTTAGCTAATGAGACTGGCACTTTGACTGATCTTATGCCCTTCACTTATCAAAGCTACAGGTAAAAGGCTGTTTCACTACAAGTATGGTGTTAACTTGTTCCTTTTTGAATAATCTCATTGTTCACAACAAACCTTATTCATGGAGGTTTTGATAAATATATAAATGGCTTTGCTGAACTCACCTAAATCTTAATGCACTTAACATCTGTTACTATTAATACGCTAAACATACCTGGCTTGATAATCTGTAAGTTCATTAGTGATTTTTTCAATATCTATCTCTGTCCAAAGTATGTCATAGTAACCATCAATAGTGCTTATTACAGTATCATATAATCCATACAATTTCTGAAGCAAGCCTAACTCCTTCCTGGAAAAAAAGAAGCAATTATGCCAATAATTTCAATCAGCTTTCTAGACACCTCACAGTATTTAAATACATGATATAGGAAATAATAATACAAAAAATAGGGGTAGACAATTAGAGTCTTTTTTTTTAATGTAGAAAAGAATACTTCATCAAAAAATATCCACAGATATTTTTTGATAGGCAGATGGTTGGTGCTAAGGATCTAACATCCACATTAAACATATTTGGAGGAAGTTTTGGTTTTCCCTAGTTCTCAAAACCCCCATTAGTCCAAAAGAAACCTAGGTTATGTGCCCTGAGCTGGCTCTGCAGTGCAAAGCAGAGCAGGGCAGGTGGAAAAGAACTGTCAAATTGCTTAGGTGCACTCTCTGAATGTGAACTAAAACTCTGATCTAAAACCAGGCAGAAACAGTGAGATCCTCCTCTGGGGTGAATCATCACCAAACTATTGAAATGGTGGGAACAAAAACTTTAGAATCTGATCGTCATTTGTACATCTGCTCCAAAAATTCAGACTTTCAAATTTAGTTAAATTCTTCTTATATCACAATAGAATGATCTTTCCTTTCATTTCTTCTTCACTTTCTACCATATCTTAATATATATTTTTTTTAAATTTATATTTATGTCTAGAACAGGGCATATTGCTCCTTTATATAGTATTTCTACACAGTAAAACCATCTGGTATCATTCTATTGCAATAATAGATAAATAATTTTTTTCAAAATTTACAAACTCAACATTACCAAATTAGAATTAACAAATTCATTAAAACTTTATAAATTTTATTTATTTATTTATTTATTCAAGGCAATGGAAAACTTGTATACTGTAATATTTCTGCCTTTGGTGTAAGCCTAAGACTTTCTAACATACTTATGGCAATGGTATTTGCACAGTTACCTGACTCTGTATAAAATGTCATACTCTGTGACAGGCAATCCAAACAACCGTTCACCAGATGAGTACGTGATAAACTTTCTCCACAGCTCCTCAAAGTTAGCCTGATTGTGTTTCATACAGACAAAATGAAAATACAAGTTTTTTAGTTTTAACTTAAAATTGTCTAAAATATAATCATTAAACTGTTTCAAACTTTTATTAAGTCTATTAGAAGTATATGTAAAATATCTGAAAATATTTTTGATCTAAACCAGTATATGGCTTGAAGAAAAACACCAGAGTGCAAAATAACACAATTACTTTCAAAGTCTAACTGTTGTCCAAAAGAATATGATCACCACAGAAAAATGGAAAGAAGAATGATTTTCGCAAGTTGTATCGAAAGTACAGAGTATTCTCCTGGCAAAACAATAAACACAGCAAATTTAACCAGAATCACTCAATTTTCAATACATATTAGATGCATTACAAGTGTTAAGCACCTTCTCTTAGTCACTCAGTTCTTTTTACAAGAATTTACGTTATACAATCTATACAATATTTTAGATTTACAAAAGTACTATTTAAGTTACTATAACTTGCAGAAAAAAGAAGCAGGATTAAAATGAGAGAAAATACTGCTCCTGGACCTATGAATTAAGGTTCATAACAAACAAATAACAAGTTGAAAGACAAATATCTAATGAAAAATGTGATCTTTAAAGACTACAAAATTGGCTCATGATTTCTTTGTAACCTGGCTTATTTTCGGCCATTATCAAGGTGTCACAATTGACTCTTGCCTATTTTTCTGCTTTTATTACTCCAAAGTGATAATTTCTCCTCACAAAATATGAAGAGTGAAGAAAGGTTACAGATCAATCAATCAATCAATCCTTCCGCATTAAGGAAAACATTGTGTGAGAGTAACTATAGATAACATAATATTATAAGGAACATCCAAATTATAATTTGGTAAACTTGTTCTGATAAACAAGAACAGATTTAATTAATTAAGCTGCAAATTCAACAGTTTATTTCCTCACCTGAAAGATCTGCTGCCTCTTACTGGCTTCCTGAGGTGGAATGTTTGGAACCATAGGCCCTTCCTATCAAATAAGCAATTAACAAAAATGGAATATTAATTCTCAAAGTGACTGAAGGCCACTCTATATTTACAGATCATTACAGAATACATTTTTTTATTAGTCAAACTTAAATCAAGTCATATAACTTGGTAATATAATACTTACAATGGTAAATATAAGAAGACGTAACTTCTATGGAATTGAAAATCCCTTACCTTAATTAAAATTAATAAGATTAGACTCTAACTTTTCATACTTCCTTATTTTGCTGAAAATAACAAAACCAGGACAGTGATCCTTTTTAATGCTGATGTGTGTGCAAAGATGCCACAACATGAACTACAGTTTCTAAATTAATTTGTAATTTATAATCACAATTTCATTACAAGTTGCATCACCAGTGCTTCTTTTCTTTCTTTAGAGTTGTGTGTATTTCTTCATGCTGAAAAGTTGGAGCTACAGTGATGACTGCTTAGCAACCATGGCATCCAACATCAGTAGCTGAGCAGAATAAAATTCTGGTACCCAAATCCTGCAAACCAAAATAATACTATATTCATTTACCTTTTCATAAGCTGTTTCAAACTGTGCCACGTCATCCTGAAAACATTCAACTGCTTCTAGCAACTCTTTCTTAAACTTGGGCTGAACTTCAACCAATTCATCTTGCACTACAATCTGACATGGAAAAGATTAAAATAAAAGTTATTTCTGTAAGAACAAGTAACAGATATTTGAGTTAGATATAAATCAAAATTATGAATAAAACATCTCAAATTTTTGAACAAAAGTTGATTATTTGAAGCTAAATACCTTTTTTTCCCCTTTATGGTGCTATATTCAATTTTTGAGAAGAAAGGTGAGGGATAAACCAAACCACCTCAACAAAAACCATAACAAAATCTTGCATTGGAATTTAAGGGAATGTATTTCATTACAAGGGGGTGGTGGAACAAGATCCTATTATCTTTCTTTCCTCCCTCCAAAAAAACCTCAAACAACAAGCTAACAGAGTCATCTTTCTCATACAGGGCTCAGCCTTTTCTTTAACAAATTTCTTTTTCTTCAATCAAAATTTTGAGAGAAATAACCAAGAGCTACACAAAAACGTAAAATGTACTCTTGAGTCCTTTCCTGAGCAATTAATCTGTGAAAGAGGACGTAACTTAATAAATTCAACAAAATATCTACATAACATAACATAATAATCTTCATTACATAACATGCTCAATAAACACAGAATTTTTTGGGGATATAAGACTGTTCTAAATCCCAAAGGTGAAAGTACAACCACCCTTTAAGGGTAAGGGTACCGACAGAGTACACACTTCTTAGAAAAATGTAACTTAAGGGTAATAAACTCCCTGATCTGACAAAAATTACACAAAATCTGGAAATGAAGGAGAGCAGACACAGGATTTTCTTGAAGGTTTTATACAGATATCTAAAAGCTACAATAATGTTTAAATATCAAAGTTATCTATAAAAATGAAATTAGAAAATGAACCCACTAATAGTAGATTAAGACACTACTGCACAACTGCTGTCAAGAGTGAGAAGTCAGGGAGTATGGACAATTAGTCTCACACTCTCATTCATGACCTGAAGAAATTCATATGTTTTCCACAAATGGAAAATAGCATAATTTTATGTACTTACAGCTTGGGCTTTTAATTTATTAAAATCATATCTCATTGTATCAACACCATCTGATTCCTCTTTTGTAATTTCCACATGAAATGCATTTAAAATGGCATAGGCTTCCTAAATGAAAAAAAAAAAAAAAAACAAACCTAACTCAGGAATATATTATAAGTTTATTTGAGGAAACATAGATCAAATTTGTAAAAAACATTTCAAAGAAAATCTGTTCTTATATTTTAGGCATAACTGTTTTGGTGGGGTTGTTTTTTCTAATAAGGATGAGGAATTAAGAACTAGGGAACAACAGCAAAAACTATTTCTTCAAAAATGTCTTGGATGAAATACTAGGAAAATATACAAACACCATAGATTTAATATCAGAAAATATAAAATTTTATCATGTCAATAGTATTTTATTTCACATATCTACAGTCCACCTGAATGCAGATTTTGATGAATTTTCCCTAAATCTGAATAACTGTGCACATTAAGTTACACATCTATAAATATTTTGCCATATCATCTATTAAACCTTTTTTGCTAAGGTTGCCGAACTGTCAAATATATGGATACGTATCTGTAATGGAATGAACCTTTCTTATAATTTGTTCTCATCTGCAATTTATTTGCTTACCTTCTGCTTTATGATCCTCCTCCTACACAAATTGCATTATTTAAAAATAAGTTCATTTTCAGATTTTACTTGTCATTTGCCAGACTGACTCCAGTAAGTCCATATCTGTCTTGTAATGGGAAGGCCAGCACTGGACACTGCACTCCAGCTAATATCCCAGAGCAGAGGGAATCATATCCCTCAACTACTGACAACACAGTTTGTAAAAGGCCCAGGAGACCCTTAAACCCCTTTGTTGCAAGGGCACTTTTCTAGCTTATGTTCACTTTGGTGTATTTTCCAAAAAGGAGCTTAGTTCTTTTACTGCAAAGATTTTTACCCAGATTGCACTGGTGTCTGGGGTTATTCATCTCCTCAAGAAAAAGGATGTAAGGGTGACTTGTTAACATGACTAACCCTACTGACATTGACAGAACTCATTATATTAATCTAGGAAGGAAATAAATGCTTACAAGATATGTGAAATATAAGTCGTTTGGGAAAGTTCATTATCTTAATTATTCATCTTAAAGTGGCAGAAGCACGATGATGATGATGATGTTAAAATATTAATACTTCATCTTTGTTAATATCTTTTATTTATTTACACACTTTGCATTATTTCCTACTCATGTAAAACCTAACAAGTAGACAGTGTTGGACACAGTTCCTCTTGCTTGCTTTATTTAACAACTATGAGTATGATTTTCATATCCTAAAGACAGATTAATAACATTCAGTAGATGTGAATATTACTTTAAATGTCTACATTATTGTTCAGGTTCTTCTATTTGATGTAAGGCAGACTTTCTAACATACTTGATACACACTTAAGAAGGCAGCTGTATTTCCACAGTTTACCTCTACATCATTTAACTAATTAATTTGTTCTATTAGCTGACTGTTTCAGACTGTGATAGTAAATACCAAGTACTTATAATGAGCTTGTTTTAGCTTCTTTCAGCTTCTTTCTTCTAGAAAAAACTAAAAGAATGTTGTCAGTTTTTGACAGCGTACCATGATGTGTGGTTTCATAAATATTCTCTGGCTATATTTCAAGGACTTAGATGATCAAGATGTTTGTTTACACACACAGAAAAAGTAAGAGGATTAAGGCTAATGAAAAGCAAAAGGGAGCATAGTGCTCCCTTTGTCTTGTGTTCTCATCTTCTTATTTCTGCATGTTGTCTCCTAGATTGTTTCTATATTATAATTTGAGAAATAATTTTTTCTGTTTTGTATCAATACAGATCCTATCAAATGATCTGATTCATAATATATATTCATATGAATATATATTCATCATTTAGAATATAAAAAACAAAAAAAAATTGTTTCCCATCTTCAGCCTAGTTCTTTGAAGACAATGTTCAAAGTTTATCTTATCCTGTGACATTTATTATATATATTATTAGTATTAATAATAACAATAACATTTTTCCAATATAAGAAATTAGAAGTCATCTTACTTCAATAGGTCCCATAGAGAAGTCTATCTCTGCTCTCCTTTCTTGAATGGCAGCTAAAGCTTCCATTGCTAATCTGACATCATCTAAGTCAACCAGAGGTCGAGCCAATTTGTTTAGGTAATCACTTATGAATGTGGTTATGTCTAGCAATTTCGCTTTATATTCCACATTTAAATAACGACAGAGGACCATCTTCCAGGAATTGGCTTCAATTGCTAAAGCTTTCTTCAGTGGTTCTGGTTTTAAAAAACAATAATAAAAAAAAATACTCAATTCATATCCTATTTTTTTCTTTAAAAAGCCCACATCATCACATATGGTTCTTTAACAGCAGTTAGAAAACAGCAGACCAGCAATTCCATTAAGGCATTTTAAAAGTTTCAAAACAAATTCAACTATAACTAAATATATTTATGTTGTTTTATTGTATAGTATGGTATCTGTAAAACCTATTGGTAAGCTTACCTGGTGGAGCACATAGAGAAGATGAATAAAGAAGAAAATGTCTACTTATTAATGTGGATTTTCAGAGAAAACTTTGATATACCTTAACTAAATGTGTTAAGATCAGTGATATTTAAATGCTTTACACCCTTTGAGGAAATGGCATCTTGAGATTTCAAAACTGGGACTTGGAATAGTTCACAGCTAAAACTATAAGGTGACACATCATGTTATATGCACTTAATATATAATCAAAAGCCAACACTGAAGAGACAGAAGAGTCAAGAATTCAAATTTATTTTCCGAAAAAATCAGGATTTTATTAGGCAGCATTTTGTACTCTGGTAAAAGAAAGCAAAATATACTAATAGCATAAAACACTTCTGCTCAAAAAAACCACAAATTTTGCAGCAGATATAGATGCTCCTTTAATAATGTGTGTATTAACATTAAAGAGATGATTCGTGAAGCCCAGGCATATTTCAAGAAAATCACCACACCCTTCCAGAAGTTAAAATGTGTAAATCACAATAAATCAGTTCCCAAACCTAAACTGAGTACAAGAAACTACCTGCTGTCCCAGATCACAAGAGACATTTGACGTCTTTGTTCTGTAACCTAGAGGACTTGGGTTCCTGTGATGCAGAGGTCACACATGACAATCAACAAAAACCATATTCTTTTGGATACACTCTTTCTTCCTACTCTTGGTCACACAATATTAGATGGAGTTTTCCAGAGCAGTCTCATTAAAAAGAAACTGCATCGAGAAACTGGATGAGGATGTGCAGTCAGCAGTCTGACATTTTTGCCTGTTCACAGAAAGAAATAGGGTCAACCCATCACCAAGATCCTGAAATGAATTTGTCTTCAAAGCAGGCATCTTCTGCTTCTCTGATGTGCAAGAAAGACAAATTTCACAGATTATTTCTTAATCTAATCAAACTAATCTGTCCTAAGAAGAGGGTTGTTCATTAGAAATACAGCCACACTGATATTTGCAGCAGGACATATTTTCTACTTGCCACTAGGTACCAACCAGATAGTTGGTCATGAGAAGATGTGTTAGCCTTGTAAAAACCTGTGAGGTGAAAGGGATAAGTGCCATTGGAATCCTTAGCACAATCAGCTGTGGCACAAGTGCCATAGAATTAACAGCTTAATTTGGAATGTAATGTTCTGACAGTCAGAGACACTAAACATGGGAATGACTAAGTAGCCACGTCTCCTCCTGAAACAAACACTGAAAGGGAACAACACATTAATGCTGTTAAGTGCTAGTTTTTCTCCTGTACCAAAGAAGGTGCTTTATGCTTCCAGTGCTCTTTATAACCATTGGCTGATGTGATGCCAGACAGGAGTACCAAAGATGATCAAATCAGTGTCAATACACATTCATTAACTCTTTGAAAGTCTCCATAACAACTTCACATTCATGACAAAACTTAGTGCCCACATTTACAAGCAGAGAAGGCAAGGAAAATGGAGGAATGGAGGATTTTTTAATCACAGATTTCTTAGAAGGATCTGAGTGAACCCTGGCTGACAGTTGATGAGGTCTCTTCAGTGATTTTTATTCATATTGAAATATATCTAGATATATTTCAATATATATATTCATATTTACAAGAATAAACCTGTCTCACATAGTATCCTTCTGAACAAAGCACACAGCTGGATAAACACATCATGTGAGGGTGAGGAGCTGGCTCATGGTCTGGACACAAAGGGTTGTGGTGAACGAGGTGACATCAGACTGGGGACCTGGCAATAGTGGTGTTCCAAAAGGCTCCATTTTAGACCTCAGCTTCTGCAACACCTTCATAAATGACTTGGACATAGAACTAGAAGGAATACTAAAGAAGTTCACAGACTGGGAGGAGCTGTTGACTCACTTGAAGTCAGAGAGGCCCTGCAGAGAGACCTCAACAAACCAGAGGGCTGGGCAATCACCAACCATGTGTAGTTCAACAAGGGAAAGTGACGGATTCTGCACCTGGACTGGGGAAACCCTGGATGTAGGGACAGACTGGGGAATGAGATGCTGGAAAGCAGTGGCACAGAGAGGAACCTGGGGCTCCTGGTTGATAGCAAGCTGAAGAGGAGTGAGGAGTGTCCTGGCAGCCAGGAGGGCCAAGCATGTCCTGGGAGCATCAGGCACAGCATTCCTGGCCAGACCAGGGTGGGCATTGTCCTGCTTTGCTCTGCACGGGGGCAGCCTCACCTTGAGGCCTGAGTGCAGCTTTGGTCACCACAAAATAAGAAAGATACTAAACTATTAGAGAGCATCCAAAGGAGGTCAACGAAAATGATGAAGGGCCTTGAGGGGAAGCCGTATGAAGAGCAGCTGAGGGCACTTGGTCTGCTCAGCCTGGAGAAGAGGAGACTGAGAAGAGACCACACTGAAGTTACACCTTCCTTGTGAAGGGGAAGAGGAGGGGCAGGCACTGATCTCTTCTTTGTAGTAACCAGTGACAGGACACAGAATGGCCTGAAGTTTTGTCAGGGGAGGTTTAGGTTGGATATTAGATAGAGGTTCTTCACCCAGAGGGTGGTTGGGCTGGAACTGGCACCTCAGGGAAGTGGTCACAGCACCAGCCTGACATAGCTCAAGAAGCATTTGGACAGTGCTCTCAGGCACATGGTGTCATTCTTGGGCATGAGCCTGTGCAGGGTCAGGAGTTGGACTTTGATGATCCTTGTGGGTCCCTTTCAACTAAGCATCTTCTGTGATTGTGTGACTATTTTACTCATTATCTTACTGTACATACTAAGATAAGAAAATGTCATACCTGTGTGCAACTCAATTGGACCAAGAGGCAGAACGGGTTTAAAACTTTTCATCTCTTGCTCAAATGTGTCGTAGTGAACTATTTCTTCTTTAATTTCAGACAAGGTGGGACCAGTAGCAAAAAATTCCTGTGTGCAGTTTAAAATGTCAATCAACAAATGTACTTTTCCATAATTTTGGTAAAACATGTTGCAACTGTAATTCAGCAATTACTGAAAACGTATACCATAATTATACTTGGGTTTAGCCTTCTGTTGCCTTGCTAGCATCGGAAAATGAATGTTTATAAATTTCTCTGTCACTAACACTCAATCTTGTTGGGAAATTCCTAACAAATTCAACAGAAAAACAGATAACCAAGACATATAAAGGACCTACTTGTTTTGTGAAAACAGGTGATGAAACAGAGGTCAAATACATGCCCACACTTACAGAAGGACTACCTCATAAGCCAAATTATGTGAGAAACAATCACAATAAAACACATTTTCTAAGTAGTTCCCTGAGCAGAACTCAAAGGTAGCAACATTTTGTGATTCTGAAAAGCTGCAATTCAGCTATGTTACTTAAGACCTGTATTGATTATGCTTACACTGCATGGACAAGTAATAAATGCCGAAAGCATTTATCATCCCACTTCTACTCTTCTGTCCAAGAGTACCCAGACAGGCAGTGAAAGGGTTAGCATAGTGGAAAAGGAAGAATGTAGAAATTAATCATGTGTGTATAAAACTTACCTGCCTTATTATTGAAGGTTTCACTGTAGCAGTAGCCTATTCCTCAGCAGAAACTTGATCAAGTTAATAACTCTAATTACTTTAGTCTTAAATTTTTAATTAGACTAACAGGAAATTTTCAGCCCTGCTTATGAATTGGTGGGGTTTTAACCCACATAAACTCCTCTTGAATTCTACCATTTCATGGTCACTGCAGCATAAAACTGCCCCTTGAGTTTCACCTTCCCCACCCCCAGCTCCTCCTTGGTGAGAACAAGGTAGAGTATGGCACCTCCTCTCATTGGCTCTTCCATTACTTGGTCAAAAAAGAATCATCAACACATTCCAGGAACCTCCTGGATTGCTTATGGCCTGCTGTGCTGTTCCTCCAGCAGCATGAGGATCAGGGTTTGTGAGTGTGAGGCTGCTCCTGTCTGTCTACACAAAGTCTCATCTGCTTGGACCTCCTGGTCAGGCAGCCTGCAGCAGATCCACACTATAATGTCACCTGTCCCTGCCCTCCTTTTAATTCTGACCTGGTCTTCCCGGCCTAGCCTTCCCAAAGAGCCTGCATCCCTCGATTCCAACTCTCCACTCATAGTGCCATTCCACCAAATCCCTGTGATACCAGTACCCTTGCAGGTATGTACATATCTCTAACTCCTCTTGTTAATACCCTGTGCTACCTGTGTTTGCATAGAGACATGCCTCATATCAAATTGGGTTGGTTTTTTCTGGCCAAAAATCCAGAGTAACACATACAAAATAAAGCAATTACCAGGTTTTCAGTATCTAGAATGGCACAGAATCAGTATTAGCAGATACAATACCATTCCTACAGAAAGATAAAAGAAGAATTTCAGCTGTAAATGTGTTTTCTACATATTTTTTCCTTGATTTTTTTCACAATGTTTTCTGATTTCAAGAGATAGGATTAATGAAGAATAGTCCTGTAAATGATAATCATTAAACTGACCTGAAATATGGCATCTTTATCTCCTGTCCACAACACCTTATATTTATCAAATTCTTTCAGAACTTCAGTAACTCCTTCTTTTAGAGAATTCGCGGAAGAAGAGAGATTCACAATTATTTTAGTAATAGTTTCATTTTCTGCAACACCTGAATAAAAATTTTTTAACTTTCTGACAACATCATCACCTTCTGTAAAATAAAATTATATATAAATCAATAAATTGCTGACAGTCTGATTAGAATTCTCTTCTAAACCTATGCATACCAAATTGAGCAATGGTGCTCTTCAGAAAGGCTGAGTATCCCTCTTCAAAGATCTATCACACTGCTAAATGTGAAGTGCCAGCTGCTAGCTCATGCCAGGCACTATACAGCTAGAGCAAATTCACTTTAAAATGAAGGTTTTCAAATGGAAAGAAAATATTCTTCTTCATTCACAAATTTAATTTTCTCAACGAATGAAATGAATGAATGAAATGAATGAATGAATTTTCATTCAAGTTCATTTTAATGTAATTGTAAGCAGAACATCAAAGGCCTCATAAACATTCCACATTATTTAATAACTTTTTAAAATTTTTGAAATTAAAATTTTAATGTATATACTGCTTAAAGTTGTGTAAACTTCTTGAACTCTTTGATTAATTGCTGAGAAAATCAGGGTCAATATAGAAACTGATATTCTTCAGATCTGACGAGCTCCTTCTTCCATAACAATCCCAGAGCATTTTGAAGCAGATTTCAGTGAACAAAGAAGAAAAATCCACCCTTCCCACAGTATATATTGTTTAATGAGGGGAATTTGAGGCAGCTCCAAATTGTCTTTTACTCTGAAGGCCTTTTCTGGGGTCTGCTTATTGGAAACAGTCTCAGATTCATCCATCCTTACGAGTTTACTCCATAATCTCATTGCTACAGTATTAACATATGCCCCCAGGTGTTGCTGGTGTCTAGTTAAAGGTGATGAAAATGGTCATTTGCTGATGCTGTATTTTGATACAGCAGAGGAAAAGACTCTGAGTGTCTGACAAGGATTGGCTCCTGCCACCCTGCTTGAAGCCCTTTAAAAGAGGTGAGACTCATAAAAGACACGTCAGTAGAAGAATAAAGTAACAGCCCTGGACTGTCAGAAAGACAAACTTTCCCAGATGTTACAGATTTTTTGAAGGAATGATAACAAAGATATAACTGGATTGCATATCACTGGGTCAAACAGCTAAGAAAAAACAACGGTAAAAACATATTTAGGCTTTTATGGTGGCTTGCAAAATGTATGGAGAGACACTTGGAAATAATATTAAGAAATAAAGTATTTGACTAAAATGGATGCAGGTCTGTCTCCAGTCAAATATTTTTCATTCACATGAAAAAACATTTGAGGTGTTTTTAATCCAATCTAGGAATACATCCAACAATTAAAATATTTCCTGAAATCTGTCTCTTGCTGTATCTCAATATTTCAATGAGATTTGGTATAAAATCATGGTTTATGGTTTCAGCTATATCATTATGGCTTATTCCACAATAAGGAGGTAAAACAATTGATCAACAGCTTACTTTGCCTTAAGTTAAGCAAAATATTCAGAATCTAGGAATTTTTCAAAGTTTTTTGCTTACTGTTTTTCAGAGTTGTAATACTTATGTAAGCCTGAAAAGCTATTTCTGAAAAATACAGGTAATTAAATCAAAATAAACCCCCAAAATTAATGTAAAATAATCCACAGTAGGCTTCTCTGACTAAAAGAGAGCTTATTTACAGCTATTTACATATGCCATAGTTATTAAAGCAAAAAGTAAAATGAAAAGTAAAACAAAACCTAAACCAACCACTTACTTTCTCCTTTTCTGCCTCTTTTTCCTTGTGATCCAAAGCCTGAAGAAGCTGCTTGCTGTTCTGTTTTTAAAATAGATTTTTGCAAATGCCTCTGTCCCCACTGAGCAACTCCTCGATTTACTTCCAGTATAAAATGAATCATGCGATTGATGGCATGCTGTATATCATCTAAAGTGGGAACTATTACCTATTTAAAACAGTTGAAAAATTGTTGAAATAAATGTAACTAATTGTCATTTTTGAGACCTCAGTTTTACTCCACCCATAGTGAATTGCAGAGTTTACCCCAGAAGAGAAGCTGGAAAATACAACTTTAGCAGGTTTTCTGGCTCAGAATTGCTTCTAAAGAGATGAAACATACTGTAGTGGCCTACCATCTAATTATGCACTCATACTGTGGGTGAAAAGTCAACCAAGTATATAAGCAGATAGATTTACTGGCTTTTTTTACACCTGCAACATTTTAAGCATCATTTTTATAATGACTTTTATATAATGTATGAGAATACATTACAAACTTTGTTTTTTACACTCTAGAATAACAAAGCATTAGAGATTGCATGCTATCGTGCAACCACCACTTCCCACCCTTTCCAGGCCTTATATATGATCAGCCACATACATAAAAGCAAGGCTCTTGCAAACTCTCACTAGAGTTTAGCATTAGCAAAGAGGTATTTTTCCCAGAATTACTTGATTACTGCCCTGGATCAGCCAAGCATTTCAGGACTGGAAAGAGAGATGTACTTCCTTTGCAGTGGGTAGAGCTTGGTGCTTTATGCTTCTACAAATGTCAACAAGGTAAGGCTTCTACACTTTGAGAGAAATTACATATCATATGTACACACATACAATGTGAATGTATAACAGAATGGCCATAGGAACACCAGTTCAATGTCAAAGGAATATCACCTAAGAGCAAAACTTTTTTTCATTGTAATTTCAATATAAACCCATCAATCTTTATAAAATATTTGAGAAATTTTGTAACCTTCTCTCATAAAATAAAAAATACGTATCGCTGACATATAGTTATTTTACTCTACAGAATGCTTTACTTCTTTGCAATTGAGCTACCTTTTTTCCCTGTACCTAGAAATCCACAAGTCCTTTATGTGGTTTTGAATCTTCTATTTTTGTTCAGTGTTCCTCATTCTGATCTTCTAAATTCCCATTTAGGTGACTTAAGCCAAACTGAACAAAGATAATGTTCATTACTGAAATTCAACAAAAGGATTTAGATTACACAAGTAAGAGAAGAATAAGAGTAAGAATAAGAATAAGAATAAGAGTAAGAATAAGAATAAGAATAAGAACAAGAACAAGAACAAGAACAAGAACAAGAACAAGAACAAAAATAAGAATAAGAATAAGAATAAAGCAAAATGTAGAACATATTCCATGTAATAGTAGTAATACAACTACTACTACACGTGAGGAGAACTGTAATCATTCTGCAGAGAACATGAATGAATGGATTGCAATGTAATTGCTAAATCACAGCAGGTTAAAAAGCAAGGTTCTGCAAGCACTACTGAGACAGAGGCCAGAGCATTGGGACTGCAAGCACATTTCATCAGTGCTCTCAGCACACCGAAAGATATGAGCAACTGCTCTCCCTTGGAGAAAATGCTGGTTCAGTGGAAGTGTGCCCACAGCCTGCACTTGGGCAAATGCAGAGGTAACTCTAAGACAATGTGTCTTACCTTACCTATATAAAATAAAACTTACCAGATTTGGAATCTGAAGGTGTACTTCTGCTTTTATAAAAGGAGGGACGTTCTCAGATTTGCTGTAAAATGGTTTTGACACATATCATAAACAGTTCACCACAAAACCTCCTCAGTTTATCTGAGAAATATAGTTTTGAACTACATTTTCTGACCAAAGCTTCATGGAGAATTTTCAAATGAAATTATGTTCTATTTCCAAAACTTACAGAAGTTTCTTATTTAAAGGATAAAATAGCTAGAGCTCCACCATTCTGACAAAGGCTAACTTGGATCCAGCCATTGTTTCAGAATTTTTTCTCCAGAGTATTTTCTGGATTTTAAACTCTCATGTTAAGAATGATGGAACTCTGCCAGTGGTTTGAATAGGGCATAAGAAGGTCTTATTGATCATTAAATGCAGCAACCTATCAAGAGCAAAAGTTGTGCCTCTACATCTTAGGTAAGTTTTCAACTGAATGGAAAAAAAGTTTCAAAGATGACAAGCTGGTGCAAAATTATAAAAACATGATGTTAACCTACTCAAAACTGAAATGAAAGCCTAAAGACATAGAGCAAAGTAAAATTTTAAATGCTGTGGTATGATATATTAACCAAATCAGGGAGGATTCAACAATATGATAGAGTAGACAGATATGAAGGAAACGACCAAAAAAATTCCCATTGACTTTGATAAGGATTTCAAGACATTTCTTATGAACAATGTCCATAGGAAAAAAAATGCAATTCAGACTTTAACAAACATTAATGACAAAACATCATAATCTTCACTTGCTTGAACTAAATTCTCTTAATAGAATTTTAAGTAGGTTTTTCAAAGCACAATATATTATACTGAAACAATTCTGTCTCTGAAATCTTTGCCTGTTCAAACAGAGACGAATTTATAGAAATCATCCTGAATATAGGAGAGTGATTTTGTATGGATCTTGCCACTATCATGAAGAATTCATAAAGAGTGCATACTATTGAGGGAATTCTTCATTAGCAACTTACATTGGAGCACTCATTCTTCTTCTAATACGATCCAAAGACAGTCGGGTTGATTTCTGGAGACTGACTAGCAGCCGGCGACTGAAATGGGCAAGTAAGTCTTTACAGTTCTGTAATAAATAAACCATACATTATTTAGCAACATGTTCACATAGGAACCTGAAAGTTATTGCAAAAACATCATAAGTCAAACCTAATAGATTTTGTCAGAAGGAACTTATGCTGTTAGCTACATGAAAGACACAAAGTGAGAAGTTGGGGGGTTGTAAGCAAGTAAATAAGTAAAAGCTGCATGGAAAAGAGAATATAGAATGCGAAGAAACAACTTGTCTTATTCAGATACAGAATACTGAAATCTGTTTGAAATACGGTCCTTCAGAAAAGCTCTCCATATTAAAAAAGAACAAATAGAAAACCAAGCCACAAAACAAAACCATGAATTATTCAAGAATATTGGTGCCCATGCATCCATTTTTGAATAAGAGACAAATACAATAAAATGCAACTGGATCAAGAATATGAAAATACAGCAACATGAAATTATCACTATTTTTAAAAATTGCAACATTGTAGCATTATTGTATTTGTACTTCCAACTTTGAGAGTCCTTGTTCTTTACTTCTACTTTCCTTTTTTGCTGAACATGAAGAAACTGCATTCTTCATGGGAAAAGTACAAAGACAATCTTTGCTGATGAAGTCGGAAGAGAATGATAGAAATGAAGAAAGATCCTGTCTACCCAAGAGGGAAAGCCTGTGTTATGGCTTAGGCACAATATTGTCTCCAATTTTTATACTTACCACTAGTGTCAAGAATTTGTTTAATAAAGGTGAAAATTGGAATAAAATGCAATATACTTGTGAAAACTAAAATCCATCTCAAATGCACTTTTTAGGTAAGCTATTTCATCATTGTACATTATATTTGATAGTTTCCATGTGATGTCTTTCTGTAACACAGATATGCAGCTACCAAAACTCAAGATCCTGTTTACTAATCCAATTGGCATAAAAATAATTTCCTTATTTTCACAAAACACCTTTTTAAACTCTTCTTCTTTATCACTGATCCTGCCATCTTCACTTTTAGGTCCTTCAGCAGGAGCTTTTTCTTTACCTCCAAATGCTATACGCTTGTCTTTTCCTGTAAATTAAAAAAAAGAAAGTTGTTATTATATAAATTTTCTGATTTAAAGCATGCTGTCCCCTCATTAGAGGCAAAACAAATATTGACTTTTATTTAGTAATACCTGGATCACCAAAAATTGGTTTTATTTCATGACACTTTTTCACACCAGGAATGTGGTTTAGAGACCGGCCTATAGGCCTTAGCTTAGCAAACACAGTGCACTACCACTCTGTTACTAAGAATGGCTAGGCAGTCATTAATATATCCATTAAAATGACCAAAAAATCAAAATAAGCATAAACAATTTAACAAAGGACAGAGAAGTATTTTTGTTTCATCTTTTTCTTCTTGCATCCTACTGAACGACCTGCAGTATTGACCCTGCCTATACCTCTACAGCTGGAGAAACCTGAACCTAGAAGAAAAAAAATCCCATGAAAAAAAAGAGCTCCATTACTGATTAAGCATCAAAATAAAATTTTCCTTAAAACATTTTTTTCCTTCAAATATAAACTATTTCTCTTGTAACAATACAGGATTTTCTAAAATCTTAGTAAGACACCTCAAAGAAGCGGAAACCAGTCATTCAAGTGCCAGCCTTTGACAATACTAATTTAAACTGACCAGCCAGAAAAGCACATAATTGTACTGCTGCAGGAAAGTTAAAAACAGAGGCACAGTACCAAATAGCTGACAGAGCTGAGAAGAGAGAAACACTGGATTTCATTTACAGGTGGCGAGATGTGACATGGGAGAGTTATGATGAGTGACTGACAGAAATGGAACTTGAATGTTCTTCCTCTAGAGCAAATACTTTGCTAATCTAAACAGGAGCACAGCTTTTAACTCTAGAAACCCCACAACTGAGTTATCTCCATACTTCATGAGCTAGCGTTTGACTTTAACAGTGGTTAAAGAAGGCAGAGCTGTGACACAAATGAAATTTTAGTGAGAGGAAAATTTGTTTAGCAAATTAACTAAAACATATCAGTTTTGATAAAAACTAGCAAAAGTCCACCCGAATTTTTTATTTAAATAAGCATTATTAACTACCTTGTAATTCTGAGGGCCTAAGAGATGGTAATACACAATGTTTTTCAAATATCTCTATTAGATCTTGAACAGATTCTTCAACGCGCATGCTTTTGACATTAAAGACCTCAGAACATTCTTTAGTATATTCCTGTTAAATAAAAATATCAATGCATTGTCATAGTTAACACTGATTATCTTATTACTGTTTCTCTTGATGGAGATTAAAAACGTTTCTCTGAATATGGTATTAATCAGACCAAAACCATTTCAATGAAACATATATACTTATTAAAATATACTTGTACATTTATAAAAACTTCTGCTATATTATCATTATATTTTTAATGCCTAAAAAAACCCAGGTTTTAAAATGCAATGGTACTTTTAGGTGCTTAAAAAAATACTGAATGTTGAAGAAAGGTCACATTCTCAATCTGAAATTACCCAAACACTGTTTCAACTGTCCTTAATAATTTTATTTACTTGCACTGATTTAATAGTGAATACATTTTTAGCCTATTTTGTATTAAGAAAACTTTTACATTTTCAAATATACTAGTTGGAAAGTATTTTTTGCCTTCTCCTTAAAAACAACAGTTTGGAAAATCAGGGGGGAAGAAGGGCTGTATATCTCTGAGGTCCTTCATACACAAGAAATCTAATCTAAATACAAAGCACTTAAACAAGATTGTCTATGACATACTACAGCTTAAGTATCTCAAATACCAAAGAATCAATATATCTTCATACAAAATATTTTAACTAAAATAATTTAATTACAAATAAAGTTCTGTATTTCCACATAGAGAATTTTATAGTTTTATTTTCATTTACTAAGGCATTTTTTTCTAACATGCCCTAAAATTCTAGTTGAAAGATGTAAAGTGGCACACACCTCATTGTCAGTCAACAGATCCTCAATTTTGAGAGCATCATCTACTGGCAAGCTAACTAAAGAAGTACTTGATATTTCTTCTAATAATGTACCAATCCGCACGTCAGTTATAATATTTACCTAAAAAGACAAAACCACATTAATACCATACATTTATCTTTAAAGCATAATGTATTTCATTTTAGAGCACTCTAACAGGTAAAAGATGTATTGCAGAAAAATAAATGCAAGAATGCTACAGAGTAGAAAATTCTCCAAGTGAATAATAACAAGAGTTATGGTAACTTAAGGGTTATTTACAATTACTAGACTCCCAAAGAATCCTGGCTGGTTTAACTGCAGTTTTAGGCAGACAGGCAGTAACAAAAAGTCAGACTCTGGATCATTCCTGTCATGCAAGGTACACGGCTTCTAGATTAAACAAAACAGAGTAATAGAACAAGCTACATCAATATAATTGGATACTTGTTCATGATCTTACTGACCACAAGTTTAGCAGCAAGGCAAGTGGGGGGGGGTCTACTATAAATTGCTTATGGGTTAATCTTCAGTCCCTTCTCCTTCTTTTAGTCAACACCTTTTTTGCTGGGGTTTTGATCCTAAATTGCAGCATTATCAGTATACAGTTAACTACACTGAATTGGTTTTCGCCTTGGAAGAATCAAAGTAAAAGTGACTTCTGTCCATCTTTTAGTCTTTTATCTGAAGTACTCTGCGTTTATGATATTCCATCTTGTTTTTCACAATATACCTCATGCTTCCATTGCACATCACTTTTTTTCCTGTTTGACAATAATACCCCATTCGTAGAAATCAAGAGTCTAACCAAGGTTAATTTTTTTAATTGATATGAGAGGGGGAAGTAAAAAAAGCCACATACAACCTAAATTTACATAAAGACATGGTTATTTTAGATATACTCAGGCTTACAAAACTGTTCATTTCTGACAAAGACAATATTTTTCCAGCTTTGGGTTTCAGTGGCAAACAGAGCATTGCTCATAATTATGATTTTCTACCATACATAAAAAGAACTAGATACACTGACTAGTGACTAACAATCTCCTACCACAAAGGAAACAAAATTTACAATATTCATAGAAAAGATAATAGTCACACAGTTTAATCATCAAGCCAGGGCAATCTGACTGTCAAGTTAAAGTCTTGAGAAAAACCAAGCCACTACTGGTCCTCAAGCATGGTAAATCATAGAATCATAGTATACCAAATTGAAAGAAGACTTCAAGGATCATGTGGTCCAACTTTTCTTGGCAAAAGCACAGCCTAGACAAGATAGCCCAGCACCCTGTCCAGATGTGCCTCAAAATTGTCTGGCACTGGGGAATGCACCACTTTCAGTGGGAGATTATTTCAGTGGCTGACTCTTCTCACTGCAAAAAATTTTCCTCTTCTGTCATATTGATAATTCTCCACAAGTAACTTATACCCATTACTCCCCATCTTTTCCACATAAATTATTGTAAAAAGAGAGTCTCCTTTGCAGCCAATCTTCTTTGCAGCCAATCTTCAAATATTACACCATGATGATAAGGTCTCCCCTAAGCCTTCTTTACTCAAGGTTGAAAAAAAACATTTCTCTCAACTTTTCATCATTCATCAGGCTTCCCAGTCCTCTGATCATTGTTGTGGCCCTCCTCTGAACGCACTCCAAATGTCTTCTGTATAGCAGGGACCAAAACTGAATACATTTCCAGGTTTGGCCTCACCAGCACCAAGTAGAGGAAGATGGTGATTTGTTACCACTGCTTATTAATGCAACCCAACATCCTGCTGAATTTCTTTGCTGGAGCAGCACACTGCTCACTCACACTGAACTTGTTATCCACAAGGATGCTCAGGTCAGGTAGATCTCAGCCTATGCTGCACTCCTGGATGATGTTTGGCCAGGTGAAAGACCTTAATTTGTCCTTGTTGGACTTTGTAAGGTTCTTACTAGTCTGGTCTTCATGCCTATTCAGGTCTTCCTGTCGAGTGTCTTTCTACTTTCCCATTTAGCTTGGTGTCATCAGTAAACTTTGTCAGGGTATACTTTATGCCATCATCCAGATTACTTATGTAGATATTAAATATGGAATCAAATAAATTCAGAAATTATGTGATGAATACCAAGAGAGTAAAAGAGCACAGAGCAGCATTCAGAGAACTGTGAGAAAAGAGCATAATCTCATTCATTATTTTATGGGCTGCACAAAGAGTTTCACAACATGCCTGCTACGGATAGAATTAATGCTCCAAAGTTCTCCACTCAACAGTTTTTACATGGAAGTGTCTTTTATGCAGCTGCAGTCATGGACAAGCACTCAAAGACAGGTATTGACTCTGAAAATCAGAGTGAAAGCCACAGAATTTTAAGACAACAAGTGGAAATGGAATCTATTTTAAGGGCAGAAGGAAAAATCAAATATATGATGGCAATAATAGGAGAGAATCATTGAGTGTATCCCTACTCCAAGAAAAGCAACCTAATTTAAAAAGCAATAAAATTTCTAGGTATGGTACAAAAATAAGTACAGATTATGTTTGAATATGACAAAATAGGATCCTAGAAATAATTTCTGTAAGGTATTGGTCTTATTTATATAGTGAGCAAATGTTTACCCTTCTCAAAAGCTGTCTATATATATGCTGAATTTGGTCAGCTTCTTTAAAGAAAGTTTCCAGTGTGACAGATGACCAAGTCAACATGGTAAGTCCTTGCCTCAACACAGCTTCCATCTAAGCATAAAGATATAATTTAATAGATTAAAAAAAAAAAAAAAACAAAACAAGAGAAAACAATTAAAACAAGTTCTATTATTATATTTACTAACATTGCTTATAAAACAGAGTGGTGTGTAAGGGAGGTTACAAGTTTCCAATAAAAAAGGTGAAAGAAATTTATGCAATAGAAAGGAAGGGGAGGGTAGTGCATACTATAGCCTCAGGTCTTAAGTTTCTCAAACTTCTGTCCAACTTTGTAGTTATACAAACTTACACAAACTCTGCAACCTTTCAGTATGACTCTTACAAACAAAATGGGGAGGGTTACTTAAAACATTCACATACATACACTTGTAAATGTCTGGCAAAACATAATGGCTTGTGGGATAGACATCCTGCATCTCCAATAAAACTGTACTTTTAGTATAGCATAAAACATCCTAGTGTAGCATTCTACACCACTGAAGAGACTCAATTAAAAAAGTTAATAATTCCTTCTGAGCAAATTTCCATGTTAAAGCCAGAGATTTGTGGAGATAGATAGACTTCAAAGACCATATTTTTTGTTCTACTGGTCTTCTATCTCACAGGCACTAAGATGATTTGACTGTAAAGCACATTATTTGAGAACTGTATGAAGGATCAAAAAACCAGAATTTTAGTCTTAAAGGTCTCAGAAAAATCCATTAAGCTTGCAACATGCAGATCCATCTAAATATTTCAGAATTATAAATTATTATTAAGGTATTTTAAGATCTTATGAGGTATACTGAAATGCATGCAGCAATACTAACCGTTTGCATTTTTGGTGCGAACAGATTTACAAACACACTTCGTGTTCCTTGACACAATTCTTCATAAGATTCAATAATACCCTGTAGATTGTTAGAAAGGATAGCATCAAACAGAATATTTAAAGCATTTCTTTACTCAAGAAAACAATTTGTCATACAATCAAATCATCTGAAAAACTATATTGAAAGCTGCACAATGCTGTATTTGAAAACAAATGTAGAATTTTACACAGACATTACATACCTAAGAACATCATTTCTGGGATGTAATGAATTTGTATTATGCTGTAGAAGGAGAAATAAAAGCCACCTTTTTGCAGCACTTTCTTAAGGCACAAAGCCAGAAAAAGAATGACCTTTCTCTAGAACTGGAGACAGCTTAATCTTTGCAATATCCTCTTAATATTGCATATCATATTCTTTAGATGCTTAAGTCAGTTTTAAAATATCCTCTTCTCTTATGCCATAGGCACACACACACAGAGAAGTCTTGTATGATGCACAAGATACAGGCTCCCCAAGATACAGGCTCTTGAAATAACACCATAGCAGAGACTACAATAGATATAACAAATGTAACTTCTCTTACAGGTAACCTGCAAAGTTCTTCAAAATTCTTCACAATTCCAAACCAGACTAACTCCAATGTTTATTGCCAAAAACTCTAAACCCCTGCATTTTACTGTTTTTCTGACTGTGAAAACTATTTTTATAGCTTAAATTATTTCATGACCAAAGTATACTTAGTGTGCCATTGGATATATGAAGTATATATTCTTATATTTAAGTAACTAGCAGCCCACACAGGACTTAACAGGGGGTTTTCAAATTAGATTTTCTATGTTCACCTGTATATTCCGCAAATTTACCTTGAACTACCTCTTACCCAGCTTTAATCTTTAGCTATAGAAAAAAATCCTTGTTTAAACACACTCTCTTTTTAATTTTTTTGTACAGCAATCACAATACTTTTCAAGTTTACCTCTAACTTAAACTTGTTTGACTTCAATTTATCTTCTATTATTGCTAGTTTGAATGCTTGCTCGGGTACTTCTAGACCCAACTTTACCATACATTTTGTCTCTCGCACAATCTCTAGAATCTGGGGATCAAAATTAACCAGGAGCTTCTCAGTTGTAGGATGACGCACAAATATCGTGGATTGTAAGACTGTAAAGACATTCTAGTATCAGTTTCAAAAGCAAACAATTATTTAAATTCTATAAATTATTATGAAATCTTTATTTCTAATGTTAAAATATAGTGATTAAGTATGTAGAGTTACTTGTGAAATAGCTTCATATTGTTTTCAGTTAAAGAAAATACACAACCCATCATATTAACTTTCTGCCTTTCTCTTCATAATCTAAACAAGCCTGAGATCCAGTCTTATTTGTGTCATAATTTTTCTCAGCCCAAGTTAAAAAATCATGAAATTAGTTCTCTAAGTACCAGGAAACACAATGCTTGACTATCAAACATTTCTAGGTGTTTAATAACAATACATTTGTCCTTAGAGGGACTGGAGCAATACAACTTTATGAATTATTATACTGGAAAAAGAAAAATCCAGAAAGAATTATTACATAGTACACATAGAGAATTTAAATACCAAAATTTGTGTCACTAATGTTTACAGTCATCTGTACAGTCAAATAGTGTACCAAATCTGCAATCCTCTGCATCAAACCCCAGCATCAAGGTCAGTAAAGCACTGAGATTGTATTACCGAGTCTGATAATTGGATCATGATTCACTTGCGCGTGTTAAGGGTAAATGAAGCTTTAAAAAAAATCTGATTTGATTTATGTTAACTTACTATCCAACAAAAATTTAAAGAACAAGTACATATTTAATTACTTACGATATTGTAATTGTGACATTTCCTTCATCCATGCATTATGATAGACTATCTCGAACTCCACCAATACGTATGCAAGTTTGTTGTATGATTGAACAACTGCTTTACCTTCTGGACTTGCCAAGATATCTGAATGTTTCTGTTAAAACACAGCACATTCAAATTAAAACTATATCCAAAACCATCCATACCACTTGGGTTTTTCTCAATTTAAGTATTGTCTATACATAGTGTCGGTTAATACTATGAATTATACTGACAGAGGTGTTAAAAACTGTATCAAATATTAATGATTCAAATTTACAGGGCAATAAAGTCAGTAAGAACTTGTAAGGGATAAATACTAAACATTTAACATCACTAAGAGCAATTACTTAATATACTGTCATAGATACCTGCAATTCACAGTGAAATGGATACTCAGTTCTACTCAAAATTGAATAAGTGAAAATTTATTGCAAAATTTTCCTTTTTAATCAGCATTTATGTCGGTTTTCCTTGGAACAGATTCAGATTATCATTATTCCCATCTGAGGGAAACAGGAAAGTGAAAACCTCTCTCACATAGAAGTTAACTTGGCATGAGACCCTAGATGCTTTGTAGGAGAATCACTCAAACATTTCAAGAATTCTTCAAAGTTATTTTCAACTGAAATAGTCTAGTCTGTTCTATTCCAACACTACATCTTGGATCCACAAGGCTTACTGCAGAGCAGTATAAACATACAAAGAAAAATGTTCCTTAGCATATAACAAGTGATGCAATCAAAACCAGAAATTTTATGATTACCCTACTGAAGACAGTTCACATTTACATAAAACACCTAATTTTTCCGCACATCAACTTACATGGAAATAGCTGATTGGTTCATTTACCCTTCTGAATAGCTGTCTCACCCACAGTATCTTTCCTGCAATAGGTGGCATGTTTCGAGCAAGAGGAGGGTCATCTTTCTGCGTTTGGTAAAGCTATAGCAAGAACAATATCATTAAACAGATGCATTTTAAAAAAATCTATTGAAATGCTAAACTGTTTTCTCTGGTAGCACAATTTCTTCCTCCTCCCAAACAGATTAAATTTGCATTGTGTCACAAAACAGCTCATGGACAGAAAAATGTATTTCTTCCCTGACTTGCTACCCTTCAAAGATGCACACTCCTCAGCGCTGGTACCTCTCCTGTCTCCATTATCTCACGCAGTTTCTCAGCTGTGCTCACTTATGACAGAGACCTGAGTGCAGCAAAAGGCACTGTGAACCCTGGGGCAGAGCAGCCAGTACTCAGGATCAAGTCTGACCCCTGACTTTGAAGCCATCTGCTGTGAAAACAAGCTGTTTAAGGAAGTGGTGTCAGGAGAACTCTTGGGGGGATTCTCCTCCTTTGCTTGGAACTGGCCTCGGGAGAGGCCCAAGCTAGACAGTTAACTGGGAGCTTTTTCCTGAATAGAAACATCAGCACTGTTCTTCAGACACACATATCTGACTATTAGATAATATTTCAGGATTTGAACTTAGTGATTCTTGTGTGTCCCTTCCAAATCACAATAATTTAGCATTCTATGATATGCATTTTTCTACTAACTCCTAACTAAAATGCACGTAGGTACTCTTGGATACAAAGCCCGTGTTTTTATCTGTGCCCAAAATGAAAAAAGAACGTCTCCTGCTCAGCGAATGGCTGCATTAGGACAAAACAAAACCAAAAAGGGCCTAAATTTGTACTGTATGAAATACGCAATGGCAAAGTATTCAATCACTTTAGAACCAGCATTGCAGTAAGAGCAACATTTTATTAGAAATAACTTGCTTGACAAAGATAAAAGGCAATTTAGTAATATCAAATAAATAGTTTAAATTAGCCAGCAGAATCAAGACGTGTTCTTTGACAGAAAAAAGGAGTATTTGGAGCCACCCAACTTTAGGCACATGAACTCAGACTGTGATGACACAACAATTCACTAACTAGAACATCTTAGCCCCACCTTGTCTCCGGTGGCCCCAACCAAAGAAATCCAAGCAGCTTCACAATGACCTTGAGAGGAACTTACCTGGATGAAACCCTCTCGGTAAATGTACCTATCGTTTTTTTTGTCTGGGAAAATACAACTAAGGGTGGACTACATGATTTTTAAACAAGCAGTGCTGCTAAAAATCTGTTCATCTAGTTAAGCCAGTATTTAGGGGTTCAGGGATAGTTATATACACTGTATGGGTGTGGAAAGGAAAGAGTGGTTTTGTAAAGAGTGGTTCAGCACAGCCTTGCTAGGCTACAGTTCTAAGTCACTGGAGGAAAAATTTTCTAATAACTGCAGAGTTTATAGATATTGGCTCCTTGTGCAAACTTCTATCATTGATCTTACGAAATGTAAACATCTCAAAAAACCATTTTCAACAATCCAGTTTTCCAGATTCCCTTTATATTCATTGAAGAAAAATGGTTATTTGGAGGGAATTATTTAAATCTTCAGGACACTGTACAAAATTGATCAGATTAACTCACTCTAGAGCAATTCTTTCTTTCTTTCTTTAGTAGAAAGGGAGTTTAGACATCTAGTTCTGTTGCAGATGTTTATTTTATGGACAAAGTAATAGTTTACAGTCAAGTGATATGAGCAGTTGCCAGAACTTAATTCTCATTATACTTCAGTCAGGTTGCACTACAAAAATCATGAAAAATTACTTCATAATTAACATAAATGCAATTCACCTATATTTTACATGTATTTTATGCAGCCACAGCAATTGATAATAACTACTTATACATGCAAATTAACTGCAGAAGCCTCATTTAATAAAAAAATCCAAAAGGTACAAGCAAGAAATGTACACAGCCAGCAAAGAACATGCTTCTTTAAATTTAATTTATGAAGGAATAACAGAAAATATTTTGATTATAAAGTAAAATTGTGAGGACAAATTTGCCTACAAGAGCAGTTGTGCATATTCTGCTGCCCACTCACTAAGGCCTGTTTTCCTGTAACAGGAAAACAGAAGTAGGATAAATTGAGAATTGGGAGTAAATTAGTGAAAGAGGCAGAAAAAATAAAAATTATTCATATTAAAATGCTTACTCCTATTTTAACATGATGTTTACATGGAAAGAAATTAAATACCTTTGGAAAGAAGGTGGAAAGAAATTAAATACCTTTTTAGTAGCTTCAAGTTCTGCTACATAATGTTGAAGAATAGAACTAATTGTATTTGCTGTTTCTTCTTCTAGGCATGGCATATTCAGACTTTGAAACCTGTATTAAAAATTGCCAAAAATGACCCAAAATTACATTTCTAAAATAATAACTGTTTTAATTTACCTTAGGGTATATGAACATTACATAAACTGAAATAAGCAAACATCTAGGAAATTATTTTGAACCTGGAAAACGTTTTTCTTTAAGGAAGTTTAAACAAGTTGAAAATTTCTGCTCTGGTGGGTATTTTGGTAGTTGTTGCTTAGCATGTTTTAGGCTTTTCCTTCAGTATATTCTTGTGTATAATAACATTCTAATGAAATTAAGAAAAATAATATATTGATTCCCATAAGAAAGATAAAACATATATTTTATCATTATTATGTAGTTCAGAATATCAGTAATTAAAAATTCTCAATTAGGCTGTTTGTTTTAAAATTTGGCTGGGCTGTTTCAATTGTGGAAATCAGTAATTTCAAGTTACTTTAAAATATTTTAAAACATAGTTGCCAATACCTTTGAAGTAACTGAAGTGAATTCTGTGAAGACAAAATTTTTCGAAAACAGGTGCGCATAAAATTCTGTAGCTGTGTCTAAAGAATACACAATTCAGTGTGGATTTTCAGGTCAGAAAACAGTATTTTGATGATACTTTCTTAACATAGTAGCATTTGAAACTGTTACTTAAAGCACACTTAGAGCACAAAATAGCAGCCTTCATAATGCCATGCTTAATATAATTATTAAATAGCCATTTTCAGTCAAATAATCTCTAAAATGTCATACAATTCTATGAAATAAACAAATTAGTTGCAAATTTATTCTGCCTAAAATTTGACCACATTTCTTCAGGCTAATAAATGACTTTCACATAGATCATTCTCTCAGGTATCACAATTTTGTCATTTTTGAATGAAAATCATCCTTAAGCACTGTTTGATATATTTTACACCTTCCTCCGTAAAAAGGAGAAGGAATGGAAAAAATCTCCCTCCAGACAAACACAAACTCCATGCTGTTTAGAAGAACAATGTAGCCTGTTCACAATCCAACATCCCACTGACAATCAGTTCCACAAATTCTTTCCCAAGTAAGTTATAATAAGTCAAAATATTACTCACCTCTAAACGTTCAACTTCTGTCTTGAATTTCAAAAAATCCACATCAAATTCTGTTACTTGTGGATCAAGGGTGTCATATGGTTTCTTTTGAAAAATGTGGTAGATATTTTTGAATTTTACTGCCATAAGATCTATACCTTCAATTGCACACTGAGTCAGTGCATTAAAATTCTGTTCTATGGCTATCATTTCCATTATCTGAAATAAAGATGTTATATTCATGCTCATAATGAATTCTTTGTTATTTCCTCTATAAACTGAAACCTGAGCAAAATAAAATATTAAACAGCCACTCTTCTGGCTACTGCATTCACAAATGTGCTGTTTCTGAGTCAAGTATCTTCAATACTTGAGGCAAGGTTAATCCAGTTTTCAACAGCAGTTGTCACCACAATGCAACACAAAGTAAAATAATAACTGTTTTTCTTAAGGATAAAGAGGGGTTTTTTATGTTTTACTGCTAGATCCAATAGGATAATACAGAAAAGGAGTTAAAACAGGGCAGACTTATGACAAAAAAGATATATCAAAGAATAAAAACCCACAACTCTACAGATTAGTATGTATATTGAGTGATAAAAAAGTACATCAAAGACTCACAGAATTCCTACCTTGTGATGATTATCATCTTATCCCTTGTCTGACCTTAATCTGTACCAAGAAGCACCTATTACCTTTTCCACTCAAGAATGTTAGTTTAAAACCCCTTCACTGCATTACCAAGCTAAACGTTAAGATGACACCAAGCAGCAGAATCATCTGAAGAATTCTGCTTGGCAGTAAACATGAGTTTTTAAAGTAATTAAAAAAAAAAAAAACAAAACAGAAGTGTGTTACTTTTCACGTAATCTTAAACCTCTAAAAATAATGATCTGAATCTAGGTCAGGTTATTTCTCTCCACACTAAAAGAGATAAAAATTGGCAAGTTGAGAAGGCAATTGTGAGGTAATAGCATCAATCATTGGGATGACTTAATCTGTGGAAGTGCCTAAATTCTCTCAATAGAGAGTTACAGACTCCTTTAAAGGATGATTAAGAGAATTTACATCGGCAAGCATGCACTTTGTAAACTGGTCTTTGGAGAGAAGCTTCTTCTTTGCAAATAACAACATCACCCAATATACTCACTTTTTCTAATCTCCTACAAAAAGCTTCAGATTTTCCAAAAATGTACATTTCTGATACTTCCAATGCCTTTTCCCCTAGATTTTTAGCAGTCTCTTGCCTGGCTTCATGGAAGCATTTCTGATATTCTCTCAACAGATATATGCAGTCCTAAAAGGTGAAGGAAAGAAAACCATATTCATTATGCTATGCTTATGAGTGAGGGACTAGAGTACTCAAACCGATTGACATTCCAAAGTCATTAGTTATCACTTAATCTGGTTTCAGTCAAGAGGTACCAACAACTTAAACACAGTGGTTTTCTTTCAGTATCTGACGAAAGTGTTCGCAACATATGAACGAACGTGCAGCAGTAGAGCACAGTAACCAGAGAGTGGTGGTGAATGGTGTTGCATCCAGTTGGCAGCCACCCTGGCATCCCCAGGGATCAGTGTTGGGCCCTGTCTTTAATAGCTTCACTGATGATCTAGATAAGGGGACTGAGTCCACCATCAGCCAATTTGCAAATGTGGGTGTCCATGTAGATCTGCTGGAGAGTAGGAAGGCTCTACAGAGGAATCTAGACAGGCTGGATAAATAGGCTGAATCCAGAAATCTGGTGTTTAACAAGACCAAGTGCTGTGCCCATGGTCACATTTGGCCACAATAACCCCCTGCAGCACTACAGGGTGGGGACAGAGTGGCTGGACAGTGGCCAGGCAGAAAGGGACCTGGGGGTACTGGGTGATGGCAGAACAAACATGAGCAGCAGTGTGGTGTGCTCACATGGCCAAGAAGGCCAGTGGCATCCTGGCCTCTATGAGCAATAGTGTGGTCAGCAGGACTAGGGAAGTGATTCTTCCTCTGTATTCTATGCCTCTTGGGGAAGAGTGGAACTCAGTAACTGAGGTCCAGAAAAGGAGAAGGTGGAAATGAAGTAAACATTGGCAACCAGTATTCCCACAGCTGCACATATTTCGCCACAGCATATTGCATTCGCTTAATTTGTTCTTAATAGGTCACCATCAGATGAAGAAGAGGAAGAATATCTTAACACTGACTTTTCATGGTGTGGCAAGGAAATCTTGTATGGAAAGGAAGTACTGTAACAAACTCGGGGTCTATTCAAACACCAGATTTTCCAGGATAGAGGAAGATGGCACCATATCAGAGCTATACCCTCCTCCATAGCCCCTCTTCCTCAAGATGGAAAAATGTGAAATATTAATTCCTTGGTTGCACATAAAGCAAAGATGCCAATTCCAAGATCGGTGACAAACCACACTGATAAAAATGAAGCTATTTAATTACAGCAATGCCTATGGACTATGAGTCCATGGGCATTGCTGTAAATGGGAAAACTTGGGAAAACTTTCAAAACATCATGAAATCAAAAAGTCAAGAGGTATGAAGCACTTGATACATATTGATATGGACTTCCTTACAATATCAGCGGATAATCAAGAGGTTTGACATGTAAATAATATAATGCCAAAATACAAACATTGATTTTTCCAGTGACTACTGGTGTCTCCTGATCCCAGAGTCGATTCAAGCCAGCATCTGTAATGTATGCTTTACATGTTGTGACCATTTGGTTTGTAACCTAGGACAGACAAATGAAAAAAGTTTAACAGTAATTTTAAGCTTAACAGTAAATTTTTTTGTTTCTGAAAATCTAATAAAATTCTCATATACATGTCAATACTATCAATCCAATTTGGAATAAATTTCACTTGAGGAAAGTGGCTAAAAAATATATGCAATATATACAACAAACACCCTATAAAAACTCTGAGAACACCCCCAGAAGTATATGTAAGTCCCAGGACATATTTGTAAGTCCTATAATTGCAGCAATACATAAACACAGAATGTCATCAATCAAAATTCAAGAACAAAAAGAACTTATTGAGTTCCAACTACTCTTCACTTACATTGTTGTCTTTACACTTGCAGCACTTATTTAAGGACTGCTCTTCAAGAATTTTTTATCCTAGCAGTATGGCTTTACCTTGATTTCCTGTGGCTATAAAAAGGAAAAAACATTCTTCTACTTCTCAACCATTCTTCTACTTCTCAACCATTCTTTCACTTCTCAACCACAAAAATCCAAATTAAGTCATGACAGAAGGAGAGAGAGGAGTATGTGCAGATACAGAAGACATACCACAGAGAACAGCTACAGGTAGAAAATTTTTTTGTCTATTAAATAATATGAACAATTCAAAACAATTCTTCTGATGGTGTTGTTTGGGTTTTGTCTTTTTTCTTTTATATGTTCTCTGTATTCTTTGCACATATATTTGTTAGTAGCTAGTTTTCCCAGTACTTTTCCATGGCCTTTCCCTAAGCAGAAAGACAAAACAAATCCCAGAGTTTCAAGCCCTGAGAGGTACAAGGCCCCAGTGCTATCTTGGTTCTACCTGGGAGCCAAAGCCAAGAACAACTCTTTGAGATGCATTCTCATGGACAAAGCACAACTAGTGCTGAAGGGGGGGCTCCAGAGAAGGGGCTTGACCTGGAGGAAAATTGCACCACTTGTACTCCTAATTGGTGATTTTTATCAATTATGCTAATTTCCTAATACCTATAAATGTGTACTCATCCTTGTAGGGGTAGGCTTTCATGGACATTTTCCATAACTGCCTCTGAAGGCCTTCATTAAAGATCCTCTTTTATATTACCTCCTTACTAAAATTATCTCAAGTTTCATTTCTGGGTTGGGAAAAAGGCAACACTGACATGAGACTACTGTAAAGCAGGCATTAAGTACTCCTAATTGAAAAAAGACTGGAAATTGCCATACCAAAGGCAGCTTCAAACTTTAAGAAAATTACTGATGAAGTTGGAGATAGGACCTCCAGTGTCACTGCTGATGATCATTAAGTGGAAACAAACAGTAAATAGGGACCTTAACCTACTGGATTAAAATACAGATTTTTTCCTTGCTATTTCAAGCATAGCTTCATGTAACCAGTTTGCTATTAGCCTCTGTAATGAAATACTTACTCCCTTAAACCATTAAATAATAGACAGTAGCAAGAGTCAATATACAAACATACAAAGACCCATTTTAGGATAGGTAATATATACCTAATGTGATATATAGAAAACAGTCACCGCAATGAATAGATAGAGATTCAAAAGAGCATATACTTCTTAATATCCTAGTTCAAATTGAAATGCAACAAAATTTTATGCTGAACACTGTGGTGTAAAGAAACAAAAAATGTGTGTGTGTAATGAGGGTCTACTGTGACTTTCCCCTGAATGCTTACTGCAAGTGTGTGGCTTAGTTAGGAAGGATTTCTTTGCCAGAAAATCATTGTACAAACCATCTTTGCATGCAATGGATATCTGGATTCTGCAAAAGACATTGGTATAAATGCACAGCCAGTCTCAATTTTCTCTTTAAGGAGGGAAAGTTTATGATCTGAAATTCAATTAACTTTTCAAGTATGACTTGCTTCAGAAAACAGGAACCTTTTATCTTTCTCACTTTTTGGAGGAACAGCCTAGTCAGATTGATGGCCATCTGCCATTAGGTCATCCAGGCTGAGAGAAAAAGAGCCTTTGCAGATTCTGTGACTTAGGAAACAACTGATCAGATTAATTCAGATCAGAAGATTAATTAAGAATAAAAAAAAAATTAACACTGATGAACCAAGAATAAACAAAGCTCCTTTCAGAAGAGAAATCTGTAATCCAAGTTTAATCCTCTCGTGATCAACAGAGTTCTTTTTCTTTCCCTTACAGAACCCCACTATTTACTACCATTTTTAAACTCTTTTTACATTTTTAATGCTCTACTGATTTAAACAAAATTTTTTTTCTTCTGAAAAGTCACCCAATTTTTGTAATTACTATTTTGTTTAATATACTTACCTTTATAAGTAATGATGTAATTCTCTCAGAAGTATTGTAATATTTTGAAACACGGTGAATCATTTGTACAGCCTTTATCAAGTATGGTATTCCCTGTGTCATTAATACCTCAAAGCAAAGTTTCAAGAAAAAAATTACTTTCTATTCTTAGCAACTATATTTCCATTTTATTGATAACTTCTGAATGACGTATTTCCCTAAACCACACGAATCAGGCTTTAAAATGTCATGGCAGCTTACCAAAAGTTTTCTTATTAAAGAAGACTAACCATGCTCAATAAGATTTCAAATATCAACTAACAAGAACAATTAATGGCTAAGTTTGATCATTGGCTAAGAAATCAGATTAAAGGTGTTGCAACATAAAATAATTTTAATATCCTATTTTGATGAACAAAATTGAACACTGATTCAAAGTGTAAAGGTTGCATTGTTTGGTGCAATAGGAAGTATTTTTCTGCCAGCAATTTTCTGTGATGGATGCTTTTGTTTTCCTTCAGGTAAGGGTGCTAATGTACTTTCATTGTGATAACAGTCTTTACATAAAATGTTTCATTCAGATACTTCAGAAAACTCATTAAATAATTGTCACAATGTAAGTTTCATTAACAAATGCCTAATTCCTTCAAGCATATCAAACACCTAATTTTTCACATATTTTGTGAAATCAATGCTCACATTGTTAAAATCATACAGTGACATAACAAATACTCAGTAGCTCAAACACTTCCAAAGTATTTTGGTGGGGGAAAAACAAAACTAAACAAAAACAAAAGACAATTCATTAACATTATCAGGAACTTGTCAAAATTGCAATTCAGAACATATAGAAAGTAATTTTGGCTGTCACTCCTCAATGGAGAAGCCAAGCTCCTGTAATTAAATTTGAGTTGCAAACTCAAACTCATAGTGTGAATAGAAGGCATTTGCATTTAGCAAGAGTGTGAAATAAATGCTATATAGTATAAAAAAGCCCATCTGTGTCCATAGTGTTCATCACCAACACCACATGTGAAATGGAATCAGGAGATTCTGAGTCTATAGGTTTTCTTTTTCAATCCTTGACAGAAAATAAAACCCTGAATACTGGACTGTGTAGAAATTTCACTGATTCAAAGCTTTAAGTTAAATGCTCAGTCTGAATTTTCATATATTAACCTACTTCAGCACAAATGTTCACTGTGTGATACTGCATACACTAAATGCCATATTTTATGCACACACCAAATATCATCATAAATCAACATGTATTCCTTACTCCATTCCTTATTCGCTAATATATAAAAGAGTTGTCTATACCCGATACTAAATACAACTGCACAAAATGAAGATCTGTTTAAAACAGGATATATTAAGCTTGGAAATTACTGCTTTTAAGCTGAACATCATAGAAAATCCTACCTAAATTAACTTGATCTCAGGAACATGATTAAACAGAAAATCACATAAATCAAAACTGTTCCAGATTAAACAAAGAACTCTAATCGACTATCTTGTATTGGTAAAATTATGAACTTTTCAACAGGTTTGCACGCACTAATGTCTGTCTTTGTTTACAATACAAATAATTTTATCTTCATGACACCTATGAAGTAGTTCATCATTATAGCCTGGTACCTGGCACCCTCTAGTGATACCTTGAAGAGCTGAAGATAAACAGCTTAGTGACACTGCTTATCATACTTGCCTCCTACACTATTCCGCTCTATGCCACATCAAACCGCTTTTGCTTGCCCTCCGTTACCCCTTTGTAGTAGGATCCTAAGCTGCCAGAGATTCAAAAGAAATGCAGCACTTCCTGACAGAGAGCTGGAGGCATATAGGACCAAAACATGAAGGACTCAAAACCAAAGGAGAATGAGCACTATTTTTCTAAGGTATTAACTCCTTACATTCAGTTCTGCAATACACCTGTTATAATAATTCATAGTTATTATACCAAATAACTAATATCTTGAACTACCACTGAAGGGTGTACCCAGACAACCAATTGTCTAAATTCCAACTGGCAGGTACTTCTGCAAATAGAAGCAAATAATATTGTATTCCATATTAAAAAAGTGTTTTGTCTATTTAGGGCCTTATAAGGTTTCATTATTTTCTATATAACTGAAATTTTAGTACTTTGGTTTCAGTTATGTGATCATAGACACATATGGCATTTTTGGGGGAGGACGTATTTGGAGAATTTCATATTATAAAATATGTAGCTGGTTTAATTGCTTTAAAAAATAATACCAGCAGCAGGACTGACTTATTAGAAAATTGTATTTATTTACAAAATACATATTTCATATTTACCAACTACATACTTCAAAATACTATATTTGATGAAATATATAATAATGCTTCAACATTTAGCTTGACACGCTTTTAGAAAAAAATTTTAAAAATAGTAAAAATTGCTAAATTGCTAGTAGTAAATTAGAAAAAAATGCTTTTAAGTAAATATAAGGAAGGGAAACTTTATTCTGCTCTGGGATTTCTATGTAAATACCTAAACTATGCATAAAGAATGGCGAAAGGCATACTTACAACATCAGTGGTATAAAGGGGCTGACAAACTTTTTCAAGTGTGCTTAGGTATCTCACATTATCCTTTGATTCATTTGCTGCATCTGTGATTTTGCCATCTAATTCTTGCCATGACTAGTGGGAAAAGAGTACTGTGAAAAACTTCATACATTGTGAACTATTTCTTTAACTTGCACTCACTTGCCAGAAGTAAACTTTGGTAAATGAATTTTTAAGAGGCAGTGCCAAAGCAGGCAATAAAAGTTAACTTATTGTATTTATTACACATATGATGTATTTTATGTTCATTTTTGGCTGCATTCCTGAAATGTCTTGTTCTTTGTCTTGATACATTCAGTACACCAGCAACACATCTAAATTTTCCTCTTCTAATTCTCCTTGGCAAATGTCTCTTAGATGAAATAAAAACAAACAAACAAACTAACAAACAACCACCTTTATAGTAAAAAAACCAGCATAAAAAAGAAAAAAAAATATTACCTTTAGTATTTTAGAGTGTGCAACTTTCAGAACATTGATAACAGCTTTACAGTTTTGTCCTTTGATTTGTTCAATAATAAAGTTCAATTTAGCAGACATGTATTTCCAGTTCTCCAGTTCCATCAGTGGACCTGAATCCTTAGCTTCTCTCCTTAGCTGTTTGCTCTCAGTCAGAACCTGCAACCCAATTAAAAAAAAAATCAAATGCCTACTACAGGAAATAGACAAGTCATTATAGAGAAAAAATACTCTTGAAGAAACTTAGAAAGGAGCAAGCTTGCAGTTACTGACACATGAAAATGGTTCCCATTTGGAAAAGCTTTCTAAGTCTGAATTGCACTTAATCATATTTTTAAACTAAGGCAATTAATACAAATTGGTGTCATACCCTGGGTGAATATCAGTGTACATAGATAAGCCTTTAACCAGAATCTGAGGATTGAAATGCACCAAATGTAATTTCACTTGTCCAGAACTTCAAGAGCTAGTTTAATAAAAGTATTAGATATCAGTCATAAATGTATCCATTTGTATGTTGATAAATGTGCAGTCATCTCTTTTTTTGTGCCTTTAACATTTTTATTCTTATGAGCTAAATACATTAACTATAGTATGCCTTATAAGTAGAGTATGTCCCTGCCTACACAGATTCATATTTTGACAAAGGATTCTCTCTTTTTCATGGAAGTCTCAGACTTTGATAACTGAGACCTTACCATGCAAAACTTACACTGGATAAAATACGCCCTGCTGGGCCTGCTCAAAAATCTTTCTAAGGGAAGTACTTCCCACCACAAGTGACAGAAGAAACTTAACAGGTAATGTGCAGTTAGATATGCTCTATATACATATGTGGTTCTCATCAGTGTTATTAGTCCTGCAACTCTCTGTTCTCTTCTTACTATTTACAAATTAAGTGCTCAGAAACTTATTCTCACTAGACTGTAAATTCCTAGGCATAAGGACTATCTACTTAACTTCCCTTGTGCATAGAAGCAGAGTGCTTCTCTTCATTTGGGTGGAGATGCAGCTGAAGCCTTTGGCAAACTTCAGGCAAGTCTCACATATAATTTATAAATATTCATCCATATTCATGCTGAATTGATGTGTTAAAACAGCAACTTACACGTTCAATTTGTTTATACCATATCATAAGTACTTCCTCTAGCTGGGTAACTGTGTCATGACTGTCAGCAGCTGCAGTTATTTTATCAAAGGTCTGGAGTTCAGAAAAATTAATGTGATCTACTTTTTTCAACTCAACTGTTCCTTCAATGCATTCTGCAGCACCTGAGAAAAAGGCAATTACAATATCAAACCAATTTAGACTTTAAAATAAATTTCCACCATTCAAAGCAATTTAAATTTGAAAATGTACATCTGCAGCCAGTCTTATTTTGATATAATAGCAATTATCTGCACTCACATAAAGCAGAAATATCCGATTTTAAATGCAGTGGTATTCCTTAAAAGCAATGTGTCACTATTTGCTGAAGAAAATAATCCACACATGTATATATTATGGAAGTAATGGATAATTTTATTTTTTCCTTGCAGAATGTAATAAGTTCTTATCTATACACTACTGTCTTTAAATAGAAATCCTTAAGCAGAATTCCTCTAGTTTGTTTCCTAAAGGCAATGCTTACCTCCTATAAATGAAATGTATTTCTTAATTGTTTCCACAAACTTCTGCTTGTCCTTTGTATCCTCTTTGGACTGACCTAAATCACCCCAATTACTTGTTTCAAGGATAGCAGGGAGAAAAACCTTTTCTAGTAAATCTTTAATACCAGGTAGGAGTCCATCAGTGGCATCCAAAACACCAAAGGAAACTTCCTGCAGCGTAAAAATATTATTGTTATCAAAGCAGTAACTTACACTAGAAACAGTATTATAAATTCTATGTATTTTTATAAAAGCACTCCAATATGCGAAACAAAACTTTTATTTAAGGAGAGAAAATCATTATATTACACACCTACATCGTGCCTGTAAAATAGTACTTTCAATAAAAAAGGGAAGTGAATAATTATTTAATACAGTTTTAAAAAGCTGTCTAGTTATGCTTTTGTTACATCAGTTATTTATCTATCACATAGAGTGTGGAAATTTTGAAATGGTAGAAAAATGCCCTCACCCACAATTAGATACTAATTAATGAATTGCAAGTAGCAAAAAATTCTCTGAATGTCCTTATCTGAAATTATATTAGAAGCAATTGTCTGACTAAATATATATTATCTTGAATCAAGTTAAATTTTTACCTACTCTCCAAAACAAAGCTTTACAAGGTGAGACTATTTCTAATATTCCAGTATTTAAAATGTCCTTAAAATAAGCAAGTATTAACATACATCATGTAACAAACTTCCTAGAACATACATTTCCTTTCCTTATCCCTTCAGCATTTGGAATTATTTGGGAAGATATTTGATGGAAAAGTGATATTTATGACCAATACTGAGGCCCTTGATAAAGACAGAACTTGTATCTTACTTATTATAGTGTTTTTTCTCCTTCACCTTCTTGGGTCTCAAAAGGAATGGAATATTTTAATATGAAATATAAAGAATATAAACTAATAATGGATTTTCTGTCTGAAGAATTTGAAATAATACTAATTACAAGGTACATATGTGAAACTATTTGTTATCAATTTACAGTCCCTTAAGCACTGCCCAAATACTAAGACATGTACCTATGAACAATAATTAAGCCCACACTTATATGACAATTAGTCTTGTAAAAAAGAAAATCTCATGCCACATAATTTATACAGGATAAATGTTTGTTTTGTATTTTATTTATCAAAACACATAAAAAGGTACAGATAATCTTTTTGTCTCCTGGTACTTGCAATAAAGTCTTCTCAGTGTTTCTTTGTAGCTTAGGAATTTTGATCACAATGAAAATATACTTAGCAGCTTTGACCGCTACCAAGAAGAATGAGAAATTAATACATATTTCTTTAACAAGAATCCTGTAAGACACTAAATTCACAAGTATTTGCTGAAGCAATTCAGCAATTTTTTGTTTACCCAAAATGGAGAGCAAAAAAGTTACCAGTAACTTTAGTTATGTGACAACTGTGAAAAAAATAATGAAACAAAAAATAACTGCTTTTAAAGCTTTTAGATTTTTAAAAAATGAGAGAGTACCTCGTGTATAGTTTTATCACTTATGGATGTGTCATTCTTATAGCGAACGAAATATAAGCATAGTCCTAGGATTTTGTCTGGTGTCCTCTCCAAATAAAATTGAAACATTTTACGTCCTTTTTCAACATCTGGAATTACCCGACCACACTCTGAAAAGGAATTTCATACGTATGACTCTTTTTAAAAATGAGGGTATTATAAAATGCTTAAAATCAATGTAAGGAAATAAAATTGAATATATAAATAATTTATTTTCTTCTTTTGTCAGGGAACAAAAACCAGTATAATTTCTAACTGTAATTAATCACACTATTAGAAAACTACACCAAACATATAACGTGTCTCTTACAAACCTATTTGGGTGCAGTATACTGCACTGAAAAGGGAATTTGCTCAGGCCCATAGTTCTGAACCAATTTCTGGTGACTAAGGTACTGTATTCCTATTTATCCTACCAAAAAAGATGTCAGGTCTAAGTGAGAAAAGAGTGATTTCAAGATGGCCTCAGGTCCTTTGTGGATATATTCCTATGCAATTTGATAGCTCAATATAAATAAGTAACAGAACATTATTTGCAGTAATTAGTGAATCATTAGGGATTTCAGACATTACATTCTAATTCTCTACCACACACGTGTAACGTGAAAAATTTCAAATATTTATAATAAATGAAATTTCAGAGACAGGTTTTATGAAAGTGCTTTCTAATGAGCTGCAGGCAAAACTCATGTATGAAAAAAGTCACAACCAATTCAGTACTTCAGGATAACACTTCATAGTCTTTCTTCCAGGAATGGCCAAAATTGAGATTTGTTTTTCCTAAACAATTTGACTTGAAGCAAGCATTTAAAATATGAATTTTCAGTCCTCAGAGCAAAAGCTTGCAAAATTCTGAACAAGCAAAAGCAGATTTTATTCTGAGAAACCTCAAACAAAATGAACAATAGAATGCACTGTTACATCTATTACATACTATTACTATTGCTAAACATTTACCTATTCCTCGTGGATCTCCTTCTTGATAAAAAATTTTCAATGATTTTTTTCCTCCCTTGGCAAAAAAGGAATCAAAGGCATCGAACTGTTAAAACAAAGAGTGAACACGTGTTAGTCAAAATATTTTTATGTGCCTTAGAGATGTGCAAAAATAATGTGACCATGCTACTGTTTAAAGTTTTGTTGGCACTGTTTATACTCAAATGTTTATCCCCAAATATTGTGAGAATATAGGAAGTGTCCAACTGAGGGACTCAGCCATGGTAGTGGCTTCCTCCTCATCAAAAAAAAAAAGGTCAGAAGTTTAGCAAGCATGTGTGGAGATGCATCACCTGTTCAGGGACAAAGGATACACTTCTAGTTGTGGTATATTTTTTATGAGCATGTTTTTTTCCTCCCCAAATAAACAAATATTAAAGCTGAATCAGAACAATGATGGGAAAATGAGTGACAACCAGATTGACAGAACTTGAAGCCACTCTTGTGAGAAGACAACATTGCATGAAAATAAAAGAAAAAGCAAGCCAGCTTTAGAAGTTCATTTCACTTTTGTTAACAGCATTAGTGAACAACAAGGTTAAAACAGAGAAAAATAAATTAAAAAGACCCACCCCCAAAACAGTGCAAGAGAAAATTGTTAAAGTGCTGAAAGCACAGTGACAAAAAGCAGGAAAATGTTCACTACTACAAGAAGCACTCCAGCTTGTGAGGAAGAGGAGGAGAAATGGTAACTTTGGGGCCTGTATGATTCTACACAGAAGGTAAGATGTGAGCTGCTCCCACAGCTGCTGATTCTGCAAAGAATCAATCTGCTGTTTCAAGTCCATGTGGTTCTCACACCCACTGGGTAAAAATATATAGAGGCTAACACTTTAAAGGGCAAAACATAAGTCATGGATATCAAAGACATATGTTTATGGAAATTCATTAAATGACAATTTGGTGAGAGACAATGTTGACACAGCCCCAACAGCCTAAACAGTTTATAAATAAACTAAAACTGGGAGCAGGAAAATATTCAACCACAACAATTTTTCAGATGGTCCTGGTGACAGCCAAAAAAAACCCCAACCCAACCAAACCCAAACAAAACAAAAGTAAACAAACAGAAAAACCCAAACCAAAACCAAATACAAAAATACCCCTCAAGAACCCAAAATTTCTCAATTTCTCAAGTGCTGGGATTAGTCAAACTTGGTGCAGAACAGCAGTTTCACATTAAATTGGAATGATTTAAAAGTATATAATTTAACAAACATAAAAAAGGGACAATACTTAGCACACCTCTGTGTTGAGTAAGCACAAAAAACCAAACAAATGAGGCAAAGTAGATTTTATTATATAAAAGTATCAATAAACAAACAAAACCCAAACAAATTTGGAGTAAGGCTACATTTGGGTTGTAACTGTAAAACTGAGGTTCTAAGAATTGATTTATTTTATCAAAGGAGATATTGTCTGGCTGAAATGCTAAGTCAAATCTCTCTTAACAGACAAAAATAGCATCAATGAGGTGCAACAATAGTCAAATAACAAATAACAAAACTGTAATCAGAGAAGTTGAGTCGTATCTTTTCACAACAGCCGTACTGAGCTTTGATAATCTATTAAAAGTACAGTTTAACTGTTTCCTCCTGTTTGTTTAATCATTTTGAAACATCATGAAAGACAATATTTTATACTCAAAAATAATGAAAGCTTTCAGAAATTCCACAGATTTGAGATCTATACATGCTGCAAACCCACTTAATTTTTTAAACATACAAACATAAATAAAGCGCTCAGAAGTGAAATTTCTTAGTGGGTCTTTCAAACATTTCCATAGTATTTAAATGGTGCAGGATTAATCTTTGTTTCTTACTACTAACAACATGATAATTTTCAAAATGGTCTCATGAGTTACACACTTTTGCACTATCTTAGAAATTTCATTGAGAACTTGCCTAACAAACAAAATGATCATAATTAGAACATAATAAAGTCAGACTCAGATGGATGAATCTGTTTGGAACTGCTAGATGTGAAAATAAACCCTTTGATCAAAATAACAGTGGCATTTATATTTTCCTTGAGGTAAGAAAGATGAAAAAGCTACAATCAAAAATTGGAGATATTTGCAAATCTGCTGGGAAACTCAGCTGGAAGGTTTAGTCAGGTGTCCTTTTAGATTGATTGTGTGCCTTAGTAATCACATTTTCTGGCAGGAACAATAAAAATGATGGATAACTTTCTATCAAAGGGGTAATCTGCTACATATTTTTACTAATAATTTAAATCAACAGGAATACAGAACAGACTCACCGAAGGGATGTCCAATATCATTTCCTCCACAGTTGCTAAGTCTAAGCCTATCCTGGCACTGAGAACTTCAAATATGTATTTATATGTAGCATTAATTCTTGCTCTTCGATCTTCTCTTGCTTTTTCATATTGAACCTAAAACATTAAGCAAGACTTTCAAGCTAAAAATACACAAAGCAATCACAACAATGACCTGCTACTTAACTTGCAGCAAATGTTGAAAAATACTGTCTTGTATTTACAGCTACAAAATGTCCTAATTTTACAAATACCTAAATTTTCAGAGGCTAAAAGAAGAACAAATTGTTAAGTATTATTATAAGATGTGAAGTCAAATCTGAGGATTTTTGGAGGAAAAACAAACATTAAGAATATTACAGTTAGATTTTAAGATTTTTACGTGACATTAACTGGCTTCCTTGTTCACAATCAAAATTTCAATTTATTAAATTAATACAGAAAGGTTAAAACATCCATTTAAAATAAAGTATCCAGAGTGGGTAAATATTTGCAGGAACTAAGGTGAATATAGCTTTGCTTCTATGTAAATTATTCAGCTAATATCTCCTGCCTCTAACCTCTATTACTTTAAAATTTTAAAGTATTACAAACATGGAAAAAACCACTTTTTGCCAGAAATAATTTAGTAAAAGAACTGAGTCTAAACAAAAATAAAATAAATAAATAAAAGATTTGAACTAATTATTAATATAAACTGAATTTAATAATCTGAGGAAAGAACCAGAAACTTGTAACCTTTTTTGCTTTGTGACTTTGCACGCTTGGAACTCCACTAGGGCGGTAAATCTTAGAAAAACTTTGACTTCGACTTCCAAGAGAACGAGACGAAGAGGAAAGGCTCGCTAATCGGTGGATTGCCACAGAAGGTACATCATCTGCACTGCCTGAACCTCTTTTAGTATTTTTTTGTGCTCCCGCCATTCTAAAATCTGAAATTTGAAAAGAGAAGATTATGTTTTTAACAATCCAAACATTTCAAGTCTACCTTTTGCAGAAGGCAGGAGCATCTCAAAACTGACTTTCCAGGTATATAAATTTAATAGCCTCACTGAATCCTCTTCCAGTTTTTAAAATGCCAGACATTAAATACATTTTTATGATAGGTTACAAATGTCAAGACGAAGATTGAGACATTTTTTAAAAACAATTTTTCATACACATGCGTTTTGTGGAGTGAATGCCTCTCTATAAAACAAAATATTTTACAATGTAAATAATTTCAGTGCATATCTAATTACTGAGAAATAGAAATGGTTTCAAACACAAATGACTTATTTAAATTTTAGTTTCTAAAATATATACTCAAATTCAGCAACTTAGAAAAGGCTTGCATACACAGAAATTGCTATTCTGCTCAGTGTACTATTTCAATAAGGATCAAGATAACTATCAAGAATTCCTTAGTAGTTAATATGATGCCTAAGGGCAGCCTACCGCTGCTGTAACAGTGTTATATACTCTCTTAGACATTATTACCTGATGTGGGAAATAAAAAATCAAAGGTGAGGCTGACATGAAAAGCAACACCTGGCTGAAAAACAACACCTGGTAGTACATTACTAGCTCCTTATTCTTGCCCATATAATAAGTTACAAATTGGCTGATGTTCCATGGTTTTAGGCATGCAACCACCTGCTACTGAAAGTGTTCATCTCTTTCTTGAAGTAAACGTACCACCAAAAAAACAAATTAAGGAAAGCCACAAAAAAAAAAAAAAAAAAAAACACACACAAAAAACCAAAAGAAACCCCCAAATTTATCACATTTATTTATTTTTCTTCCTGTTTCTATGACTGGCCGGTCATCTACAAGGTTAGCAGTGATGCTTACCTCCTTGATTATTCCACTCAAGCGGAATAGGTTGGATGCTAGTTTCCCTGCCTTTGGCTCGCTTTTAGCTGATACCTTCCCCTGAAGCACAAGACGAGAGAGGCGGGGTTCTCACAGCTCTCTTTCAAACACCCACAAATGCTGCATTCTATCTTGGCATCATCCCTGGCTCTCCAAAATCTATACTCACGATACCTGAAGATCTACCTTCAAAATCTATACTCCAAAATCTCAGGTGAGATTCTCACACTTCTCAAAAACCTATGTGAGATCCATCTGCCCCCTTCTCCTGGCTGGAATAACAAACATGATTTTATGTCTAAACCTCCTTTCCTTCCCTCCAGGATGCCCCAAACCTTCTCTACAGGAACTGTTCATTCAAGGAAAGCAGGTCTGGCTTCCAGCATGCATCATCTTAGGGCTGAAGGAGAATGAGAGGGAAGGAGAAGTGGAGGATTCCCGAGTATTAATTAAGAATAGCAGCCTGAAAAGCTGAGCTGCCTCAGCAGCTTTGGCAGAGAGATGCGGGCGAAGATCCCCACCGACCTGGCCGGAGCTGTCTCCTGACAGGGCGGGCAGTGGGGCGCTCCCCGGCGCTCCCCTCAGCGGGCAGAGCGGGCGGACTCCTCCTCCCGGTTCGGCGGAGGGCCCGGGCCGGTACCGGAGCCCGTAACCGCTGCGGGACGGCGGCTCCAACGCCCCCCGGCAGCCACGGGGCTCAGGGGACACCCGCCCGCTGCGGGCCCGCGCACGGCCGGCCAAAATCCGAGCCCCGGCATCCGAACCGTCATTGCACCGTAAGGACCTCGTGTGCCCGGGAACCGCTTGCCCGCACGGTTGGTGCGGGTAAATGCGCCTATGGAAGTCACTTGAGTAACGCAGACTGAGCTCGGCGCTGCAGAAGTGCTTTGCTCTCGACTATAAAACGTGTGGAGTTTTAATTTTTTTTTTCCCCACATAGGGTATTCAATCCTGGTTTTCATTCTGCATTTTTGGGAGAAATATCCTTCACTCTTGGGCCTGAAATGATATTTTTATACTAAAGGATAGTGGGTAACTCCAGAGGGTGAAGAGACAAATGAAAGGGGGGCTCATCAATGTTTTAAAATATCTATAAAGGGGTAGGAGGGGAGTGCCAAGAGGATGTTTCCAGGCTCTTGTCTGAAGTGCCAAGCAATAGAATAAGGGATAAAAGGCAGAAAGTGATGCACAAGAAGTTCTTAATGTGAGAGTGACTGAGCCCTGGAACAAATTGCCCAGAGATGTTGTGGAGTGTCCCTCCCTGGGGATATTCAAAAACCATCTGGAAAAAATCCATGTACTCTAGGATAACCCTGCATGAGCAGAGATTGGAACAGATCCACTCTAGTCTCTTCCAATCTGCTCAATTCTGGGATTCTGTGACAAATGCTACTTGAAATATTTTCCCAGCATCTGGAGGCAAAAGCAGAACTCAACCTCTGTCAACACTAAACCAAGGCAGCCCTGGGTATGATAACAAGGCAAGGCCAGGATTCCCAAACAGCCTGATACTGCCAGGACTTAGGAAAGCAGCACCATTCCAGTGGAGCTGGGTTATCAGGTGTGTCCGCTCTGGCACTGGTGGGGTACCCTCGGCCTCACGGTGGCAACTGGAGGGATGCATCATCAGGTCACCATAGGGGATCCTCATTTTCATGCCACGTTTCAGATAAGTAATGCCACAGTCAGGGAAGCTCCTTTCCTTTAGCCCGTGTCCTGAACGCAGGCTTGTTACCTGTGTAGCATCAATTCACACACTGAGGGAAGACATTTCTACTTTTTATTCTCGTTTACTCTAAGCAGGGAGCTGGGTGGTAACACACAAAATGCTGGCTCCTCAATAATCAAAACTTTACATTACAGTATACTGTAACATAACTTTACATTACATTACAGTATTTATAAATTTCAACAAACAAAGGCATCAGCATTCATTAGTTACAAATTACATAACCTTGCTATTAATTAGTGCTCAACCTCGTATTTGCTAGTTGTGTCTCTCTGCTGGTTGTGGCTCGGCTCGTTGTGTCCACAGGAGCAATTCTTCCTTCCATTTGAGTCTGGTGTCCGTTTTGAATGGGTGGTCAATGAGTCAGAGTTGCAACTGCCCATTGCTGGGATTATCTTTTTCCCACTTACTGCTCAGTTTTGCTGACTTCACTCTTGGTGGCTCCAGTCCAGACAGCCCATTCATCATGTAGGATTGCTTTGTCTTTTCCTTAAAACGGATTAGCCAAGCCGACGACGTTCACAATGTAGTTGCTTAATCATAACTGTGCAGATAAAACTACTGACTAACAGAAAAACAAAATCTGAAAAGCTTGATTCAGAGCATGAGGGGCTCGCTATGAGTTAGGGATGCACTGGCAGACCTCGATCTGATCCCACACCTCCGCAGCACTCCTTGGGCATCCTTGCGACGGAGCGGCCGGGCCGCTGGTGGCGTGGGGCGCAACGGGGCGCAGCGCCGCCTTCCCGTCTCCTCCTCCTCCCCTTCCTCCTCCTCCTCCCCTCTGCCCTCCTCTCCCGACATGGCGGCCCCCGCGGAACCCAGCGGGCTCACGGACGAGGCAGCGTACGCTGCCTGCTCGGAGCCGGATGCCAGCACCAAGGTGGGCTGGGTGGCGGTGACGGGCGCGCCCCGGGGCTGTGGCGGCCTCTCCTTCCCTCACGGCGCCTCCGCGGGCGGACGTGCGGGGCTTGAGAGCTGGCATGGGAGAAGGCATGGGGCCGGGCCGGGTCCCGGCGGGGCAGCGAAGGGTGGCCGGGCCCGGAGCTGCCCTGGCGGGGTGTCTGTCAGGCAGCCGGGCGGGGTTCGGGGTCGTGGCGAGGGGCGGCCGGGCCGGGCCGGGCCGTGTGAGCCGCTGAAGCCCGCGGGGCGCGCTCGGCCGGGCCCGCGGCTGTCCTGGCTCTGAGCGAGCGCTCCGGCCAGTCCCTGCCCGGGCGGCACACAAAAATCCGTCAAAACGCCCCAAACCTTTTTAGTTTTTATTAGGAGAACATTGTAGTTGAATTATTTTTATACCCCCTCCCCCGTTACCTCTGTCAACTATTATACCACGTACTTTTTATCCACTTCGTCGTTCACAAGCCTCTTGGTATAGTACCTTGGAGCTTCAACAAAATGTCCTTACAGAGTGGTAGGCCGGTTTTGCTGCCAAGATATAATCAAGCTTGACAGAAGTTCAATACTTGTGCCATGAAATAATAAAAATAATGAGCTCAGGAGTCTAGGAGGCTCAATATTGAATATTCATGTGTCTGTTGCACTTGTGTGTGAAGTTGTTCATGTATGCTACAGTCCCATAAAATAAACATAAGGATACTCTGTTTTGATGCATCTGATAATACATATTGAATGATACCACTCATGGGATTGTTTATTTGTTTTAAACACTACGTTACAAAGACATATTTATTTAACACAAATTTGTATGTATAGAATCAGAACAAAAGATTTTATTTACACTTGAAGTAATTCTCTTTCTTACTTCTGAGCCTCCTGGTTTTAGAGTCATTACTAACTGGCATCTTTGTTATTACCCATAATTCAATTCTGGTTGATGTATAAAGTATAAACCTTTTTTCCCCACAGGATTTTATATTTCAGCAGACAATGTTAAGAGTAAAGGATCCAAAGAAATCATTGGATTTTTATACAAGGATACTTGGAATGACGTGAGTGGAATTTGTATGCTGTGATAAGTTTGGAGTTCTTTTCTGTTCTTCTGAAAATAACTATTTTTTTTGGATGTAATTATATTAATTGGTCTAACTACATAAACAATGCTGTCCCATCAGCTGATGCTTAGTTGGATGGTCTGGCAGTAAGCTGTAGATGCCTAAGCTGCAAATGAACTAATATGGGCCTTGACTAGAAATTTCTTTTTTTCTTAAATAGGTCATTAATTATCAGGGTACAACTTGCTTACTTCCTCTTCACTGAGCCTGCAGCTGACTGGTAACTTTTATGACTGTGCTTATAATGAGGAGGCTTATGGCTGCCTCCAATCACATGAGAATAAATCAATAAAGGATAAAGACAAAGTCCAGACTCAGTC